CTGCAGACGAAAGGGCATTTAGATTCTATCTATGATTGAAAAATAAGTCTTTTACAGGAATTTTTAACATGGCCCCATCAAAAAAAGTTGAGAGGTGAAAATGAGAGCTGCGTTGTCAAAGAGTCTCATGATGAACTGGATGTGTTTCCGACACTCACTACAAAAAAAAGAGCAAATTAGTGTTAGGAAATGAAAAAAGAGATGAGTCCATGTTGAATGAAGCGCTTTGATGGAAGCCAGAAACATTGGAGTTGGGAAAATGCCGAAAACTTTCACTCTTCCGAAAGAAAATATGTGTTTTTTTCCTTCATTTTAAAAAGGAAAAAAAGTATTGTTTTTAGAAAAATATGCGTTCTGTGGGATTTTTCAATTATTTCGACTCGGGAAAACAAGAAAAATATAAACTGAATTTTTTTTAACTGTCATTTGCATTTTTTGAGTTCAAGAGACTCTTTTTGCGACCAACTATTTTTCTTTAATTTTGCCATTTTTGGGAAATTTCTGAAACCTTGATTGAACAATCTGAAACAGAAACAATTTCTAGCGAAAAATTCTTGACAAAAACTTAGTTTTGATAGAGGAAGCAACTGCAGAAAATGAGAAAAACCGATTTTACTTGTTTTGAATTTCAGCAACTCAAAACTAAAAGAAGCAGCATCCCACATAATTTTCTTCAAAAAAATTGCAAAACCTATTTACTTTGAAGTTTAAAGAATTAAGAAAACTAGAACACGAAAGGAAACTGCGTGAAAAAAGTTGAATATGGACACGAAGATGACGGAATGCAGGAGTATGATTGCGTGGCGTCTGCCCTTGCAAGGCGATGCGGACCCCTAATATGTCATTTCGGCTTGGCTCGACGTGCTCCGAGAGGCCCCACAGCTTCTTTGAACTTGTCAAATCGGAGAGCCACGCCGTTTCCGAAAACAACGCACGCCTCCAATCACTTTCCATTCTGATGACGTCGGCATTCCCTTTTGAGAACCTCTTCTTTTCGCACAATGATCGAGAAATTCATCAATCTCACGCGCAGAATAGATGAATGTGAGGAGCCAATAAATCACTGAAACGGCTCAATTTCCAAGAAGGAAGATGGTGCTGCCGACGTTTTTTTTTTCAAAATTGAATCGAAGGATTGATAGCTGATGAGAAACGGTGGGATGAAAATAAAAGGTGCAATCTTGAAAAAGGCGGTTTATATAGGCCGCGGAACTGAAAATTTAAAGTCTCGCCGAAAAAAAAAGCTATTTAAAAATTCCATTTTATAGCAAACCTGGATAAATGAGCGTTTTTAAAATAAAATTAGACCCCTTTAAGATCCACTAGAGCTTAAGAAGCTAAGTTGTCAAACCCCAACCCGTCTACGGACCAATTTCTTTTTACCCGAAAAGGACTTGTTTTTAGGCCCCTATAGGAATTTTTTATCTGCTTCATCTTTGTAGGAACCATTCCCGAATTCCTGAAGGTAAATATAAGTTTGCGAGCTTTTTAAAATATTACAAATAAGAATTGTAGTGCTTTTTGTCAATTCAACAAAAAAAAGTCTTTCGACACACGAAGAAACAGAAAAAAAAAACAAGTAAGAGAAGTATAATTCGCAAAAATAGAAAGAGAAAAGACCCGTGACATTTGTTTCAAGTGATGGAACACCCGCAGATCATTCGAGCCGTGATTAAGTAAACAGATGACAAGTGCTACGTGCACATGAAGAAGCCAGAGAATTGATTCAAACAGCAATCGGCCGGATTTACATTTCAACAAGGTTTTATATCGATGAAACAAAGTAACCTGTGGAAAAAAGATTAGATTACAAATATATAAACCGCTATTAATCTCGTTCTGGGATCGAATTCCAGCCTGAAATTCGGAAAGTTATGAGAATAAAATAATATTTCGACATCTTCATCCCAAGAAGGGCTTCTTCATGCAAAGAAAAAACGTTAACATAGTGTCCCAATTAACAAGAACTCTTGCGATGTCACCGTTTCCACATTGCACTATAAACTCTTGTCTTCGAAGAGAAAAGTTTTCGGTTGTTTTCCAATTTTTAGCTGTTTAAGTGATCTCATGAATACTCGCGAAGTTACCGTTTCTACATTGCATTATAATGCCGTGTTCAAAGTAATTTCCACGAAATGCAAAATACCCGTTAGAGAAAGGAAAAGATCACTAAAATTGGAGAGTCAGAGATCATTTTGCATTTCGCGGAAATTACTTTGAAAACGGCATAAACTCTTGATTACAAAGAAAAAAATATTTGGTACTTTTACATTTTTCGCTGTTTCAACGTATTCTTATATATAAATGTGATGTTCCTGTTACTCTAATGCTTTATAAACTCTTGACTTTGACGAAAAAAATATTCGGTACTTTTACATTTTTCGCTGTTTCAACGTATTCTTATATATAAATAAGATGTTCCTGTTACTCTAATGCTTTATAAACTCTTGACTTTGACGAAAAAAAAATATTCGGTACTTTTTACATTTTTTTCGCTGTTTCAACGTATTCTTATATATAAATAAGATGTTCCTGTTACTCTAATGCTTTATAAACTCTTGACTTTGACGAAAAAAAATATTCGGTACTTTTTACATTTTTTTCGCTGTTTCAACGTATTCTTATATATAAATAAGATGTTCCTGTTACTCTAATGCTTTATAAACTCTTGACTTTGACGAAAAAAAAATATTCGGTACTTTTTACATTTTTTTCGCTGTTTCAACGTATTCTTATATATAAATGTGATGTTCCTGTTACTCTAATGCTTTATAAACTCTTGACTTTGACGAAAAAAAATATTCGGTACTTTTTACATTTTTTTCGCTGTTTCAACGTATTCTTATATATAAATGTGATGTTCCTGTTACTCTAATGCTTTATAAACTCTTGACTTTGACGAAAAAAATATTCGGTACTTTTTACATTTTTTTCGCTGTTTCAACGTATTCTTATATATAAATGTGATGTTCCTGTTACTCTAATGCTTTATAAACTCTTGACTTTGACGAAAAAAAAATATTCGGTACTTTTTACATTTTTTTCGCTGTTTCAACGTATTCTTATATATAAATAAGATGTTCCTGTTACTCTAATGCTTTATAAACTCTTGACTTTGACGAAAAAAATATTCGGTACTTTTACATTTTTCGCTGTTTCAACGTATTCTTATATATAAATGTGATGTTCCTGTTACTCTAATGCTTTATAAACTCTTGACTTTGACGAAAAAAAATATTCGGTACTTTTTACATTTTTTTCGCTGTTTCAACGTATTCTTATATATAAATGTGATGTTCCTGTTACTCTAATGCTTTATAAACTCTTGACTTTGACGAAAAAAAATATTCGGTACTTTTTACATTTTTTTCGCTGTTTCAATGTATTCTTATATATAAATGTGATGTTCCTGTTACTCTAATGCTTTATAAACTCTTGACTTTGACGAAAAAAATATTCGGTACTTTTACATTTTTCGCTGTTTCAACGTATTCTTATATATAAATGTGATGTTCCTGTTACTCTAATGCTTTATAAACTCTTGACTTTGACGAAAAAAATATTCGGTACTTTTACATTTTTCGCTGTTTCAACGTATTCTTATATATAAATGTGATGTTCCTGTTACTCTAATGCTTTATAAACTCTTGACTTTGACGAAAAAAATATTCGGTACTTTTACATTTTTCGCTGTTTCAACGTATTCTTATATATAAATGTGATGTTCCTGTTACTCTAATGCTTTATAAACTCTTGACTTTGACGAAAAAAATATTCGGTACTTTTACATTTTTTTCGCTGTTTCAACGTATTCTTATATATAAATGTGATGTTCCTGTTACTCTAATGCTTTATAAACTCTTGACTTTGACGAAAAATATTCGGTACTTTTTACATTTTTTCGCTGTTTCAACGTATTCTTATATATAAATGTGATGTTCCTGTTACTCTAATGCTTTATAAACTCTTGACTTTGACGAAAAAAAATATTCGGTACTTTTTACATTTTTTTCGCTGTTTCAATGTATTCTTATATATAAATAAGATGTTCCTGTTACTCTAATGCTTTATAAACTCTTGACTTTGACGAAAAAAATATTCGGTACTTTTTACATTTTTTTCGCTGTTTCAACGTATTCTTATATATAAATGTGATGTTCCTGTTACTCTAATGCTTTATAAACTCTTGACTTTGACGAAAAAAATATTCGGTACTTTTTACATTTTTTTCGCTGTTTCAACGTATTCTTATATATAAATGTGATGTTCCTGTTACTCTAATGCTTTATAAACTCTTGACTTTGACGAAAAAAATATTTCGGTACTTTTTACATTTTTTTCGCTGTTTCAACGTATTCTTATATATAAATAAGATGTTCCTGTTACTCTAATGCTTTATAAACTCTTGACTTTGACGAAAAAAATATTCGGTACTTTTACATTTTTCGCTGTTTCAACGTATTCTTATATATAAATAAGATGTTCCTGTTACTCTAATGCTTTATAAACTCTTGACTTTGACGAAAAAAATATTCGGTACTTTTACATTTTTCGCTGTTTCAACGTATTCTTATATATAAATGTGATGTTCCTGTTACTCTAATGCTTTATAAACTCTTGACTTTGACGAAAAAAATATTCGGTACTTTTACATTTTTCGCTGTTTCAACGTATTCTTATATATAAATAAGATGTTCCTGTTACTCTAATGCTTTATAAACTCTTGACTTTGACGAAAAAAATATTCGGTACTTTTACATTTTTCGCTGTTTCAACGTATTCTTATATATAAATGTGATGTTCCTGTTACTCTAATGCTTTATAAACTCTTGACTACGTAGTTAACTACAGTCGGAATCATCCTTTTTTTGTATTTTTCAATGAAGTTCCCTAATTTTTTCAATGCTACTTATATTACTCGCGTCGTTTATTTTTTATTTTACGCGATTCACAGTTTAGTGAGAACTAGTTTCAGGCAACTCGACAAACTTTTGACGAACATGAACTCCGAAAACGCCGAAGGAATCGTTCACCAAGTCGGAACTGATCCATCTATCGACCATCGTCCTATGGAAATCGCCAAGACGAACGATGAGTCGGCCGAGGACTTGATACCCGAGGCCGGCAAAATCTTTTGTGTCACTCCCTGTGGATTTTCCGATGACGAGGTGAGTACATTTCAAAATTTTTGATAACTCTATTTTTTTGAGAAGCTGATGAAAAGGTTTTAAACTTCAAAAATTGTATTGAAATGGAACGTTATCTATTTTTTGAACAAAAAAACAGCAACTCAGTTCGAAGATGTTGAATTTTTCCTAGTTTTTACACTTGATGAATAAACGTAGTCTCAGTTTCGGATCTCAGCTCTCAGTTTGAGTGATTTCAACAATTTTTTTCATTTGCTCTCAAAATGTTTTAGATGTTACTCTATCAAATTCAGTTAACAACCGTATTTTGGTTAGAAAGAAAATCTGTAGCGTACCTATGGTTCGGGATAGAATGGGACTTTCGAATAAGAAAACAATGAGAAGTCCAATTGATTGTATTCAGGAAACGACCGAAGATTCGAACTCGGTGGTTGAAGAGGCTTCGAACGTTTTTGTCGACTTGCGACGCTGTCCAGGTACTTATATTTCGATAAGGAAAAATTTAAAATTTTAGAGCCACAGTGAATTGATATATTTCTTGAAGTTTTGCTCAATTTAACTTCCCAAATATTTCAGGATCAGCTGGACTCTTGGCTTTTGTCGCCCGATCTTAAGCGTTACCAAAATTTGTTGCATGGTCGTCCACAAAACTTGCGTCAGAAGATGAACAAAGTTGCCAATAAGGTCAAAAGCTTCATCACGAAGCAGTTCAACCCTCAGCCGGTAATAGTTTATGAATATCTTGTAAAGTAATCTTACTTTTCAGAACCTCAATGAGATGAGGATCAACGATCGTCTTACTTCTGCCGCATACATGAAGACTTTGGCCCCTCAAGTGTCATTCAACTTCGAAGACTACACTTTCGAGAGAAAGTACTCGGATTGCGTCAAGGTAGTTTCGTAACAAACAATTTTTTTAAATTATAGAATTTAGCTTTGGGACGTCTCTGGAACCGCCACTCCCTCTTCCAAATCGGATCACGGATATGAACCGGTTTTTTTGAATTACTAACAATTTCAATTTTGTCCAAACTTCGGATGTTCAAGAATATCAATCAATCTCTCTATTTCAGAGTTCCATCATCCGGCGCCTCAACAGAACGTCCAAGGACCAGAAATATGACATGGTCTGCATTTCCAATGAATATCTCAATTTCAACTATCAATTACAGCTCTTGACCCCCGCTCCCGTTGATCGAGACTCGATCCTTGATCGTCTTCCACCAAACGACCCGTCGGTCAGTTTAACTTTTCGACTTGAAATAATTGACCTCCACTTTGTATCTCTAGAAACTTTATTGCCATTTCGAAACGTCTGATTTTCAAATTGGGTTAGAAATCATTTTATCACATGAGTTTTACTACAAAAAACAGTACAAGAAAAAATTTATCAATTTGACGCAATCAAAAACCTAAAAAGAGTTTTTTTTTTTCGATGTTTGTATTTTCTGAATTAAAAACTTTTTATAGAACCGTACGACACCACCAGACAACGTATACTTCACGCTAGCCGGCTATCATCCGTTCTCCAGTCCCTTCAACAGAGAGCAGGCTAGAGACTATCCATTATTCAATAATTCAATGTTCTTTTCAGGAACTTTCCTTTTCGGAACATCGTCGTCGAGCCAAGGCCATCATTGAGAAGCGTGCAGAAGAAGAGCTGAAGAATCCTTTCTCTGCTTCTCGATTCAATGCTAAGGTATTCAGTTACGAAATGGAATGATAATCCTTCAAACTTTTCAGTTCAAAGAGATGATGTTAGAAGCAATCGATGAGAATGAGGACGAGGAAACTTCAGCCTTCCGTCCGACGGTTCCCACTGGTCCTATGAACATTCGGCAAATTTTCGTGAGTTTCATCATTTTTTTCAAAAAAAGTTTTATCAATGAAAATATATGTAAAGTTGAGAAATGCGCGCGGCTCTCTATCAGTTTTTTTCCAAGTCCCATGGAATAAAAAAAGCTTCTTTTTCCAATTATTTTTCTCAGCGCTTGACAATTTCCATTGATTTTGATGAAAAAAAAATGTATAGGTCCAAAATTCTATGAAAAGACTACAAAAATAAAATTAAATGGAAGATAGTAAATAAAGTTCTTTCAGGGTGACGGCTCCAAGGATTCCGGAAAGGAAATCACGTCCAACGACGTCGAAGAGGCGGATGACGCCGACGATGATGATGTCGTCATTTACCGTCTTTAAATCTCCATTTTTTCTGTAAAATGTTCGCATTCAATCTGTAAATCGTCTGTCATTTGTGTTCTCGTATACCTTTCTTTCTGCTTAGATTCTTGAATTTCTTTTATCTCCTTACTCGATCCGTCTTTCATGCACTGCGCTATGATTTTTTAATGTCTCAACGATTTCTAAGCTTCTGTACTATTGTTTCCTATACAACCTCCGGTTTGTATGGATTCTCCTTCTTCTTCCATTCCCTCTTATCATATGTTTCTTTATAATAATTGAGAAATTTTTTTGCGAATTGAGAGTAGAAAAATTTTTTATTTGTTTGAATAATTAAGAAAACGTTTTTTAGCATGGACTTTCGAACTCTCAAAAGTCATCTGTCTGAATGACCTGGGTTGTGTTGCAGTCTGTACAATAAAGTTTGTGTCGTTTTCTTCAATGTGTTGAAAATCAGAATATCGCAATGAAAAACTTCTTTGAGAAAAAATGTTCGAGGAATGTTCGACTTCGGCAGTTGAGTGGAATTGGTTTAGTGTGTAGCCTGATCTTCGGTTTGTACTTATTGGAAACCCTTATTGAGTTCTTATCTTTCGAAACTAAATTTGAAAAAAATTATCAGGCTAGTGGTCGTCGAGCAACTACGTGTATATTTCTCGGCGTTTCTCAGTTAAAGAAGTTTCGCTAGAGACGCATTTTTCGTTTCCCCAAAGTCCTAAATGTGAAGTTTCTAAAACGAAAAAAATCTATGTTCTCGAAAAAAATCTATGTTCGGTTTGAATTATGGATTCGAATTAGTCGCCCTCATTCGAATTAGTCGCCCTCAACTGCTTTTTTTTCGAAATGAAAAAAATTTTAATTTTGCGGTTTCGATTTCATGTTCAAAGCTTATACTGGACGAACATGTTCGCAAAATCATTTCTTAAAAGATGAAATATCGTAGTCAATAACTTTTGGAGATTTCCATCTAGCTACAGTGTATGTGGTGTCTGAGTAAGTTATACAAAAGTTTATAAAAAGTCAAAAAAAAAATGCTATTTATTTTTTCCAGCAAATTTAGATATCTGAAAACAAGCAACAGCAGAATAAAAGTTGTTGCGTGGTGCTCGACAAAAAATTTGAGGATCTGAATTTAAGTGAGAATCTTTTGGAAAACAAATTTCGAGTAGATATCGAACTCGTGAAACAAAATTTTTAAAACTCTCCCGAGGTCAATGTGGTGTATTTGGGATTTTCCGGCCATTTTTTAGGGAGTGCAACATCATTCTTTTTATGTTAGTTACTCGAAAACTGAGTAGACTCTCACGAAGGTAGTGTTGTGAAAACTGTGAGGATGCGACAATCGAAGTGTGACCACTGACCAGGCCCGTGCCGAGGCCGGATTCACACGGTTGGCACCTAAAGTCGGCCGTCGATTCTCAGGCTAGCATCTTCGTCCGCTCCCTCCATAGGTATAAAAGGTCGGTGTCCAACTTGTTCTTACCATTTGGTCCTCCTTTATTTGTATTTTTTCTGTTTCTTATCACATTTTTGCCCATTTTTTTTTTCGCTTCTATTTCAAGAACTAAAATTCATGTTCGAACATTTTGATTGAGACGTTTCCTTGCAGTAGGGTAGGAAGGTTTGATTTTCAATGTTTTTCCTTCTCGATATTGTCTTTGTAATTGCCAAAGGTTTGCTCAGGTTATGCAAAAATGAGGGTCTTTTCAATTCTTTTTTGTTCTGGAGAATTTCGACAGTCTTCTGAGGTTCAAATGAATATTTTGCAGTTTTTCAAGATTTTTATAAAGATTTTAATAACATATTGAACTATTTGAAGGAAAATTTTGGGTTAGACCTTCGAATTAAAACTTTCGACGTAGAACATTGAAAAATAAGAAATCATTTTTGAGCGCAATGAAAAAAGCGCTGAAAATTAACATATCAAGTAGACTGAATTCAACCTTCTTCAAAGTTTTCAGTTTAAGTCAGATACTCCTCCAGAACAGTAAGTATACTATTCGAGTTCGGTTAATTAACTTCATGTCCGTCGACCCAAGAGTTGCCAAAAGTTACCCGAGCCGAGTTTGCGCAACGGAACGCACTTGGAGTAATTGACATGTCCTGGGCACAAACACGAAATACGCAACGTCCAGAAGAAGATGCGCTTTGCGGAGCCTGTCGGCGGCTCTGTACTATGTCGATTGCGCATCACAGGATCGAACAGCTCGATAACATCTTCACGGGTCGTATTCTTGCCCATTCCTTGTTCTCAGGCCAATCTTACGCTTCTGATTTTGCTCTGATAAACTTCCTTTTATGAGCTTTTACGGCCTCGCGGGTCCCCTCCTTGTCAACGTTCCATTGCGGGCACGAACTTTCACATGGGAGATTTACGCACTCATCAAAAATGCAAGCAGAAACTGGAAAATCTCTTTCACGTTCAGATATACTTTGGCCGTCAATTCGGGCCCATTGTCCAATTTTGACAAGTCAGCTGGCATTTTATCTGTTTCAGAAGGTGACAACTCATTAAGAAAAATCTTTTATTCTAGATTTCATTGTCAAAATTGCGCGAAATTTGAAAAATGTGTGATTTGAAGCTTTTTTCAGATTTTTGGGAAAAACTGCAATCTTTTTTGTAGGTTCTAGTTTATCATGTACCTCGTTCCTGTGAAAAAAAACTATTCTTTCTTGGCCAAATTCAAAAAAAAACCATTTTCAAGCGTTCTTTCACACACTTATCACTATCATGATTCAAAATTCGCATCAGGTTTGCTTCAGAATCAGAAAACCTACACTAAGCAAAACTTCTCAAAACAATATCTTTGTCACGTGGGAAAGTAGAACAAAAGGTGTTGGCCCCACGTTTACGCAACTCTCAACACCTGCTTTTTTGTCCCTTTTTCTCTATTCAAATTGCAAATGACCGAAACTCCTAGATTTTGGCACGCAAATTGTGGAACCTCGTTAAAATCCCGAGATTTATGTAACGTGCAGAAGTTTGCGAGAAGCGGAGCCTCTCCCGTATATCTCTGTCCTGCCTCATTATTGCTCAAACACTACAGCGACTCGAAATCCAATTGTCCTTCGAACCATACTGGGAACCTTCCCCCCGTCTTTTGTTTTCCTTTCATCAGCCACATCATTTTTCAAACCGTGAGAAGAAAATCGCCCTTTTTTGTTTGATTATCTCACGCGTTATTCATCAATTTCTAATTTTATGCGTGTCGGAAGCAAAGAAATCTGGGAAAATTTTTTGAATTATCGAATGCTAATGGAAAATTTTCGATTTTTGATAGGAGATTGCAGATTGAAAAAAATTTTTTTAGTTTACTGAGGATTGACTGCAAGAAAGCTTGAGATCCTTTTTTCTGTTTTCGAGTCGAGTTTTAACAGCGAAAAATGTAATACTAATCATAATTTAGAAAAAGAAAAATTTTCTGTGAAATTCTCCAGAAAAGGCAGAAGCCGTGGAAATTGTTTAGAATAACTGAACAAAAAAAGGTTCTCAGAAAAAAATCAAAGCTAATTTAGGGAACTTTCGCTTGCTCTTTTCATTGTTAGCAAAATGATTATTATCCTTGAAAATTCCTGTCAATTTTCAAATCATATTCTATTTTGAAGAGCTTTATTTGAAGTTGTTTGTAAAATTATTTCAAGCAAAAAGGATGTATGGGAAAGCTTCTATCCTTCATTATTTTTTTCCATTATGCTCTCGTAAATCCTATTTTTTATGAGACAACTCTTCTCTTGTTACAAGAAGATCGAGGTACTGTACTTTTTCGACGCATGTCCATAGACGGTTAGATCTGTCCGCTTGACTGCGCAACTGCAAGTACCTTGCTCTCAAACTAGTTTTTTTTGTCATTCTAAGACTTGGCCACGACCAAATCTTGGTAGAACCAATGAACCGTATCGTAAGCTGTTAATGAGGCACATTTTTTTCGATTGACCATTCCATCGACAAGTTTTTTTGGGCAAAGGTAACCATATTGTTCGGCAAGAGAACGCAATAATGTAAGTTCATAGGGTTTCTGAACATTTTGTCATTTTTTTCGGGGTTACTTCTAACAGGCTTCGTTAGATTTTTTCTGACCGCTATTCCAAAGTTCCTTCTCTTTTTCTCTTGCTTTTATAAGAAGGAAATCTTTCTTATAAAATTTATTATTCTAATTTTTTTATCCAAAATTTTCCGTATGCGCTAATTTTTCTTAACTTTCTCTCCGCTTTGTCTATAACATCTCAAAGCAAAAGAAGAACTCAAAAGGTTTCCATAAACTCATAACTTCTTGTACATTTAATGCATCTTTACAATTATATCTCGTGCAAGTGACAGCTGCAGAACATCCCAAAGAACTTCCGCGCACCTCTCAAAAGAGATAATCCTCGTAAAGCTCCTCGGTATTCTTAGTATCCAGTTACGTCGAGATCTGGCACAACTCGTCGCCCGACAGCCAAACCGATTCTGCAGTCATTTCTTCGCTGTTTTGCGACTCAAAAATGAGGAAAATGTCCTCACTAGGGAACTTTTTTTTACCCCCACGAGTCGAACTTTTGACAAAACTTTGCTGAAGTGATCTTTAGGATCTCCTGATTCCAGAACAAAAAATTTTCGAAATAGATCTCGTTTTCGAGTAAGTCTATTGCGAGACATTTTTTACTTGTTGTGTAATGAGGAGGTCCTAGGGACATTCCAGCAAAGTTTCATCAAAGTTCAACCGAGGGGAAAACGTTCCCTAGTCACAAATTTTCGAAGACTTTTCTGTTTCTCAACCTTTTTTGATTTTTTGCTGTCACACGTAAGACTTTTTTTTCCAACTTTCTTTCCAAACGTGGTCTAGCAGCAATTGCTTCCTTCTATTATCTGCTCACAAAATCAACTTAGCCAGGTGTTTCACCCTTTTTGCACTTATTACCCCAAATGCCATTAGTTGGTTGATTTCGAGCCGTTTTTGGAAGGCAACTCGCACCTGTAGGTGTCCGGCAACCCAAACAATGGTTTCGTGTGCATCCTGGGTAACCTGAGCGCCCGGTGGCTTCGGATGACGCAACCGACCAACCTTTTAATTAACACCTTTTGCATGCCTTTTGTTTGCTTTCGCACCGTATTCGGTCAAGATTTATATTTCCTCACCCAATTCAAAGGTATGACCTGGAATTTAGAAGGTTATGAAGTTTAATGGCGATAATTATTAATAGGTGACTCATGGTTTTTTGGTGAAAAAGATTTATTGTTTTTTTGAATGATCTCCATGACAAGGTCAAAGTTTCAGAGTTAAAAAAGTCAATATTTTAATTCTACTCGAACTGGAATTTTTCTAAAAACCTGTCAGGTGGAATTTTCTATGGAATTTTGCTTTCTTATAAAAACTTCAGGAAATGAGTCTTTACTTTAGGATTTTTGAGAACGAGAGAATAATCCATGAATCTTCCAAAACGTTCCAATTTTCATATCCAAACTTTTTTCAAGTCTAATCATATACTTTTTGGACCAGAATAATTGGAATTAGTGAATTTTAATTTTTGATGAGGAGCCACGATTTTCTCAGAAGACTCAAGTTTTCTTGTTTCATATTCAAGTTGGGCTAGTTACTAACCTTTTAATCTACTGCTCTGGAAACTAAAAAAAATGGAGTCTCTCTTGAATTTTCCTATTTTTTGATTATCAATCCAATCAAATACTTGAAAGTTATCCTGAAAAAAGAAATTGAGAAAACTGGATCATTCAGTTATCGAGATCCATCGAAAAACGAACTTTTCCGTTGGACATTCATCTTATTACAATCTCGACCTCGAGACTGGCAACAGGAGCAAAACCAGCTGGATTGATAGCTTCTCATCGTCTCGGCGCGGTCAGAACATAAAAGATGATTGTAATCGTTGTTATTGTTGACGGGAACACGGCGCGGTGCATCTGATACATAGGGGTCATTGTACCTTACAACCGGTCGAACAGCTCTGCGCGGCTTTTTGGTGATTGACAAGTGGTAACAGGTGCTTTTTCTGTCGGCCCCGCGCGATTCGTCAGGACTCTCGATGATATTGCTAATTTTATATGCGCCGAGCTTTCGGGTTGTTTGAGCTCAGGATTGGAGGTTTTTTGGGGCTAGTTTCATTTTTGATAAAAATTTGAAGTGCATTTGAACTTTCCGGTTTCACATAAGTTTTTGTTTTGCCTCTTTTTTTTGGATGAGACGCTTTAAATTCGCCAAAAACACCGAGAAAACTTTTGATTCAATTGAAATTTGGTTAGTTTTTCCTCGAAAATATCGAGCATTGCAGCTTTCCAGGAATGTTAGAGCCTTTCTGAAAATAGGCGCTGATTAAAGCTGAAGTCGAAAAATCTTTATTTGTTTTTCATTTAGGAAAATTAGGATTCTCTGATTAAAAAAAAAGTCGGACTGTAATCCAGACTGTAGAACTTGTAACGCAGGGTGCAGTTTGTAATTAAAATGTTCTTGAATCCTGAAATTCGCCCACTTCTCCAGTCGGTAAAGTTGATTAACCAGAAAAAAAACCCTATTTTTTTTAAAGAATAAGATTTGAATATTTCTCTAAAAATCGGTTAAAAATCCTTCGCTTTGTAAAAATCTTTTTTTATAAGGCTTTTTTTATTTCATCTTTGAAACTTTAAAGTTTATTTAATCGATCATTTTTTTCAGATTATCAAGCTTCAACTTTTTGTTGATTTTTTTTCAAATAAACCCTGTAACTCAAAAAAAAAGTGTTCACCCGAAAACTGCGGGTATTTGCATTTATCCAATTATGCCTTTTTTTCCTAATATGAGAGGTCAACCTCAAATTCGGCGTAAACGTCTATAATTCATTCCGAAAATCCTTTTTAGATCCCATTTGCCTGGAAATTTGAATGTAACCTGTCATGTTTTTGGCTTATTTGGCAAACCCCCAAGCAAGGTCTCAAAAATTGTGCGAACAATCTGTGAAGGCTCGTGTGGAGGAGTGATACTAACAGGTATAGCTGACACATCAAGCTTCCGGATTAGGTGGTCGACAAGGTGCAAAGACGTTTATTGACGTGAAGGCCGAATTTCACTTTGCCGGTGGCAACACGCTCGGCGGAAACTTCTAATACGCGCCGCCGCTCCCGTCACTCACTCCTTCCTGTCAAGTGGCCGATGGCCATTTTTGGTCAAGAGCAATAAAAAATTGGACAGTGTGAGGTCGACGCCCCGCCTCCTTTGCAACGCCCCCCGTGCAACTTGACGGCGCCCTACCGTCTGTCGCAGTTTAAACTATTACCTTCTGCTGCTAATCCGCTCTCGGCCAGCGATTCCGATCCAAACCAATTCACTTCACTTCATTTCATCTCATTTTCATTTTTTCTCCGTTTTCTTGACGTTTTCTTAGCCTAACCTTTCTTTACGACATTAACGGCTCTTACAATGTTGCCGACGGCACTTTTTTATTTCTTTTTTTTTCGCGGACCCGAGTCTCGCGTGTTGGTCCAAAGCCCGTCTTTTCAGCTTGGCCGCCTCAAAACGTCTAGAACAAAAGAATGTAAGGCGTTGGTGAACATTATTTGAGCTTGGCTGCAATCAGATTTCGTTCTTTCCCTTTTTTGTTCTCTTTAGACTTCGTTATTTCCGATTTCTCGAACGTCTCAATTTGATTTTAGAAACAGAAAAAGTTTGAAACTTTTCCCGAAAGTTCTGATTTGTCTTTTCTTTATTTCTTTTGAAGATTTGTTATCTCGTGCTGAAAAATGAAATTAATTTTAGCAATGATTTTTGAAAAACTTAATGATTAATAGTAGACAGTTTGTGAAATTTTTCATTATGAGGATTTGAAAAATTCATTTATTTGTTTTCAAAAATAAGATTCAAAGTGCCGTCAAAACTGAAGTTACCTCATTTTCACTCAAAATTTTTCAAAGTCCTCAGAGCCGCTTTTTTTCTGACTTTTATCGACTAAAAGCTCTTTTTGAACTTTAAAAATAAGAAGTCTCACTTCCCCTCCCCTCCTTTCTCTAAACCCTCATTTGAAAAACAACAATAAAGGGTGTTTGATTTCTCGCTATTTCCTTCGGAGCCGATGTTTGGCGAGGATTTGCTCGAATTAGTGGGGAGATTCCTTTAGAGTCTTCTGTCATCTTCAATATTGCTTCTCTTCTTGCGAGATATTTTTTCTTCTTCTTATTTTCTCATTCAAAAAAAACTTCCGAAATTTAATCAGAAGCTAGTTAGAAGAAGATTAAAAACGATCGGAAGTCTCTCGTCGGATTTTCGATGTCTTTGCACATAAAGCGCGCGCCAACTGTCCAAGAGAGCCTCCCAACTCCAAGAACACCTTGACTATAAGCAATTGGGTAATAAATTGCGATTGTGTAATCTTTGGCTGTGCGCGGGAGCACGGCTGTTCGCCACTGGTACGCCGCTTTTGACTTTGAGTCTTAGCTTCAAATTGATCAGTTCTAAATCTTATTCCATTAAAATTCAAATGAAGAAGAAGATCTTGTCGATAACATTCATTTTCTCTGTCTTTGATTCTGTCATCAATATTTTTTGATTGAGTTTCACTGGAATTTGGAGACTTTTTTGGTATTTTTTGGCCCTTTGAAATGTAGATGATATTATGTTATCGCTTTCAATGTTGAAATCTGTTAAAAATTGGCTTTTTTTCTAGTCAGACCAGAGTAACTATAGCTAGAACTTGTTTTCCAAAGTTCGCATTAATATCTGCTCCGAAACAGCAAAGCTTCAATAAATTTCGAACTCATAGCTGAAACTAAAAAATACTACTCCAAAAATAAAATTTCAATAAATTCAACAAGATCTTCTCCGTTCCATCAACAGTAAGATACTTTTTTGTCCCTCCTTCATCAGTTTGTTTAACTTGTAGAACGTCTTAACCCAGCGAGAATGGGCAAATCTGACCTCTGGAGATGAATAGGAGGTGCCTGATTCATTGTCGTCATTGCGCCTCGGCTCGTTTCCGCACTGTTGTTTGGTGACCTGCACCTTTTTTGGGAAGATCCGATACTTTTTTTGTAAATGGACTGTTATTTTCATCATTTAGAAGTTTTTCGAGCGTTAGTTAGGATTGTTTTTTTCAAGTTTAGGATAGAGTAGAAATTTTCGCGTAGTGATATTAATTTGTGATATTTCTTTTTTTGCACTAACTGGATCGTTTTGTGTTTCGTCTTAATTAGATTTGATTGAAACAGGAAAAATAAATATTGGTTCGTTCTTCCTCCAGTTAGCCAAAAATCAAGAAAAACGGTTTTTTTCAATTGATTTTTGAGCTCATTTCTCCACCAAGCTGTAAAAGTTTAGTTCTCATCAATATGTAAAAACCTCTGAGATTCACCTTTTCCCAATTTTGAAGTGAACTATAAGTATTTTTCAAATCCTCCATCAAACTTCACTAAGAAAATTCACATCAACCCCCATTCTTCATAAAAAAAGGCTGAAAGTCGGGAATAATAAATTGGACGTGAATAGCAGTCACTTAGAAGATGCGCTGCGCCGTTCCACAAGTCACGCTATTGTGCTGACAGAGCACAAAGAAGGAACCAACCGTGATTACCTTCGATTGCTCGGCAGCCGGGGCTCGCCACATCTTTTTTTGGGCCGTCGTCTACCCGCTTTTTTGCACCTCGATTAGCTTGATTTCCGTTCCTTTCGCCTCCTCATATGTACTTCTTACAGCTATATACATTATTTTCGTGTTTTTGGATCTTTTTGACAGATTTCTTTCATAGTTTTCTGGGTGAAGTTTTTGGAAAATGCGCTTGGGGTGATCGGATCAACTCCTTTTAAACCCGGGTTTGGACTTTTTTCTTCTCAAAATTGTGCAGTCGCTTTAATTTCGACTCGAGACAATAGTGAAAAGGTCCTGACACGATTTTTTCGAGACAGTGAACTTTTTTTCTACTACACCGTTTATCACCCTCTTTCACACTTTTACAAGGTTTTCCTTTCCTTGAAGCTAATTTCTTCCGTTTTTCTCCTCTTTTTGGATTATTCCTTTTCATGAAATTCAAGAAAAATTTTTGAATAACTTTATTTTTCCGCGATTTTTTGTTTCTGTTCCGTAAATTCGCTCTAAAATTTTACGAAACTCATTTTTTCAGAATGCGTCTGATCGGCTTGTTTTGCTTGTTTTCAACATGCTCGACGTTCGTAGTCCTTCCCTACATCCAAATCGACTTTGCTCACATGTACAGGGTGGCGCAGTGCAAAGCGAAATGCGCTGAGAAGGTGAGCAAAATTTCAATCAAATCTAGTCAAATTTTGAATCTTTAGTACGGTAAGCCCGCTAAACGAGATCTTCTTGACGGTTCTCAAGAAGAATTTTTTGACGTCACTTCTGAAGACAACGTCAAAGTGAGTTGAAATTTGAAGCATAACTTTCAAAAAAAAATTTTGAAGTGCGAACTGGGCTGCCAGCATTACATCCGAGGATACAAGAAGTCGAACCTGACTGGATCCACTCTGCAAGGCGCCAAGTTCTGGGTCGAGAGCAGCGCTCATACAGGTAAAATATCACTTTTAGCAGAAAAATCACGGATAAATCTAGATTAACTATCAAGGAATTTTGAACTTCCATCGCGAGAATTCGCAAAAAATGTCTGAATAAAAAAATATTTCAAGTTGTTTTCAGAACGACTTCCTTGAATGGAAAGGTTTACGTAAGAAATAATCATAAAATGTTTCTTTTTTTCTATTTTCCCAGCTTTTTTAAGATTCAAGCTTCTCAGGGCTTTAAAAACCCATGCAAATGTCATTGACAGTTCATTTCATTTTTTTTTACTTCTCTCAAAAAAAAATTCAGGAAGAGTTGGATCTTCTCCGATTTCGAGCGTGGAACTCCTGTGCCAAAGCCCCTCGACTACTTATGAAATGCTGGACACTTATGAAGGCATCATCGGACTTTCGAGAACGCGATCCTCGGGCCCCGTTCAGTTTGTCGTCCAGTGGAAACAAAGGACTTACGCCCTTGGCTACTACGACGAAAGCCAGTGGATCACTGCCTCGGTTAGTTTTCTAAGTCTTCGCTTTCTTGACGATTCTAATTAAAGGTGACAGTAAACATATGAAAATTATCTTTCTGTAGGTAGAATAAAATGTTGATGGCCTGAAAAATGAGTCATGATTCGATTATGATACGAACAAAAAAAGTAAAAAAAGTTGAGTTTCAACTGGATTTCATGGAAAAATTCAATAAAGATTTCAACTATACTCTTAGCTACAATCTTTTTATTTATTGTTCAGTATTTTTGTAACTTATTTGCGCTTTCACGAAACGATTGATATAATACTGTTAAACTTTATAAGCCTCAAAAACTTTTCAGAAAAAAAAATTCTGAACCTTATTTTTTCAGTCCGAGCCAGACACCCTGATCAAAGTGGAAGGCCTGATCCCCGGAGTTCAATACAAGTTCATGATCTCTGTGATCGGACCAGCCGGCAAGCTGGGAGAAACGATTTCAAGCGAATGGGCCGAGATCACGTCAACTGTAGCCCTCAAAGCGCCTGGCGGTCCTCTCGTCGTGAAAAACGGATACAATTCGGAACAAGGCGTCATCGCTCACGTCCATTTTCCGAGGTGAACATATGTATCTAATTTGATTGATCTGGGGGTAATTAAAAGTGTTTCCGTCGGCGCCCTCGAACCGGCCAAAGTCAAAGTCAACAATTAAGTATTCAGAACCGCCTACGATAGCTGTCACTATCGCCTGTACGTGCGCAACGAGACCGGCACTGTTGAAAGGGACATCACCGTGGTTCGTTAGCACCTCTACTAATTGGACTATAGTTATTTGTTACAGGATCCGACGGTCCCGATCTTGTTGCCTGACCTGGAGTTTGACTCCACTTACACTGTTTCTTTGGCGGCCCTCTCAACTGATGGCAAAACGACTTCCTCTGTTATTGCCTCCCGATTCAACTCCTTCCAGTGCCGCCAAGTCTACGGAAAAGGCAGCATCCATTGCGGTTGGTTATTTTTCGTGAAAATGAAAGACGTTTCGTTCAAATCAACCATGAGTTTGTCAAAATTTTTTTGAAGCTTCAGGTGAAAATTCAAATACTTGCTACCTGGACAAGTTTCTGATTTTTGAGATTTCGATCTTTCAAAATTTACGGACAGAGCTTCAATAAAGAGTTTCTAGACTAATAGCTTATGTCAAATATCACAAAGTTGAATTATAAAATATAAATATTTGAGAAACTAATAAAAAAATGTTTAGCTCCCGATCCAGTGACTGACATCAAAGTTGCTCTGCGGCCAAACGGAACGGCCCTTATTTCTTGGACTCCTTCAGCTGAAGTCGATGTCATCCTGACCTACCAAGTCACTCATCAAGCCATCAGCGGACCATGCAGCCAGAAACCTGTTTCTGTGTATCTTAGCGCGGTTCGTTTTTAACTGGATATCGTTTTTGATAATTACGGAAAGATTCAAAATTTTTTGCAATTTTGTACTATCGGATTCTTTGTTTTTAAATCACTATGTGTGTTCACATCACAAAGGTTGTATAATTTTCCATGAAATTCAGAAATTGAAAAAAAAGATTTTTTTAAGATGACTATGTAGAAGCATGCGCACTGTGCTTCATAATTTCTACTTGTATCGAATAAATTCCAAAAATTTGTTAGAAAACTTTTTTGAGCGAATTCCACTTCCATTTTCCAATAGCGACCAAATAAACTCAGTTCAACATTTTCCTTTTTTCAGACTTCAACTCAACACGAACTTCTGCTCCCACGGTACGATGAGTGCCAGTTCTTAGTCCGAATCATCAACTACGACGCGATTGGACGAGAAGCTCAGGCAGAAACGCAAATCAGCGTCGACCGTCCTCTTTCCCTATCATCTCAAACAATTTTCCAGTTCCCTCTTGTAGCAATTACCATTGTAGCATGTCTTGTCATTCTTTGCATTGGATTCATTCTTTGTTGCCATTGTCGCTGTTCAGAAAAATGTCCTGCACGCATTTCCGAAAAACACTCGAAGGTCTCAGCTTATCCTTGAGTTTATCCTGATCCCTTTAATAAGTAGATTTAGTAATACATGTCTGTGTCAATCTCATTTCGGGTTTTCTTTCTTGCTCAGCCTTCCAATCTTGAGCTGCACGATGCGTGTACTTGCCTCCCACGATTCATTTCATGTACCAACCAATGTTCTGAATTGCTTTTTGTGCCTCATTGCATACCGGTTGTTTCATCAGTTTCAAGTTTCTTTCCAGTTGTAAATAAATGATATAATCACTAATGATGAAAGTGCAACCAAGCAAAAAAAGGAGGGTAACAAAGAAGTTATCACACGATTGAAATCATGCATCGCGAGACAGGCAGATAAGAAATGATAAAAGTGCTTTAAAGATAACAGATTTACGCAGGGCTAGTCATTTTCCGAGTTTCCAAATTAAGTGATGGTCGAGATGCGGTTGTAAGTTTTTTTTTTGTATTCAATAATTGTTTAAGTTTTTTTAGATACAAAATTCAATATTTGTATAAAAAAATGTAGAATCAAGTTCTAAGCTTCATAAGCTACAATTTTTTTCTCAAAAAGGATTACAATAAACTTTTTTTATCCGGTCGTTCCTGAAAATATGTTTTGGCTGTTTATTTCAAAGCAAATGAGCTCAAAACAGGTTTTAAAGTTTTTTCTATTCTTTTTTGAAACCGTTCCGGGTATCTAAAGAAGCTTAGCAGGGATTTTATGATTTCAGAGTTTTCTATTTCAAATTTAACGAAACTTTGATATTTCAACTTCAGGTGGAACCCCCATGTGAAACTTATTGAAGATGGCAATGTATCTACCAGGTAAGAGTTTGCAAAAATTTGTTCAGCTTTTTTTATAAAAATTGAAGCTCGGAATCAAATGATTTTTCTTTGAATTTTTCAAATTTTTAGTGGCATATTTTTGATAAATGTTTGATAGTTGTTGAGTGGCCGGTGGCTCTAGAAAAAAATCTGAAAGCTTTTTCGAGTAAAGGAAGTATATTCATATATCAAAATTGCTTCAAGTTTTTTTCAATTTCAGCTCACACGATACAAGTAATCCGGCTGGAAAGAAAAAAGACGACTTGCATACTATGAAGTAATTGTTCAACAAAGTAAAAACTAACCTATGAGGATTTAGATCTGTTGTGGCCGCTCTTGAAACCATCGCGATAATGCTTTGCTGTGGTGTGTTTCTCATGTTATTGTAAGTGAATCTGTATATTTTATTCAAAAAGAGAGGGTTTTAAGGCTTCTCTGTGCTCTATCGAGAGGGTCGAGTTTAATGAATGAGGAAAAAGCCGTTGCGCCAGTTCTTCCGCCCGATGGAATTTTCTCAGAATTCATGATTTTCTCAGAAAAGTCAGTGAAAATGTTCTCACTGTTTCAATACAAGTGTATCACAGGAACAGCCGGAAATACGGCTCAAAGGATGAAGTCACGAAAAGATTGGACGCCTATAAAAGCCATTCTGAAAGAATCGAGACGTGGAAAGTTTCGAAAGAGCACGGAAATGTCGAATATGGTCACAATGATCTCTCTGATTGGACCGACGAAGAATTCGAGAACAGTTTGATGTCCAAGTCTTTCTACCAGCGCCTTCGGAAAAACGAGTTCTTGAAGCCTGTTCCGGAGTCCTTGGCTCAGATGAAAGGTACTTTTCCAGAAATTTCTGAATTGAAAAAGTAAAGAAGAAAAACATTTTAAGATTTTCGTATTCAAAAATCGATTTCGAAGGATTGAAATATATGTCTTGATGATTGAGCTCTTTGATTCCGCTCTTCTCTATCTCGAGTTTCAATGCAAAATTATACTTTAAGGAGAAGCTGGAGCACCTTTCCCCGACTACTTCGACTGGCGTGACCGAAACGTTGTTACTCCAGTCAAAGCTCAAGGTTCCTGTTCCTTACTATATGTTTCTAATGAATAGTTTCAGGAAAATGCGGCAGTTGCTGGGCCTTTGCTTCCACCGCCACTGTTGAAGCTGCTTGGGCCATCGCTCACGGCGAAAAGAGAAACCTTTCCGAACAAACTCTCCTTGATTGCGATTTGGACGACAACGCTTGCGATGGTGGCGACGAGGATAAGGCATTCAGGTGCGTCTTTTTGATAAAAATTAGTGATAAGAAAAGGCAATTTGAGGTTCATCCACCGAAATGGTTTGGCCTACGCCGCGGACTTGCCTTATGTGGCTCATCGACAAGAAACTTGCCGTGTGAGCAGCAACTGGAACACAACTAAGATCAAGGTGATTATAATCTGTCTACAACTTTTGAGGCTTTTGGGGTCAAAGTTTAATGACAAGATTGGAGTTCAAAAGGATCGTATAGTTTCGGAACAATTATTCAAAAGGATAAGTGCCTTGAGAATTTTATTCATACGCACTGAAAATTTCAGCATCGCCTTAACGTCAAAGAAAAAAAAAAGCATAGTTAGTCTACAATTGAAAGTATAAGAGATGAGCTTTAGACGACAGCTCTAACAGCTCTCAGAAAACCTACAAAGAAAAATTTTTTTACCACCTGATTGAGCTTTTGATGATTCTTTGAAGCATATTCAGGACCTTCTGATTTTGGATCAAGTAAAAAAAATTTCGCAATGGATCTTTTTTCTAGTTACGAAGCTTCAAAGTGAGCAAATTATGACAAAAAGCGCTTTTTCAAGGTTTTAAAGGGTCCTACCTCGAAAACGAGATCTATTGCGAGAAATTTTTTGGGGTGAAAAGCTTTTTAGTTTCAAAAAGCAAAAATCTAAATAAAAGAGATAAACATGATGGTGGTTAGAAACTGAAAATTCAAACAAAATTCGAAAAAAACGAATCAAAAAAATTGTCATGTTGAGTGTCCTGAAGAAACATTTATTCATTTTTCCAAAAAAAAAAATATTTTTAGGCTGCTTATTCCCTGCACCAAGACGAAGAATCGATCATCAACTGGCTTGTCAACTTCGGTCCCGTTAACATTGGAATGGCTGTCATCCAACCAATGAGAGCTTACAAGGGCGGCGTTTTCACACCCTCTGCTGAAGCTTGCAAAAACGAGGCGAGTCGAACAAAACTTTCCAAGAAATATATTGATTCAAGGTGATTGGACTCCATGCACTGCTGATTACTGGCTACGGAACTTCGAAAGACGGTGAGAAGTATTGGATCGTGAAGAACAGTTGGGGCGACACCTGGGGCGTCGAGAACGGCTATATCTACTTTGCTCGTGGCATCAACGCCTGTGGAATCGAAGACGAACCAATCGGAATATTGGCTTAATTTTTGTGACAATTTTTTCAACGTTCAACCACCTAGGGTGCTTTTAGAAACGATTTCAATGTATGTAATGAAAGGTTTATAGCATCAGTTCGAGTACAAAACAAATGTCATTTCAGTTGTCAATTGTAAAGAAACACGATGCTTCGATCAGAAAGAACGAAGCTTTTTTTTTGAAAGATAGGGCGGAAAGCAAGAATAACAAAGTAAAAGACAGGCAAGGAAAAAAAAAAGTCGTACCATTTCGAGCGGCAGTGGAGAACTACGCAAATTTTGTTTGAAATGAGTGAAGGGTTGAGAAAAATTTAAGGACGTCCTATCGTTTTCTTCATTTACAAAAAGCTTTAAGATCATACACGTAATAAATAAGCGCGTTCAGGGCAGCATAATACAAATGAAACTCCATATTTCGCCCAGTGAATAACAAAGCTTAAAGCTTGAAATACGTTTAGTAATACTTCAAAGAGGCAAAATAAGGATACTAACAGAGAATGAAACATCGTTCGCAATCCCGGCGAGAAAAAATCAAGGCTATTGCATTAACCCGCGTTCCGTCATATTCTACAGGTTTTACGTTCTTATAAAAAATAAAGAAGAGAAAGAAGCAGAGATCAATTGGCGAAGATCGGGCGGACCGATTTGTTGAAGGAAATCTCGTCTTCTGCAAACACTTGCTTGACAGCCTCACTTCTTGAAGCTGTTGCTGGTCCTCTTTTTCCATCTGCAAAGGTTTGAAAAAAGCTTGATAATTTTCTATCTCAAAATCCTAGCCAGCAGAAAAAGATCACAAAAATCTTGTTTTTTGTGCGATCAGCATGATTGGCGCTTTGTTTAATTTTTTAAACTAATGAGGAAGTGGAAAATGCGTCCAGTTGATAATCTGATAAAGCTTCGCTTTAAACTGACCAAGGAATTTGAAAAGGTGAGCCTTTGATGCAACTTCGCTAGAAAATACTTTAAAACACCCTGGTCTGAATAATTTAAAAAAAAACGTTATTTTGGTTCTGAAAAAATTCATAAAATCTCATAGCTGTCAAAAACTTTTTTCTGCTCTTTTGAGTACTTTTATATTTGCATTGTTAGGGAAAGGCTCAAAAAAATCAATACTGTTTAGAATTCAGAAGTCTTTGAAAAATCGACCCTTTTTTTCTGTACTGACTGCATTCCAAATCTGCACGGTTTTTTTAACTTTTTAAAAACGAAATTATTCATGATAGTCTTGGCTGGCTTCATACAACTATTTGGAGCTTCTAAGAACTAACCCCGCCCCCCAGACCCACCAAAAGGATTTTCAAAATGACTTACTTTGCACTTCGTTCAATATCGAAATGCTAGGATTCGACCTCACAGCGGGTCTTGTCTCTGTTTTAGGAAGAATGTTTTCGATGTCGTTGAAGTCAAGATACTCCTGCAACATTTTTTCTCCAAACCCAATCTGAAAATTCTGAAAAACCTTGTGTCGAGGCAAAGGTGAGTTTTCAAAATCAAAGTAGGCGGAACGTTGGGAAAACGCAGTCGAAAACCTCTTTTTCGAGTCGAACATCATCGACACTCAAATTCAAATTGACTTGAATCAGAAAAAGCTGTAATACATTTTCTAGTGGTTACTGTATCACTGGCACTGTTCCCCTTTTCAATGGAGTTTGAATGAATTGTGTAGATCGGGTTCGGGATCTTCGGACGGACTCCTGAATAATTCAATAAATTTTGTGAAAAACGCAAATTTATCAGGAAGAACACTCAGAGCAACCGACGGATCTTATGCTCCTGCTGGAATTATAACTTCAACCGTGATTTTTGGCAGTTTGAATTTGTTTCGAGCGGTAGAAAAAATCAGGTGAAGCGCTTTTGCATAGATATTAAAGTAAATATTGTAATTTTTGAGGCTATATGGTCATTAAAACACGAGAGACAAAAGTTATCACATAGTGGGACTTGTAAAAATCAAAAATCAAACTTTTCAAATGTTACAGCTTCTCAAAAACCTCTATATCATGCAGACCTTTGATTTGAGAGTTTTGTTTGTTTGAATTGAACTTCCAGGACGAGAAATATGCAAAATGCGCAGTGCGCTATTGAGCAATTGAGATTTTGGCGCCACATGTCAAGAGACCCGCCGTATGAGAAAAGCCGACAATCGAGCCAAAATCAACTATCGCTGGATCTAAGGAGTTTACCCTATTCTTCAAAGAAAAAGTTCTTCGAAATCAGAAAAATCGAAAAAATTATCAAAAGTGAAAAGAAAAACTCACGGCTCTCCGCACGCACAGGCTTTGATCTTTCGGTTTCGGTTTGCTGCTGCTTGCTCCGAGACTTATTGAGCAAGAAAAAGAAGACGAGCAAAAGTACAAAGACGGCGAGAACGCCGGCGGTGATCGCCAGAACGACCACCACCCAACTCGGCATGCGAACCTGCAAGATAATTAGTAATACTTATCTGAAGAGCGATTGATTCATTCCGAGTAGAGTAGATTGGCTATATCTTATCTTATCAACTAAACCTTCAGAGAAATATTGTTTTTTTGTCATTTTCACTTGTAGAAATCATTCATTTGTAGTAAGAAAAATTCATTGTTGAAAATGAAGAGCTTCGAAAAACTGATTTTAGTAGTACCTTCATTTTGAAACGTTTTATTAAAATTTGAAGTCCTAGATTTCATTTTTCAGAGCTTTGACATACCAAAAATTTGGTTTTTTTTTTCATACTTTAGAATTGAAATCTATTGAGGTTTTATGTTTCAAAAATGACCTTAAAAATCAAAGGTTGGATATTTCTCCTTTTAAGTGCTTTCACACAATTTCAAAAAAATGAAAACGGGAAAAATGAGGTAAATGGGATAAGTTCCTTATAAAAAAAGTGATATAAGCAGGTGTTTAAAAAAACCAAAAAGCAGTTTTTTTCCTGCCGATTTTTTTGTTTAAAAACTTTCATGTCGGCTCGAAAAAATCTTTGCGAAATGAATGAATGCCTTTTTCGTGATCAACTGGAGCAGGTCTTTTTACGATTTTATTCGAAAATACAAGCTTCTTTTCAAGTCTCAATACCAATATACATTCCCTGGAAATTTGATTCTGCAAGGTTTGCAATGAAAATTCGGAAAAAAAATTGCGCCTAATTTTATTTGGAAGTACTAGAATAGACCAGTTTTTAACAACCCGATTATTTTTAATAACTTTTACAGCTTAAGCCCTGCTATCGAGAAAATGAAGATTGCAAAAAATATCTGTTGAGGATCTTATGAGGACAGAAAAAAAAAGCTTTTTCGAAAATTTCGAGACCAGCAGAGCGAGCGCAGGAATAATAAAGCTTCCTGGAAGCAGTAAACAAAAAGCGGATGAATCGATGGCCAATGTTTTTGGTTTAACTTTTTTTATTTTGTCGTCGGTCAAGAGAGAGTAAGTGTAACGCGCCGGTACGTCCATTACTGAAAGAACGAGACGTCGGCGTGTTCTAATAAAACAGTGAAGGACATAAAACACCTTCGCCACGGTTTCCAATTATTCAAACTGATACAAATGGGAGACAGTGGTTGATCAGCACCGAAAGAACAATCGGAACGCCGAATTATGGCGAAAAAGGCGGGAAGGGTGGCGCCTGCGACTTTTGCCGAGGAACTGGCTCTCCGGAGCGAAATCGAGCCGGAAATTAGCACCTCGACGGCTCGGCGGCCAATGAAAGAAATCGGTTCGCTTCGCACAAAACAATAAGCCTCGCGGCTGGCACAATTCCTATCGAAGCTCCGCCGGAAGGATCATGCGTCTTGACAGCGATGTTCCCGGAAACGATACCGCTTTTTTCGTTGAAAAACGCCATGCGGAAAGAAAAAATGTTTGGTCAACGGTTTACAGTGCGATGAGCTGCAGAAAAAAACAATTTGCGATGAAATTTTGATTCTAGTCTTTGATAGATCGACTAATGAGAAATACTTATATGATCTTATTAGTTGAAAAAAATGAGAATCAGTAAGGGGGGGGGTTTTTTCTCTGAGGTTTTTTCAGAAGTGAAATGAATCACTTTCAAACGGTCTAATGAAGAATGTACGCTTGAAAACGTCCGAAGAAGTAAGAAAAGGAGTTTTCTAAGCAATTTTTCCCATTGTTCCTTGAAATAAAGTTATAAGGCAAATTGAATTCCCTTATGAAGGTTAAAAGCTCCAAGTTGTAGGAATTAACTCAACAAGAGTCGGAAAAATCCAAGAAAAAAGGAAAATTTCGATTTTCTCATGTTGAAAAATGAATAGACAGAAAACCAGTTGAAAGTAAGACATATAGTTGAAACTAGTTAACAAAAATTTAAATAAAAAAAGTTTCATAAAATGCCATTTATCATCACCTGATGACCTTTTTTTGTAGCTGGAAAAAAATACCAAATTGAAGAAAAAAATAAAGTTTTAGTAGAAATCTGGAAGAGTTTCGAGTAACTGATAAAGAATAAACAAGTTGAAGCTAAACTTTTGCATTTTTTTTTATTGCGGCAAGTCTTTCTTGAAAATTTTGGAAGTAGGAAAACCCTGCCTCAAAAAATGATTTAAAAAAATGTAAAAAGAAAAGAAAAAAAAAGTCCCAGAAAATCAAGCAGCAACCAGGAAACAGTAAGTAAGACAAAACCCTCCTAATTATCGCCGTCAAACTGATTGGCTTTCAGACTACTTTGCCAATGGTGGAAAAAATGAAACTTTCCTTCACATTTTGAACTAAAAGGGCAAGAGTAGAAACTGGTAGGAAAAAAGTAGAGAAAAATCTTGGGAATGGCAAGGAAGGTCCAATGACATATCAGACTCGGCACACGCGGTTTCAAATAAGTGGGCGCAAGTCTTTGTTTGCAGGGCAGACGCCGGCCGGCTGACCACTGACCTCCCGCCGCGCACTGTCGGCCTCGTCTTTGCTGCCTTTCCAGCTTAATCTCCAGTCCTTTTCAATAGCACCAAAGTTTGAAGTTTCATTGGGAAGGAGTCTATTCTGATGAAAAATGAATCAAAACAAAAGTGGACCAACAGCAAGGGAAAAAAATTACAGTGGATCTCAAAATGGAGCGGAGAAAGAACCATTTTAGTGTAAAGTTTTGAGGTCTCTCTATTTTTTCCCGAATATTCTGAGAGAGCTCATAATTTGTCGTTTTGCTATAATATTCGCGCTCTCCTCAGAATACAGTAATCATCAATTCTCAACTTCGAAAAACGAAAGAGGAAAAATTTTAAAGATGCTTGGGTGAAACTGAGAAACTTTCAAAATTAACACGTCTAGGTCATTTTTGCTCTAATTTCTATTAGTATGGGCTGCCCGAAAAATTTGAAAACAATGAAAAAGGTTCGGTTGTGATAAAGAAACCGCTAATTTGGTTTTTCTCAATGAAAAAAACCACTCCAAAATCACAAAAATTCTGAGAAAAAAATTATGAAAATTTCTCAATTTTCGGTCTATAAAAAAACTAGACAAAGATAGGAGACATCGGTTGTAAAGAGGAAATAGATGGCGTCGTATTTCCCTCATTTGGTCGCCGTTAGTGTAAAGAAACATGTTTATTTCATTCACACTGATGAAATTGGTTCCTTGCTTTCTTTTCAACAACGCCCATTTGAAATTATAATCAATAGAGAAGTAATTTTTGATGAATGAAAACTATTGCATTTTGAGATAATTTTACAATTTTTTCAGAATAAGCACGATTTAAAACAATGAAAGAATCTTGTGATTCAAGAAAGTTATAAAATCGTTCAAAATTTTCAGAAGAATATCGGAATGAAATAGTAGGTTTTGATTACGCTTAAGAAGAGAATCATGAATATGTACTAAAAAAACTTTACACATTGTGCTCTATTCAATTTTATTACTGTTATCAAGAAATCTCTGTGAAGACATCAATTTCAGAGTTTACAAAAGGGCTTCATCAGATTGTGAAGAAAGCGAGAAAATAGAAGGTTCTTAGCTTAGTTCTGAAAAAAAGGCATTTCATTCATTTTTTTCATTTCCAACTAGTTCACTGGTAAAAAAATATTCATTCTATGATAATTTATGAAAAAAATAATTCAATACGAAACTAAAAAAACTGATGGGAAATCTTGTTATCAATCACTTTTTTCATAGTTCTGTTGAAAAATAAACTTTCTAAGTGATAACACAAAAAAATCGAACTCGGAGTCAGATATTAACAGCCCTCAACTAAAAAAATCAATGCAATGAGTCAAAATTGATATCCTTATATCAACCCAAGAAAAAATCATATAAGATGGTTAAAAAATTCATGAACATGACGAAGGAAAAATTTACAACAAGGTGTGAACATAACGGCAAAAAGCTTTTGAGAAAAGCCCCATAAAAAGGCCGTTAAACGTGGAAAAACGTTTTTTAACCGTTTGTTTGAATGACATGGTCGTTATGTTTGGAAAACAATTTTCGTTTTTTTCACCAAAGTTTTCGAAAGAGATATGAGAGAGTCCGAGTTGAAGGAAGATGAAATGAGAGACGGTGTGTGACTTTGGCATTTTTGAGGCATTTCACGCTTCGTTTGGTATCTGCGCGCTTACAAGCAAAAGTGGGGTTGTGGCCGGAAAGACTTCTAACACTGCCTGAATGGAATGCCATCCAATCTGAAGTCTAATGCGAAGCTGTTCAGAAAACTACCAATTCAGACGGTTCGCTTTGAAAGAAGACGAGTCAAGTAGCTAGGTACATATTGTAAGAGGAACTTTAAGCTAATTTCCACTTTGCCTCTTGAACGAAATGAAGTTCACACATCAAAAATTAATTAATTTATTCACAATAAAAAGAAAAGTTGGGATTTATTGAACGCTGAATGATTCGACTTACAAGGGGTCATTTTACTTGCGGTTTGAAATTTTCTGAAAATTTGTCACAATATCCGTTTGAGTACCAAATTGAGCTTTTGAAAGTTTTTAATCTGCACAACTTCTTAGTTTCCAAGAAATTCCCTAAAATGGCCTTTTTGACTGATTTTGAAGTTTTATTCGACTTTGAGCCCCAATTTTTCAAAAACTTGAAAGTTTTGCAGTTTGAGGAATCCAGAATCCTTTTTTGGTACTCTAAGGAGTGTACTGACAGATTTTCAGAGAACTCCCAATTGCAAAGTGAAATGACTTACTTTTATAGAAGCTTTTCTTTCAGCAAAACCTCAAAAAGCAAAAGTTTCTGTGCAGTTTTTAGCTGAACAAACTCTCAAAAAACTTTACAGATTAAAACTGCGACAAGATTGAACTTTCATGGGGAACCAAAAATCTGCTCTGAATTGCATGGAAGCCCTGAAGTCTCAAAAAAAAAAACGCAAACAGGAAAAAAATGAGTTTTTTTCACATTCAAAGTATTTTTCTGGCTTTTTTTGTAATCATTTTTTTGAATTTTTGCGTGTCTCAAGCGTATCAACCGAACGTTTGAAAAATATATTTCTGGACTATCACAAAAAAATCAAATGTTATGCATGTTAAAGTAAATATTTTTCCTGCTCTTTGTGAGCATTTATTATCGAAACTACAAAATTGAAAAATGTTTTTTGTACTTTTTTGAAGGCATTATGTTGAGGAATAAATTTTTTCTCAAAGACTTTTTATTTGAAACGCAAGAGTTCATTTGGCTATTTGGTGAAAGAAGTAATGGTTTTGGGAAAATTTTTAGTGGCCACTATAGGGCTTTTTACGTTTTAGTGACCACTATAGGAGTCAAATTAATAGCCACTCAAGGGGTTGAAAGTTAGTGGCCATTATGGAGGTCCAAGTGCTACCACTAGACCACCAAAAAATTTATTGGCCACTTTAGGGATCCATGGATAAACAGAGCCTGTCCAATCTGTTTGTTTCAAAATTACCAGAGCTACTGGAAGGAATACTGGATGAAAAACTATTGAAACGGCCCCTAAATAGAGTGGCCACTAAAACGGAAAATAGTGGCCACTATAGAGGTGGGTTTAGTGGCCACTTTAGTGTCCTCTCCAAGTAATCCTTGGCGAGCCTCTATAGTGGCCACTCAAAATTTTCCCAGTTTTTTTATTATTTATACGCTCCAGCTGTTTTCAACGGAATTGAAACATTCTCAATTCTGTTTGGAGTAGTCACAGGAAAAAGAAGAAAGAATTAATTCAGTTGGCCATCTGACGGTACAAAAAAAACCATTCATTCTGCAGTTTCCTGTTTTCGTCATACTGAAAAAGCGTTTCAAACTGGATTCATTGCTGAGAGAGAACAAAAAAAATGCATATAAACGTCAAAAAAGGGATACAAGTTTCAAAAGAATGGCCGCTGGCCAAATCCCCAGAGCAGTGGTCATTCAACCGACAAAAAAGCGACACCGGAACACAACTAATCTCTCGCGGCGCCGTTTGTGGCGTGCAAGTGTGTGTGATTAAGTTCAAGGCAACCCCAAAAAACAAGAAAATTTAACGAGTTTGCCTTTGGAGTCTTTTATCGGATACAAACTTTATCAATTCACACGTTTCACCATTAAAATATTTTTGAAATTGAGAATACTTGAATTTTAGATGCTGTAATGAATGGAAAGGGATCTCAATTGTCAGTTTTAATAGAACAATACCAAATTTCAATGTTGATAATGGCTTCAGGTTTTGGAAAATCCTCTGACTATGGAACAGGAAACGTTCTAGAGGGCTTTATGAAACTATATATGCAAAATTTTCGGTTAGCGCTTTTTTTTAATGAAAAAAGATCTTCAAGCAGGTGGTTCTGTGGGAACTAAAATGTGAAAATTATAATGTAAAAAAAAGTGACTTGACATGAAACCGAACTTTTGGAAAAAAAAACCTCTTTCCCAATCTTCCTGGAACATTTCAGACAAATAAAAACTGCTCATCTTTAACATTTCGCACATAAAATGAAATTTGATGAATTCAAGAAAATCGAGCTCAAAAAGTAACTTTAACGCAGTCAAAAAAAAAAAAGATTTTATCAAAATTTTAGAAGTATCAGAGTCCGTTTCAAACTCTTGAAATGCCAAGCCTTGTGCCAGGGTCACGAACATTAGTCATAACCTTTACGACCGTAGTTTTTTTCAAAGATATTTACTCACGTCTATGTGTTGGCTATGTTGGTCATGCCTCGAGTCATTGTTTTCTTTGCTCAGCAATTTTTTTCAAAATTTTTCATAACTTTTTGGTCGATGTGAGAAGGAAGTAAAATGCCTTCATATTCTCATTTAAGTTCAAAAATAAAACCTAGATCTGGAAAAAAATGGGATTTTTTTATTTGGAATAAAGCCTCTATGTTCAATGATTGTTGCAGAATCACTTTAAAAAAACTCAAAAAGTTCTACTATTTAGCCTTTTTTTAAAGCTTTTTTTCAGCCAAGCCTGATTTTTCTTGTCAACTCCAAAAAGTACGGCAAGAAAAAAACGAAAAACCGACTTTCAAAAACCTTCATTTTTTTCCCTCAGCAAAGTCCTAACTACTGTTAAACCTTAAAAAATCAGGAAAATCAAAATAAGTTCGAATCAAACTTAATAAAGAGAGCAGAAATTATTTAAAGGTTAAAAAGAAAAAAAAAAAAAAAATGAGTAGATAGCAAAACTTTTTGTAGTGAGTGATGATTATCAGAGCACACTTGAAAAAACACAAATAATAAAACTGAACGAAAAACCGGATTGGCAGAAACAAGTTGGAAGTGTGAATCATTATTTACAAATTCAGTGTTCACCAAACGGCATGCGGGAAATTGTGAAACAATTCCGAAATGTTATCATTTTTTCAAGTTTTTGAGAAAGTTATCGAGTAATTTCTTGCGGAAGTTTTTTTGAATTGAGCGTTTTTCGACAAAAATAAGACACTTTTCTGACGACCTTTTTTGTAATGTTAAAGCTTTCCAAAAATGCCAGAAGCTTCATTTTTCTCTGAAATCTTACAAAGCTCTAACTTCAAGGTTCTGAAAGATTTAAAAAAATTTCGCTTAGAAAAAAATTTTTTTATTTGTAACCAAAAATCTTGGCATGTACATTTCTGCTTGAAAAAAATCATTCTCATTAAGAAAATTTTTGCTTTGATCTAATGATCTGCAGATATTTTTGGGAGGAATCGGACCAAAGTTGGAACGAGAAAAAAAGAAAATAGACAATGTTTCGGGGGCGACTCACTGACCATGTCTCGCTCCCACTGTGTTTTGCACACGGCCTTCAAAGACAAAGGGCTCGCGCAAATAATCCCCAGACAACACTGTGATAGCGATTTACGGAGCTTCTGCTTGCCCTCCACAGGCGTAACCCCTATTTGACGCCTTACACCTGTTAGCCGAAAAAAAACGCCTTCTTCAGTTATTAATCGAGGTGATATAAAGCCGGATTTTTTCATTTATCAAGTGATTGAAGCTGATAAACTTTTTTTATTTTTAAAAAAAATTCATTGGAGGCGCGATAGTTCGGCCTTTGTTGGTTTAAAAAAAACTCCAAAACCGTCTCGTTCAAACTCGAAAACATAATATTCAAAACAATAAAGAGCCAGAAGTCTAATAAATAAAGTATAAGACATGAAGATTGACTTTCATTAAAATTCATTTTACTGATTCAAAATGATTTTTTTAGTCTAACTTGACTCCGAAATAAAAAAATATGCAGAAAAAAAGCTAACAATAAGAAAAAAAACGTGCAAAAAAATCGATAACGAATTTTTGGGAAAAAAACGGGCAGTATTTGTGCTTCCGGGACAGCGTTTTTCATAGCTCAGAAAGCTCGCTCCAGGGCAAAAAAATCATTAATAAAGCTTGGAAAATTCAAAAATATTCATTTCAGAGCCTATAACTTTAAATGAACCCAAGCTTCTTAATGGAAGAAAAAACAAAATCTAAACTTCGGCATTGCGCAACCAGAGCGACACTTTTGAATCTGAGGCCTTTGGTCTACTACGCCTGAGATCACATAGAAAACGACTGGAATGACCAATGTTGAAATGAGGTGCGCATAAGATTTCGGATATAGATAAGTTTTACAAGCCGCCGCCTGGCCTCCAGACTTCATCGCGGCCATCTTGGCTTTATTGGGAGCACAGGAATCTGAAGATTGTACGGAAGCAGCTTTGAAGTAGGGCGGACTGAACACTACAAAGCGTGTAGGGAAGTTTTTGAGAAGGCAAAAAAAAAAACTCTAAGAGTTAAACCATTTTGTTGAAGCTCAAAATGTCTTGTTCAAATAACTTGAAAAAAAGAAAAAAGAATGAAGGAAATATTTATTCAGAACTTCCTTTCTACAGAAGTTTGCTCTCATATTTCAGAACTTGTTTCTGAAATATTTTACCTCTTTGTAAATTTCTGAAGTTTTCAGTTATTTTTGATGATTTACCTTAAGTCAATCAAAGTTATTACTCACAAAACTTCGAAGAAGTTCAAAACATTGAAAAAAAAAATGCGATAAGGCCCTTGATTTTGAATTCTGAAAAATTTGAAGCCCGCCTAACATACTCCTCGGTAAGAACTCCAACAACCGACATCGTGGAAACGAAAAGAAAACATTCATGATGGGTCTCTAATTTCAAAACCAGGAAGCTATCTAGGTTTGTAAATATTTATAGTCTTTAGAACTCGAAAAGTTTCGAGAAGCTTGAAAAATAATGCTAAGCATAGCGATGAAAAAAACTTTTCAAGACAATTATGAAACTTTCTTTAAAACTTACCACATGATTGAAAGCGAATAGAGTCCCCATTTGATGATTGCTGTTTCACTTATCAAGTTGAACAAATGGGAAATGGTCTAACGCGGCCGTCGGTCACTCGCAGGTGGGAAAACAGGCCGCGGAGTAAAATTCCGCCCCTTTTGTCAGTGGCAACGCTTCAAAATAGACTTTTGCAAATACTGTTCCTGCATTTCATTATTTTTCGAGCTGTTTTGAATCGAAAGCGTAGGGGTAAATGCAGAAGAAAGAAAATTGTCGGAAACACCGGAAGTAACGACTCAGCTGTAATAGCCGGGCCCATTTCGGAGTAGGCAAGTAAACTTCTTCTCAATCTCGAGTTTTGCTACAATGAACTCAAGTTTCCAGAATGATGTCTATCTCGGTTAGTTTATCAGTTTGTGAATTGGGGGGTTTTTTTTGATTCATATTCAGTTTTTTTCCAGGGAGATCATTTTACTTTGCAGTTGGGATTTTTGCGAAAGTTGGCCAAAACGCTCCTTGATGTACCAGAAAAAGATTCCGAAAGTCTCAACCTGCACAATTCTCTAGTTTTTGAGAAGTAAGAGCTTGAAGCCATTTGAGGATTTTCTATGACTTTGAAAATTCCTTTCCCGAAAAATAGGAAGTCTAGCAGGTTGAAATTTTCAAAATTTTGATGTGACACATCAAGAAATTTTCTGACTAATTTTGAGGAAATTCCCAGCTACAAAAAAAAACCGGACCTCCCCTTCAATTTAAAGGGTAAAAAAACATTTTTTTTTTAATTGGTCTCAGTTTTTAACAAGTCTTAGTTATCTTAAGAATGACAGACGTCAAAGATTCTACTACAAACATGGGACAATGTTCATTAAAGACGATCAAGACCACCGCACAAAACCGAAAATAACTATACCGACGATCAAGTTCAGTTTGAATTTTGTACGAAAAACTCTAATTTTTTTCAGGCTTGAAAATAGTGTTTTGGAACCGATGAATGGTCTTGAAGAGGAAGTATTATCATTTGATGCTTACACCGAAGAGAAGGGAATGGATGAGAACATCAGAAGAATCAGGTTTGGAGTATCTTCAGAAAAGTTTTCTTTTCTCGCATAATTCTTTTTACGACAACTAGAAAACATTTTTCCACCGGCTGAACTTCCGATGAAACTTGACATGAACTTGCAAGGCCACCTGAATCCAGAACAAGGAAAATATTCTCGCGGTAGATCTTTTTTTTTCGAGTTGTGAAGCTTCAAAGTCTGCGAAATACACAAATTATGGAAAAACACTATTTCAAGCTTTTTGAAGCGTTTTAATTCGAAAAATAGATCAATTGCGATCATGTTTCTTTTTTTTCTGCCATCAGTTGGTTCTAGAAAAAACAAGCGAAGTTTCATCAAAAGTTCAAGGGGGGGCGGGGCAACAACGTTTCCTATTAAGAAAATCGTTCCCTAGTAAAAAAAAAACCTGATTTTCTTTTTAGGAACTGCTTTCTATTTTCCTCAAATTTAGGGGCAGTTCGGAAAATAGAAACTCTACGAAAAGAAGACCGAAATAAAATAACTCAGGAAATATCGCTTGGAATACCATCTGGCAGATGGAAGCGTCGCAATAGAGGAAATGTCGCCAACAGATAGAAAGGTAATTAACACGAAGCTGGACAAATTGCACCAGCCTTCTAACGCAGACGCCATCGCAATTAATCAACGACAAAGCGGTGGCCCACCTTCGCTGGAGCGACTTTAACGTTGGCAACAGCGTCACAATACAAGAAAAGTCCTATCGAATAGTCGGCTGTGACCAGAAAACGAGGGTAATCGAAAAATGAAAGCAAAATAATTTTTTTAAAGGATTTTTTCGAGAGCAAAGGGGTTGACATCAGACAGAATGAAGAATTGCCGAACAGCTCTTGGGCCGTCGAGAAGGTATTGACGGCCTCTGAGCCGAGGTCGCGCCAGCCAAATCGCAGAAACTTGCCGCCTCCGGCTGTTCTCGTCTTTCGATGCTATTGGCTGGACGGCTCCTTGGAGAAGCTGGGAGCGCTCTCCAGAAGAATTTTCAAGTGATTTTCATACCGTCTAAAATATAACATGATTCAAAGAAAAGATGGCAAAAAATGCGTTTAAAAAAATCCACATGTTTCTACTTTCGTGACCATAAACTTTTATGATTCTACTAGAGAAATGAAGTTTCGCAGGAATTCGAATTCGACCAACTTAGAATGGAAATGTTCTAAAATGAGTTAAAGTTCAAAAACACATATTATTGGATTAATTTTTGGGGTTTTTCTCTCAATGAAGGAAAATTTCTCTCACAAAATGATTTTCGAAAATCAAAACTAAACTTCAAGTTAAACCAGTTTGCGGAGAGTTTTCTGTTTCGATTGATGACGTCACATGAATTTTTCTTGAATTTAATGATAACTTTTTGGTCGTTGAAAACTTCGGAAACTCCAACCCGACAGAATGAAATAAATGATTCCTTGATCCTTCACCCGAAATTAAATCTGATATTTGTTCATTTTTCTGTTTCAAACATCTCTTTTTGTATATTTCCATTAAAATGAACTGATTTTTTTTCAGGATGTTCGTGTATCCTGTAGACGATACTGTGGCAATGCTTGAGGAAACTGTTGGATACGAAGGCCAGATTTTTCTCAAGAGGATAAAAATCCCTCATCCCAAGGAAAAATGTAGGTTTCTGGTTCGAATTTGATCCAAAAAAATGCTTTGAGCGGAGGAACGAAGCTTCTACCGTTGGTGGGAGTACTCCCCGGATGCTTGGATCGACGTTTTCTGTCGTCCGATGCACATCTTTGAGTGTGAGGGGAAAGAAACTCTGCAGTATTTTGACGGGAAAGAAACATGTGAACAGGTTGTGAAACTTCGATGTGCAATGGTAAGTTAAAAAATTTTTATTTTTGAAACAGAAAAATCACAGGTGAACCCCCCGAAATCCTCCCATCCACCAACTTTTATCTTACTCTATGATAAGGCCAAAAAACTAGCTGATGTCTACGAAGAAGGAAACTTGCCTTGGTCACTTCATTGTAATTTTCTCGAAAGAGTTTCTACAAACGGCTTGAGGTCCGGACACGTGAAAAGAATATATTCAATGCATCAGTTTCAGCGATTCGACTTTTTCTCCCGGCAACTCGGTAGATTTGGGTGGCCGCAGATTTCACATTCTTCAAGCAGCTACTAGCGATTGATATGAAACTACCTGGAAGCAGGAAAATAACATAATATTATCAGAGAAAACTATTTGTTTCTAGACTGAATTTATAGCTTTTTTGGGTTTTTCAACTGGCTTCATATTAACAAGGGCAAGGTTAAAATCGCTTAGTTATATGTTACTTGTCGTCGAGTTTTGAGAAAGTGTTAAATAAAATTTGAAAACTTTCAAGTCTTCAACAAGTTCAGCTGCTTCTTCATAATTTGTCGTTCAATTTGTTTTCGAAAAGTTTGAGCTTCACCTCAAGAACATCTTTGCGAACCGAAAATTGTCGATTTATCGCGGTCGGACGAATGTTGATCGACCTGTTGGAACAACAGTTGGTAAGATCAACGCCTGGAGGAAAAGAAAAAAAAAGTTTCCGCCAACTGTCGAGCCACAGTGAACACATGCTATGAACAGTTGAGCTGGAACTTCTTCTGGGAGGAACAGGAGGAGAGTTTAGATATATATTACATTTAATCGAGAACTTGAAATTCGAATTTCAAAGCTCTCAAAAGAGTTTCACGTAATAGTGATGAAACTTTTTTTCTCTTTTTTTCATTTCTCAAACTTCGCTCTCTGCCATAAACTTTGAATCAAAATCTGAACTCATTTCAGTAATTGATGTACTTGAGCTAAATTTTTTTTTTTGCAAAGTTTTGACCTTTACCGCAGAAGGTTGTAAAAAGAGGATCTGCAGAAATATTATTTCATGAAAAATTTTTCCAAATAAAAGCTCTTAGCAAATGAGAGAAAATATATAAGAAGAACTGAAACAAATATTGGAGCTTTTCTTCTCCATATTATTTGATAAAAAAACGAAAAAAAACTGTAAAAAAAGATCCATAAGTCCAAAATATTGCTCAAATCTGAAATAACAATACACGAAAAAAAAAGGCGCGCGGTTCTCAGTGAGTTCTGATCAATTTGACTGTTTACTAGGAAACTTCGTGGAGTTTTGGATGGGGTGAAATTCGACAGTTGTTCTGTATTCGAACTTCCCTGTTTTTTGCGGCGTTTCACATAAAGGATTTCTCAAAACTGGCAAAATGGTTGAGAAGCTAGAAATTGGAGGAATCACGATTCCTGACGGAGTTCAGTTTTTGACATATTCAAACTAGATCCTTCACAGATTTTTTGAGCTTAGGCCGAAGAGATGCGGGAAAATAATCTGATATTGTACCCGGGAAGCGTTCATAAAAAAATATTCAAAACATAAAAAAACTTTCAGATGACTGAAAAGTTTCAGAATGAGCGCAGAAGCAAGTAATGTAACGTTGAATTTTTTTCGCTTTTAAAATTCAACAGTTTTTCCAGAGGAGTAGAAATTGTTAACATTTCCCATTTTATCCGCTGGATACCAGAAGAAATAGTACGACATCGAAAAATGGTTCAATGCACTTTGTCAGTATCAACAAAAAACATTTTTGTTCTATTGCACACTTAAAATCAGGATAAATGGTCACCGCTTTGTATTTTTTGACCAGAAAGAATACTTCTTGACGAGAGATTTGAAAAAATATATCCACGATCGGTTTGTCGAACCAAGTTATTTTTCGCATGCCAGAGCTATTTTTTCTTCAAAAGTTCTCCTTAGATCATTACGAAAGGACAAAGAGGAGGCAATGCTCCGCCCACGTATCGGAGACTCCACCCACAAGCCGTTCGCCGAACCTTCAGTTCTTAGATTAGTTTCGGTCTTTATCGGTTGCTCTTAGAGCTCCGTTCTTCTTCTTTTTTTTCTTTCAGTTTACCGCTAAAATGTAAGGTTTTCAAATTTTTTGCTTTGTTCTTTTTTCACCTCGACGTGCGGAAAGCGGCGGTTTACGCTGTCTTGAAGCTGGCACTCATATACAGTTGCGCAAGTTATTGCACGAGGTTCTAACTTTCGCTTTTTCTTTTTTCATCTCTCGAAAGTTCCATTTCAATTGGATGATTTAGTTCTTCATCATTTTCCATAGCTTCCAAAGTTTGATACTTTTCAAACAAATCGGTCCGCTTTGAATTCAAACGCTGGTTCTACCGATTTTTATTTGGAAAGTTTCAAATTTTTATTATTTTTCTAAATGGAAATGGTGTTTCGAATTGAATTCGAAATACTCGGTTTTTTTCTTCTTTTTTTCTTAATTTCGCTTCCAGAAAAAAATATTCAAATCTTTGAAAATTTCTGGAAAAATTCTTTTTTTCGAAATTCTGTTAACTTTTTTTACCTTATTACCTTGGAACACTCTGAACATCTATTTTTTTCTGTTGTTCAGAGTTAGTTTTTCGAAAGAAAAAAACACAAGGTCTTAACTTATACAATATAAATTTCTTCTAGTTATCGACCCAAAAATTTCAATTTCTTTAAAAAGAAATCAAAGGTTGCTCCAAAAAAACTTCATTATTCCACAATTTCTTCAAATTGATTTTAAAGCAATATTTTCTTTTAGTTTTCATTTTTTCTACTTCTCGAAATATTAACAAATGGAGACCAATATAATTGTATTGAGCGCAGCCGTCGCCAACACAGCATTCGATCTTGATAAAGATATTGATTATTTTTAAACCGAAAAATAATTTTTTTCAGATCTGTAACGATAAACTGTTTTTAAATTTCATATCACTTGAGCAGCCTATAAAATAAAAATATATGAAAAACTAGCGTGCAAAAATTAAAATGAAAAAAAAAAAAAGCAGCAAATAATTTCAATAAATCTAACGCAAAAGGTTCAGAGTCCAAAAAAACATTAGGGATCATATAAGCCCCAGACGAAAATCAAAATATGCGCACTTCTCAGTTGGATAAATCGCGAGTTGGTCGAAAGAGAGAGAAAAAAAATTATTTTTCAGGTTAGGTTTGTTGTACATTTTTTAGAAAAAAAGCTTCCTCGGAAATTTTTTTCAGAAGAAAAAAACATTTCAGAAAAATGCATCTACTTCTCAAATTTTTTTCGATTAGAGAGAGGACAGTTTTTTTAAGTTCTGTCATTTGATAATCATTTTTAAGTCTACAAACAGAAGGATTTGAATAATTATGAAAAACAGACATAAGCGTGTGAGCCGTAGCGGAAAACTTATGTGAGTTTTGTTTTTATCATTCTCACAAACTCTCATTCATCAATGTGGAAACACTTTAACAGATTTTTTTTCAGGTTACCGGCTTTGATCAGACCAGGAAATCAACGATGTGCCTCTGAAGTTGAACTACAACCTTCCTTCTGATCAATTCGAACAGTTTTTGATATCAATATTTCTGTAATAAAAATATTCATTTTTTTTTGTTGTGGAAAGAGCGTGAAAAAAATGTCGATCATCCCTTCTCAAGTAAGCCGGGGGCACCAAACACTTTTAAAAGCCGTAGTTTTTTTTTTCCAACATTACCACCGCCCTCAATCTCTCTGCGTCATCAAATAAAAATTGTCAGCTTTTTGTTAAAAAAAAAATTCTGCTCGTTTGGTCGTGTTACTCAAAAAAAGGGCGCATGAACGGGATTGACCTTTATAAACGTTGCGTGTTTTCAAATATTTTCAAAAAAAAACACGGAAAAATATCTTCGACCAGGTTAAAAAGATTTTTTTCCATAATACATCAAAAAAATGTTAGGTTTACATAATTCATTGTGAACTAGTTAAGTTTACTACTGCAAAAAATTTTTCGAGGATTAGCCTATCTTTGCCCAGCACGAAAATAAACTGATTCCGTGGAAAGAAGAACTCGGCTTCACTTTTTGTCTCAATTTGGAATCCCAGTGAGGCGGTTGACGATGATAGTGGGGTAAAAAAATTTTTAGAAAGTTCTATGCTGATGAAAAAAATGAATAGAAAACTTCGAAGATGTTCTGAAAGGTGTTACACAAATATATTTATTTTTCGTGAATATGACATGAATAATAAGCGTGGTATCACAGTATCGCACTTCGTTGTGAACTGGCAGAATATTTGTCTAGTGATGTCTATACCAAGGGAAAATGGCCTTTCAATGAATTCAAAATAGATCCTATAATAATCTCGAAAAGAAAAGAATTGTTTGTTCTGACCGCTTAGAAGAAATCTTCAAGTTGAAACGGGGAAATGATCAAGAAAACATAAATATAAAGCTTGAGGAAGCAGTTAATCTCAGTGGAAATAGAGTACATAGCAAGGTTAGGGATTAATAGAGCCTACTGACAAGATTAGTAATAGTTTACTTCTTCGCATTTTTGCCGTACTGGACAACGTCCGGCTGAGAAGCAGTGGACCTCTCCCGTTCCAGTTCGAAGTTGGCAGCGTTGGAGAGCAAAATATCCCGAAGTTCCTGTGAAAAATGTTCATTTTTCGAGATTATTAGGCTTCTAACCTTATCACTTAGGTCGCCGGTATGTTGCTTGGCCCACAATCTTTTCGGAGCTTTCTTGCTGCCAAGAGCAGCTCCTGGCTTGACAACCATGAAGTTGATAACGTCCGATAATGAAATGATTCCCTGAAATCATATTTTTTTTAATTTTCTCATGCAAACTTGTGAAAAAAACCCGTTTTTCCATAATTACTCTAATTTTTACATTCTTTTTCTTATATTGTTTGTTTTTTTGAGCTCATTTCACATCAAATTCAACTTTTTATCTCTTGTTCTTAAAATATATTGGAAGCTTCCAAAAAAATGCAACTTTTCAATGGCCAGACAAAAAGCGATCGAAACCTTTCCATTCGTTCTAAAGTTTCAATCTGTACACGATAAAAATTCATCTACCTCAATCCCGCCTTCCTCATTCAAAGCACACAGTCGATGAACGCTGTTCTCCACCAAAACGTGTACGCATTTCCAAAAAGTATCCGTGTCCCTAACAGAAACGACTCGTTCTTCCGTAGATTTCTGTAATCCAACACATTCTTCAAACGTAAAAAAGCTTCATTGACACCTTGAAAGAATTCTTGAAAGAGAGAGCTTCAGCGACCGTTACATCCAGCCTACTTTCGAGTGCGATTCCAACGGCATCGAAACGCGAGTAAATATCGACGACTCTGAAAAAATTACCTTGTATACGTTTGAATTTTTTTACTTGATTTTTTGCTTGCTTGAAACGGGAAGCTACTAAAAAAGAAATTGTCAAGGAATTTTTGTGAATTTCAAGTTAAAGAGTTACAGTACCGTCAGAAAAGATACGAATATCCTTTTTGGCCACATCTTCTTTGTGAGAATTTCAATCTTTTTGAAACCCTAAAAAGCTGCTTTTTTTTCTGCGAACTGAAATTACTCCAGAGGGTTACAAATAGTATCCACCACTATCTCTCCAGGAGGTTTCAGGAAGATTGAACTCTATACAAAAAAATTGTGGTCAAGAAGCGTGCATTTTTATTTTTTCTACGGCACTGTACTTGAAACTTTGCGAACCTTCAGGAGTTTTTAGTTTATCCCAGCGTTAAATGAAATATTAACTTACTTGTATTTGTCACGAGTAACAACGGGAACGCCGGAAACTTCTTTGTTGAGCAAAATTTCCAAGCAATCGACAAGAGGAGTGTCCGGGAAGACCTGAAAAATTCATATTCAGTTTTTTCTTATAGTAAAAAATTCGTTTATGTGTTTTTGAGCAAGTGCGATTGGCAAAAACTTTGGTAGACATTAGGAAAAATTGAAAAAATGCGAGATTATTCATTACCTTCCTTTTTTTCAACTTCGTTTTTTTAATCTGATTTTCTTCAAAAATTCTTGAAAAGTGATATTCACCACACGAATCCCCGACCAAGTCCCGACTTTAAGCTGCTTTGGCGTCTGCTTCATATAATCCAAAGGTGCCAACTGCTGTCCCTGGAATTTTATTGATAAAAGCTTACATCCGTTACGAATTCTCACATAAATCCATAAGAACTTCAAGATACGCTTATGCGTGAGAATATAAAGAGCGCTTCCATCATCCGGATCGATCACAGGCAAACGATGTATTCGGTGCTGAGCCAGCAGAGTTGAAGCCTCCAGCAAACTGAGACAAATTTTATTCCCATCGAAATTTAAATAAATGAAACCTGGCATTGGCGGATACAGTAACAAGCTCTTGAAGTTTTCCCTCGCGTTTCAATATATCTAAAAAGGAATATATTTTTTTATAACTGATTCAAATCTCACTTCTGTATTCTTTTAACAGTCATGTTGCCGATTTCCTCATTTGCAATCTCCGTGACATCGAGTTCAATATTTTTTTCTGCTCATTGGCTTTTTTTCTCGCTGAAAATTTTTGAATTGTGTTTTTTTTAATAAGAAATCATACCGATATAATTTGAGCATCATCCTGATAAAATCCGTCACACTCAGAATTCCATCCAAGGCGCCGTTTTTGTCAGGATCAGAGAGAAGAACGTGACGAGTGCCTAAAGTTGAAGAAATGAATCAGTTCTTATGGAATTTGATGAAATAATAGTCAAAACTTCTCATTTTTTTCTCATAAATTTTATTAATCCAGACATATTTTATTAGATTGAGGATATTACGTTTATCTGAAGCAGTCAAAAAAAGACGAATTTAACTATGTACATCCAAAATATTCAATAGAACAACCCGTCATTTAAGTCAAAGCAAAAAAAACCTTGAACGAGAAGACCATTGAAAGCTTTGTGCATAAGAAGGCCCATGTCGAACACAACCATTTTCGAGCTGGACGGCATTGCTTCGTAGCACTGGTTGAGCCATAGAAGGGCCGGAAGAGCTTCATGATCTTCAAACTGGAAGCAAAATTATTTTGAGCCCGGAATTGTTAAAAAAAAAACGAACCATTTTCAAGACACCTTCCTGCAAGTTTGTAGGGCTATGCGCGCCCGCCAAGTTGGGGGAAGAAGCGACGGCGTGCTTCTCGTCCATCTGAAATCGGACAGAATAAAGGTTCGTGAAAAGTTTACAAACAAGCAAGTAAATGACGGAAAAAGAGAATATGGGAAAAATTTTAAGAAACAATTTAAGACAGATTCCGAAGAAAAAAAGCAATCAACTCATGATTTTTTTCTTTATAATCTCGATGTTTACGTTCAAATTTTTTTAATACTTTATAAAACTTATTTTTTTAATGGAAACGTTTAATTTCGCTGATCCGGGCAATCTTTGATACTTTGAGGGTTTTCTTCGAGAATAACTTCAAGAATGGAAAACAGGCTTTTTTTTGTTTTCTTGTTTCTTTCTTAAAAAAATTGATCCTGGAAGAAAAAATTGATCATTTGAACATGCAAAAAGTTGAATGAAGGCTCAAATTTGAAAATTTTTTTTCATACTAATGAACGAGCTGAGTTGTTACCCACATAAACGTGCAGATTAGAAATATTTGAAACGGCAAATATGCGTTCACAAAAATAAAATTGAATTTTGGGTTAAGAGAAGATATTTTTCACCATGTCGAAAATCAAAAGAGCCAGTGAAAAAAGGACACTATGAGGCACGGAACAAAAAATGAAAGGAAAAGTTGATGCGATTTACCGCGTTTCGCATTCAAATGCAGAGCCGTCTGCGGAAAGTAGGAATTTTCTCGAAAGAGAGTTGGCGGCAGAATCGAATGGAGTGACCCGCGCCAAAAGGTTAAAGTAGAGAGATCAAATCAGCGCCGCGCCACTTCTTCTGGTCACACTAGACACGTAAATTCCCGTCCATTTTTATGGGGTTTCTTACGAGTTTCGAGAGGAAGAAAAAAGAGGAAAAGTAGTCAATCACTGCCACTCGAATTGGCTCTCTTTCTTTATTTATTACACCGGTTTCTTTACACATTTATACGAAGTATACGTCTTGGATATGTTTTGTTTACTGGGAAACATTCGAAAAGTGGAATCAAGTTTTTTTTTCTCAATGCTTGGCTAAACACTGTCGAAAACAAAAAAATCTAACTTAAAATCTCGAAATTCTCAGTTTTTTGATTGAACATAAACTGAAATGGAGAAAGTTTTTATAAATTGCACAAAAGAAGCTACTTGAGATGAAAAACAAGTAAGCAAAAATATACTATTACAAATTGAAGCAAAATCAAAACCAAAAAGTTTCCAGAACCTCAAAATATTATTTACTCCAACAAATTCGATCAAAATCAAAATGTTTTTATTTCTCACACACAAGTACTAAATTTCACGAAATAAATGTAGGGAGAATTTGGGAACATATGTGTCGGAACTTGTGGTGATGGAGGGAAGGAAATTTAAACAAAAAAGCAAAAATTTGTGTGAAAATAAATCATAAACCAAACGAAACAATAAAAAATGATAAAATTTATGACTCATGGTTTATAGCTCACTTAAAAATGAAAATGAAGAATTATCCAATATTGGGAAAGTGGCAAAGACAGCTTTAGACACTGTTGAAAACAAAGAGATCGAGATAGTCGCGCTGGAGCGCATTTTCTCTTCGTGGAAGTCAGGAATTTCCCCAATTTCGTGCGCTAAATTACAGAGATTATTTTAAGGTTCTTAGTTAATTTTTAGTCGCGTTCAAATCATCATTGCAATTTGAAAGAAGTGTGCTTTTGGAATCATTAATTTTTTTTTCTTCGTCAACTTTCGAATAAGTGTAGCAGGACCTTGAAAAAACTGCTTTCTAGCACTGCAAGCACAGTATAAAAATAATTTTCGTACGTTTTTTTTTTTTGAACACAGTGAGTTTCTGATAAAAAAAAGAAAATTAATTTGAGAAGTTTGCTTTCGGAATCATTTGAGAAAGAAGAGTCTACTTCGGAGAAAAAGTGCTCTCAAACATTGAAGTTGCGTCATGATGAGTAACAGGAAGAATGAACAGATTAACGAAAAGTTCCTGAAGCTTTAATCGTAATGATAAAAAGCGAAAATAAGTCTAAAAGCTGATTTCCGTGACAAACTTTTCTCAAGGGAGTTGAATATACTTCTTGCAACGTAGATAATCTTAAATAAATTTCCAAAAAAATTTTTATGTTAAGTTTTTGAAATGCGGATTCAGATGTAATCGAAACAAAGTGGTGATTTAAACACTTTTAATCATAAAGAATTGAGTTACAAAACGAAAAAAAGCAACTTTATTCAAGATCCCAACACAGCAGATATTACAAAGATTCAAAAAGAAACTTCAAAATTAGGTTTAATTTCGAAGTTTGTAGCGTTGAATCTTGCCACTTGGAGACGTTGGTAGCTCTTCGACTATTCGGATTCCGCCATGGAGATGTTTGACAGGAGACAAAGTATCTGGAAAAGATACACCAGATTACTTTTACACTGAACTTTGAAAAAGGGAAAAGTTATTGATGTACTGGATGAAGACCTGCACAACTTTTTCAAAAAGTCAACTTCGACGTCAAAAAAGACTATAATTTTTTTTTCAAAAATAGGCTGTTTTGGGGTCTTGAGCCCCATTATTCGAAAACTAGGAAGTTGTGTAAGTTCAGGTTTTTAAAATCTTCGTTTGGTACATGAATTATTTTTCGGTCAAACTTCAGGAAATTCTCAAACGCAAAGAAAAATTACCTTCCTTGTCAAAAACCAAAAAAAATCAATAGTGGTTCCCTACAGCTTTCAAATCTTTTTATTTGCATTTTTCAGTGTTGAAAAGTTCCCCCAAAACTTTCAAGAATAAAACAAAAATATTCAGCCTCAGGTAAAAGTTGAGTAGCTTCTCCTTTCGGTTCCTCAGAAGACGTTTGGAAGCTCCCACATAGATTCCCATCAACTCTTCTTAGGAAAAAAAACCTCTCAGGAGGCTTCTAAAAGCATTCTGGAAGGCTTCTGGCAGATATTTTCTATTTTAAACTTTAAAGACCATCAAACTACTTTCCGAACTACTTTCAAAGGCTTTCCAAGATCTTCTAGCTTTCTCCACACGTTCCAACCTCCTGCTAGTTACCTTTCCAACACCTTCTACTTTGAGAAAAAAAAAACGGGCCAGAAGCCTTCTCAGAGCATTCCAGCAGGTTTTGGGAAGGGTTCTGACAGATATCTCCGATTTATACTTTCCTAATATCTCCAAACCACTTTCCGAACACCTTCGTCAAGATTTCCTAGCTTCTCCATATTGTCTAAAACCCTGCTGGTTACCTTCCCAACACCTTCCCAGGATTTGCCTGGGATATTAAACTGAAAAAACGAACCTCTGACTAGCGTCAGCACTTCTGCAACAGTGGTCTCAGGATCGGCGTCATCTGCCAGAACAAGGAAAGCCACTGGTTTTTCTCCAGTTTGTTCGTCATGCACACCGATAACTGCCGCTTGTTTAACTTTTTCGTTCCGTTGGATAACTTCTTCCTGAATTACACTTCCAGGTTGATGAAAATTGTGAGGGGATAACAATTTCCGTCGGTGAAACTTGGAACCCGTTGACTTTGATCAGATCTTTCTCGCGGTCCACGATGAAATAGTACCCATCTTCGTTTTTCAGTGCAATGTCGCCTAAAGTTCGCAGCATTTTTCACTCATGAAGTTGAAATTTAATCCCAGAAAAGGGAGGGAGTGATTAGCAAAAATTTGAACTTCAAACTGAGATTAAGAATTGGAATTTTGATGAAATATTTTGAAGTCTCTATTTTGCATCATTTTTCGAAAAATGTGTGGAAAAAAAATCTTCAAGACTATATTACCGGTATGCAGCCAGTCTTCTTGGTCCACAGCGAAAGTCTCATTTTTGTAGGACTTCATAATGGCGTCGGAACGCAAAAGCAGCTCTCCTTTCTCATTATTTTCTGTTATAACTTCTCCATCAGTGTTTATCAACTGCAATTTCAAGCTGACTTTTGTGTTTGAAAAAAAAAGTAACCTGCGCTTCAAAACCTGGCAGCAGTTTTCCGCAGCTTCCGAGATGAACAAAATTGTCCTTATATGGTGTGATGTGACTGAGGACCACAAGCTCCGTCATTCCGTATCCTTTGAAAAGATCATGAAAAATAATCTTGAAAAAAAAAAAGGAAAAAAATATGAATATTTTTAATATTTTTTTCTGTAATCCGATTGAAAAATTGAACACCGAAACTCGTAATTTTTTTCTTATAATTTTTTTCAAACAAGATGCATTTTTTCATAGCTTTAGAGAGCAGAGAAAATTTTTCTACATCTTCGCAGAAAATCCTGCTCCAATTTTTTGTCCAAAAATCGTTTTATATAAAACATAATTTCAGGAATCTTTATTTTTAAATCTAAAACTCTCATGCTACAGTAAAATGATTACATCAGACATTTCTCCAACTTTTTGTTCCCAATCTTTAAACTCGTGTCCTTCCGCAACAATGTTTTCAAAGTTTGCCAACCTTGCAGGAGCCGTTCGACACGTGGAAAGAGTTTTAAGAGTTGCCGAGCTGTTTGCTCGTCCAAAGCCGAAGAACCACACAAAATTGTTCTGAACTTAGTCAACAACTAAAAAGTAGACGAAAAACGCTACCGTAGGCCCGGCGCCCTGTCTTTCATGCCGATTTGAATTAGAGTCCTGGCGATTGCAGGAACAATGTTTATTGTGTCGATCTGAAAATGGAGATTAGTCTTGGATCGGAAGAATCTATAATAAACCTTGTGCTCTTCGATAAGATCGAGCATGTTCAAAGGATGGAACTTGTTCATAATGTAGGAGGTGCAGCCTTCCATGAGGCAGAATATCAGAGCCCAAAATCCAGAAGCGTGATAGAACGGTAGGAATGCAATGGTTTTCTTAGAACTGTTCTCTAAAACTTGGTCGAAAACCCCTCTGAAAAATTTTAATTTTTTGAATGAGTTCGAACTCAATTTCATAGTACTATCAATGTAAATATGTGAAATCGCAATGATTCTTATTAGTTTGTGATATCCCAGGAACAGCTATTCTGGATAATTTTATGAACCAACTTTTTGAGAGCAGCCGTGGAGGCGTTGAAATTTCGATGGGTTAGAAGGCAGCATTTCGGAAGTCCACTGGTTCCACTGGAAAACGGCGCCATCAATGTGTCATCCAGAGAAAGGCCTTCGGAAGTGTAGCTGTCGTCGTCGGCGTCTTCCAGAATAGAATCAGCAATTTTTCCGTGGACAGTCTTGGTTGTTAGCTGGAAACAGTTCTTTGTACTTCCACTAAATCAAATGAGTTTTGAGCACCTAGGATTGGCACAAACTACTTTGGCCGCACCTAGAATCGCTCAAACTACAAATATCGTATTACGGTGGAAAAGGAATTCACAATGAAACCTTATTCAATTCAGTTTTTGGATAATTTTCACGGTTGAATACGCTATAAGTTCAAGTCGTAAGCTTTGTACATTCTACTCTTCATCCTTTCCATATGAGACGGAAAAATTTAAAGTGAAAGCAAAATAGTGAAACTGTATTCAATGGAAATGAGTTTTCCATAGTTTTCCCTTTTTTTTTACCTTAAACAAGTTCAACTTTCTTTTTGTGTACCTGGGAAACTCACCAACTTGCCAACCCAGCCATTCTTTTGTATGTAGTCAGGTGTAGAAATCAAAACCACTGCTCCGCTACTTTCAATGTAATGCTTCATCTCAGCTGGAACTCCTTTTTTTCTTGAAATGACCTAAATTCCCACTCTCTGAAGATTCATAGCTGACACCAGAAATGACGGCCCCTAACATTGAAGAAGCCAAAAAAATTACTGGATACCATGGAGAATTCGGAAGACAAACCAAGATGGCGTCACCTAAAAAAAAGTTTTTCCATGAAAAATTCCAGGAACGAAACCTTTGACGATCCCAATTGCTGCGAGTCGCCTTGCGAAACTCAAAGCTGATTTGCGAAGCGTATCGAAATGAATATTTTCTCCATCTTCTCCAACCGGAAATAAGGAAAAAATCAAATTCATAATTTTCAAAAAGGGGGTTTTCGAAATTCCTCTGAAATTTAAAAATGACAGAAACACATACCAAAGCTATTTTGTCGCAATAGGTCCTACAACTGCTCAAAATTTGCTCATGAACCAGAAATTGCGAATATTCAGACATTGTCGTGAAGAATATAATATCTCGACGGGCAGAAAATGCAAAATGATCATTTCTGAAATAGTAACTAATTTTGCGAAATTTTTCCGAATTGGGTGCCATTTTTTGTGTGAACCCGGCTAATAATATCCGCCAACGAGTCGGCCGAACAAATTTGACTTCCCTAGAAGCGGATGGAACCTGAGACATTTCTCAGGGTTTACGATTATGTTTTTTGATCCTTCAAACATTTTGAACTTCCCGTATACGGTAAAAACGCTTGGAAGCGTGACAATGGTAAACAAACCAAAATTGAAACGGATCTTTAAGGTTTGCCTTCGAACAAACTGAGAGTTTTTGAAAGGCAATTTTGGTGCATGTTTGATCTTTGGCAAGACCAAGCAGTTCAAAGCTCCACGAACAGTACAAGAAACTGAATGAAGTGTTTACCTACACACTTTTGAGGCAATTATTGCGAAAAGGCGGCTTCCAAAAGGTTGTCAAAATTATTGTTCAACCATTCGCTTCTCAGACTTTCTCTGAAATTTCCTCTTTCAGCAGTTTTTAGCATTAACTGAGCTTTTGAAAAAATCATCTCAAGGTTGAATAATTTCTGACGAACAGGATAAAGATCCTGGGGTTCTCAACTTGCAGACCTCTTAGTTTTCTACAAGAAGAGGGTTGTCGGAAAAATAGAATAAAAAGTGGATTCGACGAATTTTTTGCAAGTTGATATTTTTGGATCGTCACTTTTTCATCCCGAATATTCCATTATTGGTGATAGTTTCATCACTAACAGAAGAGGTTATTATACTGCGGTTTTCTGAAAATTGGCCAGAACACTTCATGATGTACCAGATGAAGATTTTGACAGTCTCAACTTGCACAGCTCCCTAGTTTTCAAGAAATAAAGACTTAGAGCCCAAATTAGCCTTTTTAGATTTTGAGGACTTTCTTGGTCTTTGAGGATTCACTTCTCAAAAACGAGAAATTTGTGCAGGTTAAAGCATTCAGAATCGTCTTCTGGTATATCAAGCAGCGTTCTGGCCAATTTTCACAAAAATCCAAACCGGAAAGTAAAATGACCTCCAGTGAATGTATTTGTTCAAAGTTTGATAATTCCGGCTTCATCGTCTGAATTTTCTCCGTTTTTAAGCGCTTCTTGCTCCTCAAACTGTCTAAGACGAAGATTTACCGTGATTCATTTTCGGCATTCCACAAGGAAGAATACTGTAGTTTCCACGCGTGTTGTCTAGCTTTTTTCCTTTTTGCACGCCGATACTCTTTGCTCTTCAGCAGACAGATTGCGTGGACAACACAAACTGTTTGCCAGCCTACGAGAATTACTTTGTTCTTTTTTGCGCGAATTCCAACTTTTTCGGAGTTTAAAAAGATGCTGGGGGGTTCTTAACGCTTCGCCAGACCTTTAAGTTGAGGACTCCGCAGTGGCGCCAAAATCGGGCGAATTGGCGCGGCCATCTTTTCGCTTCTCTCGACTGTTTAGTTTGGCTGTTGACTTCCGCTTAAGATATCTGTTGAATGTATACGGGCTCTTCAGACTACTTCTGTAATTGTTCCTCTTCTCTTGGGTTTTATGTTTTACGCACATCTCCTATTGTTTCGAGTGTTTGTCGAAAACGAGTGACTTTTTTACCGGCTACTCTGATTACGCACCCAACACTTCACTGTTGACTTTTGACCAAAGTGACCAAGCCACTTCTGTTTGACCTTTTCTCATTTTCCACTGAATCACTTCCTAACTCGCGAGAATTGCAGTTTTCATTTTTTGAGATGAAAAGAGAGTTCTCATCTATCTTTTTTTATTGGCTCTTGTTATAGTTTCGAGATGAGCAAGCTCCATTCGTTTATTTTCTTTAAACTTTTCGATCTTTCCGTTTTTACTGAGTGGTTTAGTTTACACAAATATGGACTTTTTTCGAAAACGAAGGTTCTAAATCCCTGTAAGTTAAGGTGGGTTTTGAATTCACATTCATTTTCAGTCACATAAGTGACACCAGTTCAATTTCATTGACCTATGAAACTGTGAGATGGTTCTCGTTATTATATCCTGCTGATATTAACCCTTATGATACAACTCGATAACTATTTTATCAAAACTTGCCTCGATATTTTCAAAAAAATCTTTTTTTTTCTTTCGGAAACACATACCCCAGCTACAACTATTGTGGTGGAAACAACTTTTTTACGAATTCCCAAATTTTTCTAAAACAGTCTGCCTATCTAGAAGGATAAAAAGATTTTCTCAAAGTGACAGGAGAACGATCAGTCGTAGTGCAAAAACCAATTTCCACTTGAAAGTCTTTTTTTTAAATGTTTTCAAGCCAAAGAAATGGGCGTACTTTAAAGGCATAGGGGCAGTAAAAAATGGGGTTTCAGGTGAAAGCAGTATCTTATATAGTTTTTCTTTGCGAATCCAATGGTGTACTCAAAAAAATTACAGATGTGACAACTCTAGAAGAAAAACGCGATTTCACTTTCCCGCTTTTTATTTTGAAAAAAGCTTTGGATCGGTATGCAGACAACTGATTACAGTAGCCGTGCACGCGATGTCGCGGACGTCTTACTAGACTCGCATTTTGTGAGAAATAACCGGCTATCTGGTTCAAATTAAGGGTTTCGTTTCTGAAAAATCGAGTAAGAAAACAGAAAAAACACAATGATAATAAAGAAAACACAAAAAAACGCTATCCCAATTGAAACCTGCGTAAAATCATCATTTTTCACCTAAGAAGCATTTTTTCGATCAAAGTTTGCAAATTATACATGAATAGAAAGCTTTTGTGACGGAAAGAACTTTGACGACAACAGAAAACATTGAAAATTGAAAGAAACAAAGGAAAAAGCGAAAATCCGGAAGATAGTGAAGCGTGTTGTCCATAGAGCAACTTTACTGCAAAGTGCCCTTTTGGCGGGAACTCAAGCTTTCCTTTCTCCGATTTTGAACTATTTTTTCTTCAAAACTAGGAAGTTCGGTACGTTCCCAAGTTTATCGTTCGATTCGCAATGAAAAACTCTACAAAGTACTGCTTTGAACTGAAACACCGTTTTTTACTGCCCCTATGCCTTTAAAGAGGAAGGCTCAACGTTTTCATCTACCTTTCGCAAAGAATTTCATTGACTCTCGAGACATTTCATCAAAAAATCAAGGTTTTCCGTCATCCGGAAAGCTACCGATGGCGTCACTTTGTAAATTCTCAATCATCCGAAAAAAAAGTTTCCAGTTTTGTGGCAAAATTTAGCAACCAACATCAACTTGAGGCGGCATTTGCCCTCTCACCCGAAAAAATGAGCCATTTTGAGCGCTCCGTGCGGCGGTCTCTTCCTTCGAACCGGCTTTCCGGACTCAACCTACGTGACACTCATGCCCCTGTGCTTACGCTTTGGAAAGTGTGCAAATTCAGTCGGTGATATTTTCTCGTGGGTGTCAACATTACACACCAGTACTGCTACTTTTTCGCTATTCCAAACCATCATATTATTGAAGCCTGTTCCTCACTCCGCCAGCACTTCAAACTGTCGAGACGTACTGCTAATTTTATATAATTCGTCTTCCCTGTTTCAAATTATTTTGACAGTTGGTCGTTTTCAGAACGACCTGATAAATGCTCATCAACGAACCATCTGTTATGACGTTGCATTTACCTCATTTGACTCCAGGTAACAGTCGCAAATGTGAGCTTCTTTTAAATTTTCTCACTAGGTTCAATGCGTGACTTACTCTGAATAGCTCAAAAAATTCTTAAATCTGCTCTGAGAAACTTTGGTTCAAAAAATCGGGAAAACATTTGTTTAGAACCAATTGTCTGATCACTTTTTGTTATCCGCTAAAAAAAATAGTTCTGAAAAATCTTTTTTTTTGAATTCATGGTTTTCTGTCCCTAAAATCAGGCCCCATTGAAAAAAAGAACTATTTTTCATTATCTCAGTTTATATTGTTCCCTTGAAACTTATTTTTGATTCCATCTCAGCAAGCGTTGCCTTCGATGACGCGGAAAAAAGTGACAGCGATCCTACAGACATACCATTATACACTGCCCTCCCACGGAAACCCTGGGTCCATGAACCTAAAGCCACGTCAGTCCCTTCCGAAACTTCAAAAGCTCAAAACTTTGTTCAGAATTTTCTTCGTCCGATTGATCACCAGTATGTATGCTCTGGTTTTGACTATCGTGGCCATTGTCGTCGAAATATCGCCCACGTGGCGAGCTGAGTTGTGGCTCGCTGAAACGGTAAACAAAACTTTCAAACTTTGGTTCTTATTTATGAATTTCAAGAAAGTCTGCGAAGTTTTTTTGTGCAGAGACTGAAATTTTCGAAAATTTCTCTCAAAGCTTAGTCAGTTTGATTGAAGGTGTTCTACTGCACGATGTATGGAATCGGGATTCTCTTCTTCATCTACTGCTACTTGTTCATTATTTATCCAGAAGCCTACAACTATCTCATCAGATTGAGCTCGAAACTTCGATTAATTTCCAATGAGAAGGTCTTGAGGGACAACTCGGAAAATACCAACTTCATTGTTACAGAACTGGTTGATTGTCAAGACAACTCATGCTGGAGAAGGAGCAGGAACTCTTTACCTCCGCTTGGGAACACTATGTACCTTACTCTGAATAGAAAAATGAAGTCATGTTTTTTCTTGCAGTTTTTGGAATCATTGGAATCGTGCTGTTTGGCCTGGAGGTTGTTTTGTGCGTGGAGAACTCGACGTGTCGACAATCAGCGGTGGCAAAAAACGTGATAGGCATAATATTCACTTTTATTCAAATGCACTTTATCTTCTGTAATTCAAAGGTTATTCGAAAGAGCTTCTGGGAAAAACTGCAGTTTCAGATCACAATTGACCGAACTCGCATCATCGCTTATTTCGGAATGATGCATCTTGTTGCAGTGAACCTTTGGACCTGGTTCCGATTCGTCTTGGCGAAAACAGTTGAGATTAATGAAAAATCAAAAAAAAACTTTGTTTACAGGAAGCGAAACAAGCAAAGAAGATAAAATCGGAAAAAATCTATTCATCTTCCTCTTCTTCTGAAGAGATTCTAGAAGCTGCCACCACTCAGGTTTTGGAAGAATTAGAAAATTGGCGATGAAAAGAATTCTAGATATATCGATACTTCCAAGAAGCAAATAAGACATCTGAACCTGGCACGGAATATTTGCAACCAGTTAAAGTCACCACGACCACAGTTTCCAGTGTGACCGCGATTAGTCGCCTGTATGCAATGGATCATTTTGGAGACCTGGCAACTTTTCTTACAACCTGCCTAGTGGAGTAAGTTTGAAAAAAATAAGATTTGAGAAGTGGAAAGATAAACCGGGCTTTAATGACTGCACGAGACTTTTTAATAATAACAATTAAGTCGTGAAACAAGATTTTTTTTTTGTTTTAAACCTGATTTCTCGAATACGCTGAATTTCGAGTTTAACTCCATTTTCCTGTTTCAGGTACTCGATCATTGGCGCTGCTGTGATGTTTATTATCTGGAAGTCTATTGGACATGTACCTGAGCAGCAACAAGTGAAACGCAAACAAAAAATGAGGATAGATTGCAGGTTCTTTATTTTTGCTCATCGAATGATTAACATTTTTTTAAAGCTCGTCATCAGCTGGATTTTTTGCCGGGATCATTTTCATGATCGGATCTTTTGTGTCGATGGGCGCTTACTCGATTTGTGAGAGCATTCGGAATAACTCAGCCGCCCAATTAATGATTGGAATCGTCGACTTGTGTCTTTTCACCATTGCTTTGGGTGCTTGCCTCATTGGCCTTTGGAGGTGAGACTCCAGTCTGGTTTACTTTATTGTCAACACTATTTTTTTCCTGCGAGTCATCCGTTCAAACAACTTTTTTTTTCAAAAAAATTTTTTCAGAATGCGCTTACTGCAATATCGTCTTCACGCCCATGGAGAAATAATCGACGAAATTTTGTTGATAATTGGTCTGATCGGAGAAATTGTTTATTGTTCCGTAGGTAAGTGAACGAGCAAGCAAATAGGAAAAGTTTCATCAATCAACGTTTGTTCTTAGGAATGGATGTTTTCCTAGCCGGTAGGAAGTTTCCAGACGGGCATTCGCTACTCCCCGCTTTTGTGTTTGTTGTTCGGATAGTACAGGTTATAGTGCAGGCAGCATTTATATTGATCACATCAAGGTATACTAGACTGATTGGATCATTTTTTGATTATTTTTCTCCAGGCTACGTTGTCTGTCTCCGTACGCTGCAAAGTACAAGCCAGGAAAGGAAATCATCACGTTTCTTCTAGTTTCGAATGCGTCACTTTTTGGATTCCACAGTTTTGAGGGTAATGAAACTGCCAGCAGAGTCAATATGAAATCCGAACATTCAGCTATGAAATCTAGCTTTGGATTTTCTTCCAAGGCCGCGTACTCATACAACAGTATCATCCATGCAGTTTCACCGTTGCTGGTGTTTTACCGGTAATTTCTTCTACTCTGAATTTACAAATGAACGTATTTTGAAAAACCTCTGTAAAACTTTCGATCAAAGCGCGAAAAACGATTTCGGATTTCGGCTTTTGTGGCAAGTTATAGAGCTGCAATGGAACCAAAAAGAGCTTAGAAAAGGCCATAAGTCGGCTTAAAAATTCAAAAAAAAACTGCTTCAAACAGGGACAAAAATACTTTATATTATGTAAGCTCAGTTTCAGGATATATCCTAACTTGGTTCATTCGCATTGCCCCAGTTCAAACTCCATTCGAAACATAATTTTACAGATTCCATAGCTCCGCGTGTTTGGCCGAGATCTGGAAACACACCTACAGTAGCAAAGTCAACGATCATGCTTCCGACGGCAGCATAAATTTCTCTCACACCAATCTCACAATATCCACCCCCGTGTCGGATACAGTGAGCAATCACGACCTTTTACCTCACGGAGACTTGGGCTACGGAGAGGCCTAATCTTAGAAACTACTTTATTAGTATACATGTTAAAAATATTACGAGTTCCTCCCACAGTATCAACCAAAAGTTCTAAGCCTATTATATTACTTTTCTTCTCGGTCTTTTCTCCTTCCTTGTGGTTTTAGAGACCTGCTGAGGGAGTTTTTATCCATCTTTATGTAATGAATTTTCTTTTGATAAGTCAGTTATCAAATTCAGTTCAAAGTGAAGTATAGAACATTTCTGAAATTATGTGTAAATCAATATTATCCCTTCAGTGAGTGCTACAAAACAGGTTCAAAAATTTATCTGTATATACACACCCAATAAACTTTTTACCATTTCTTTGCTTACAATAATTGATTGTTCGGATTGCTGGCCGTCTTTTCCTCTTCGATTTTCTTTTCCCTGAAATGGGACTTGAGTCAGTCGAACCCATACTTCATATGTAAATTAAGCCAAAGATATCTATGAACTAAAAAAAGACATAATTTATTATGAAAAACACGGGAAAAGTCGAGTGCTTGTACAAGGGGAAAACAAAGCAGAAGCGGTACATAAAGGACGTTTTCATACAATAACATTCACAATGATAATTACATTTCGGCATTTCTAAAGTCTCGTGGAAGGGCTTTGTCTCCAGTTGCCCTAGATCGGTTTGTCGCAGCTTCTACAGCATCAATCAAAATACCCTAAAAAAGAAGAAAATCATGGCTATGTGGTGGAAGGGAAGAAAAACCTTTAGGCCACCAGTTTCCAGTTTGTGCATACCGTAGATGGAAGAACCTCCTGGACTTTGGACGTCATCTTTGAGTTGTGCGGGATGAACTCCTGGGCATGAACGAATAAAAAATTGAGTTATAGAGTTCATGTTTCAAAAAAAAACTCATAAAATGGAAAATCCAGCTTCTTGGATTTATGTAAATAGTTTTCAAAGAGATTTTTTAGAAATCGTTGAAACCTGTTTCCAGAACCATCTTGGCAGCTCCATACAGCGTATGAGCCGCTAGTTTAATTGCCAAATCTCTCGGAAGTCCAACTTTAACTCCACCATCAGCTAGTCCTTCTATAGCAGCAAACATCTAAAAAAAAAGAACTTTCGAAAAAATTTTTTCAAAGTCTACTTACATAACTTGGACCCGATCCAGATAAACCTGTTACTGGATCAATCTGAACTTCTGGAACTTCAACGGCAAATCCAACCGTGCTGAGGAGGTCCTGAACAAAGTTTTGTACATAGATCACCATGAAAGTGAAAAAAGTACTTTAACGATTTCGGCATCGCCGTCTCTGCAAGCGGATCCCATGGCGAAAGCCGATGCTCCAGCTCTGACCACAGCTGGAGTGTTTGGCATGACCCTCACAACTCGCGACTTGGTAGGAAGTAGCTGAGAGAGGGAAAATGATCCCTAATCCGTGGATGATCTCTTACCGATTCAATATTTCTGATCGTGATACCGAGGGCGATCGAAACCACGAGCTGTTCTCTGCTCAAAGCAGGTGCGATTTCCGAAGTTACCTGTAAAACGTCTACTTTTCATTTTTGGAAAATGCAAGAGAAAAAACAACTGAGGAACCCCAGAGTGGTCCTTATAGGGGCAGCCTTAGGGGCCCTTGAAGGGTCCCCCGTAGAGACCACTTAACCAACCCCTATAGGGTCTACTAAAGTATGCCAAAGGGGTTTCTACAGTTTTTTTCTTAGTTAGTGGCCCCTCTAGAGGACATGCTAGTCGGTAATCATGAACTCACGGAGGGGGGATCACTTTGATTTTACCTCTATGAAACCACTTTTTCGAGCTCTATAGGAGTTGTTTTTCCCTCGAATCCCTATAAGGACCACTCTAAAGTTCCTAAGTATTCTAAAACTTGGAAGTCGTCTTACCTTGCTGACGTGGATAGGCTTCACCGCAAGCACAATGACGTCACTTTTATGAACGACTTCTGAATTATCGTGAGTGGTCGTCAATCCCAGAGTCTACAATCTTTCAGTGATAATTTTGATCAAAAATCGAAAAAACCTTGCACTGATCAATGAACTGATAATCTCGCTTTGGCGAGCTGGCGATGATATTCTCAGCCCCGATTCTTCCTGCAAATTTTTTTATTCAGTGGAGGAGCACAACGTACTGAAACTACAGTAAGAAATTGTTGAGTTATTTGCATTGAATTTGTTTGCTCAACCAAAATAAGTTGCGAACATTTTGGTCAGGTTTTTTTTTTGACGCGTGGTAACGCGTGGAGTGACTTTTTACAAAAAAAAGCGGAGTGTCTGGGAATTTTTTTTCACGTCGGTTCTGGTATCTCTTAAAACAACATTGAGGCGAATTTCATAAAGGGGAGCTTAAAAAATGCATTTTCAAGGGAAAATCAGAACAATTCAATTTTTGATGAATTAAATAGAATTTTTTTCAAATTTATTTTCCATTGGTATAATCCAGCTTGATTCATGAGAAGAGAAGATCATGTAACAAAAACTCATAGAATCCCAACTTTATCTTTTTTCTCGCAATTTTTTTGAATTCTCAGAGTTCTATAACTTTGGAGAGTCATGTTTCAATCTGACTACTTTTTTTCATATTTTTTTCTAAATTTTTCATAAATTTGCGAAGTTATAACTTTACAGTTTCTTCACAGCTGGTTAGAAATTGTGAATATTTGTGGGATCTGGAAAGTAAAAAAAAAATGTTCCAAGAGTTTTTTTCATTCGTAATAAAGCTAGCAATAATTGAGGGACAACGCTATCAATTTCTTTTTCTGAAAGTTTGATGGTCAAAATTTATCATGGTTCAAAATAGTTAACGTTGAGAAATGAATAGAGCATAAATTTTGCACAGTTGGAGCCTACTATTGATTTGATGCTCAATGATTCGAGAAATTTCACAACTGAAAAAAAGCTATTGCAAAAAATAATTTATCCATTTTCCAATTCTGAAGGTATTATTATAACCGATCTCCAACAATAATTCAGCCAGAGATTTAAAATACTTCCTCGTATAGCCTATTCCGCGCCAGCTTGTCACGTTTTTCTTTCCGCCAAAAAGGCCGTATATCAAATTAGATCAAAATTCTGCTTTTATAACGGCAACAAACAAAGGGCTTGAAGCGAAAAATGGTTAAAATTGACCTGGCTTTTTGGCGGAAAAAAAAACGTGACAAGCTAGCGCGGAATGGCCTATAACCGATATCAGAAAAAGATTTAGATTTCAACAATTTGATCGATTTTTGAAAAATTCAAGAAAAAGTTCAAAAAAATGCTGGGAAACTGTAAAACTGACCTGAGTTGATAAGACCTCGAGCCAAGGCCTGAGCCATTTTGCCAGCTCCGATGAATCCGATGCGCATTTTGATAGACGACCAGGAAGGCGAATAATCGATGAGGAACTGACCGCTATCCGAGATGGGTGTCTCCGACAGCACAGGACGACGGCAATCTCGTTCCCTACGCCCCCTTTCTTATCTCCACACTCTTTTTCTGGCTTCCAACGTACAAGCAAATTATCAATCGTCCAAAACTACCTAGCGGCGTTTGACACCGCGTCAAAACACCCGGTCAACGCAGATAAGCAGGGCCGCCGCACGATAAGATATGCACTTGTCGACGGCCCGACAAAAGTAATGGAATGGAATTCAGAAGCGATCATAAATTTTTGAGAGTGATTTTTTTTTCTGGATTTGTTAATGAGTGAACTTTCATAAATAAATTACTTTTTTTGATTTGGTTTTTAAAAAAATTGAAAAAGGATCTTTACAATTTGTTCGGCTTTTTTTGATTAATAGAAAAAGCTGTGATGATATGTTAAATTTCTTAACAAAACAAAAAGGTGAAAACAAAAAAATTTCCATTTCGACTTTAAACCTTTCATATTTTCTGCGATATCACCCGGTAGGGAAAATGGCGGGTAAAAAAATTCAAATAATGAGAAAAAAAGAGCTACAATCTGAGGCAAAATGAAAGAGGAACACAAGGTTTCTTTTTTTTTCCAATAAATATTCAGCGACAAGTTTACGGTTTTCTTGAATCATACTTTTTCAAAGGAAATGAAAAAGAGCGAAAAATTTTGCATACACATACAAACAATCCACGGGACAAAATTTGATAATTCAGAAAAATTCCATTCTTCTGATTAGAAGAAAAAAGTTACTTACTTTTCGATCAAAAGGAAAGTCGAAAAATTCTTTTAAGCTTCTTACTTCATTTTTTTCCTCAAAGTTATTCGATAGATGTCACAAAAAAATTGCAAGAAAGACAAAAATCAAATTTTTTTGTGAAAGTTTTGAATAAGCTCACTAAAAAGTTGTCATGATTCGATGGTATGAAAAACCAGCAAAAAAATTTGAACGGCGACTCTTCCGAGTTTTTTTCATATCGTCTAGGGGACGTTCCGACAAAGAAGTTTCCGAATAATCATTTTTCCGAATATCTTTTTGATAAAAGTCTTTGTTTTCGAATCTTCTTATATGAAGTAGGTAGTTGATTTGTGATTAAAACACGAAGAAATATGAAAAAAATGCTTATACATGGTTTCATAAACTGAAAAAGTGAGAGATCAAAGCCGGAAAGAGATTCGTCGGAAAGTTCCCTAGCGATATGAAAAAATCGGAAAAGTCGCCGTTCGAAAATTTGCTGACATACCACCTACGATTCGAAAATGGAAACAAAACGGCTGCCGCATAAGAAAATTCGAATTTTCCCACGTTTCGATCAAAAAATTATTCTTGACTTGTTTACAAAAACATTTTTCGGAAACGATCAACAAGAAAAAAAAAATTAATTCGATTTCAGTTATAAGAAAGGAAAAAAAATGGTGTACTTGTGATCAATATTTACAGGAATAGATTACGGTAAACATTCGTTATCAATGCAGAAACCTTGTCGAGCCCTGTGCTACTCGATTCCCACGTCACATTGGATCGATCAGCTACTTTTGTTTTCTTTTTGTTCTGCTCTGCGCTACTTTCTGTCCTTTGTTCCTGTCATTTTTACTGATTTTCTATCGGTATCATTTCTTTTTCCTCCACAACCCGTCTCATTCTAGAATCTGAATCTATTTTTTGTTTTATGATGATTTCATGAATTTGAACTCGGAAAGGACTTGAGTGTGATTTGAGTGAACTTACTGGGTTTAGTGATGATGCGAGATTTTTTTAAATTTAATTTTCAGCGCCATAACCTTTGGACGTGTTTTTTGAGACTCTGAGCAGCCCAACTTTGTAAAATTTCCAATCTCCTTCAAAAGTTTTCGACGTTTCATGCTCCGATCAAGAACAAAATCTGATAGAAAAGTCAGAGCTTTTTTTCCAGCTTTGTTCTGTGTCTCCTCATTTGCTTTCATATTTCACAGCAAGAAGAAAAAGGAAATCTTTGTTCGAATATTAGAAAAAACAAAACTGAATCTATTGAGGTAGGTTTTGAGATCAAATGAAGTCGTCGTAGTTATGGTCAAGCACCACGAAGTAGTCGCTGTCTTCTGGTCGTTTCCATGTTACTTTAGCAAGCGGATCGAACTCTGTAGGAAAACCAAAATGAAGATTAAGTTTTGGAAAGAGTGTTTTTTGGTATTACTCACTAGGAAATTTATTTCAACCCCTCGGTAGAACTTTTGATGAAACTTTGCTCAATTTTTTTCTAGAATCAACTGATTGCAGAACAAAAAGAAAATTTCTCGTTTTCAAGTTGGGACGCTTCAAAAACTTGAAAAAGCGCTTTTGTCATTATTTTTGCATTCTGCAGGCTTTGAAGCTTCACAACTTGAGAACAAGATCTGTTACGGTTCTCAAAAAACGGTCCCTAGTCAGTTCAAAAATTTTTTTTAGAACGAATAAGACGAATTTTCAAATCAAATGAAAACGTTCAATAATACTTTTTTCCTATTGGACTTATGATGAAAAACCCATTTTTTTTTGTTCGCTCCAAAATTTCGCTTGTATGGATTTGAAATTTGCACAAAACACAAGAAGTATGAAAAGCCTTGTTTGAACTTTTGAAAAAGCCTCATTTCGGATATCAGACTTTTTTTTCGTGATTTTGTTACCTTCTAAGGCCTAAAATGATGCTAGCGGAGTTTCATTACAATTTCATCCCTTGTCAACTTTCTTGATAAATTCTCTCACCTTTCCAAAAAGGAATCCTTCTGAGAACTTCTTGGTCACTCCGCGCGAAAGAACACCTTGACGTCGCAGCGTTTGGTGTTGGTGGCGAGGTGGAAGTCGTACTTTGAGACGCGTGAGTTGCATGCTCGCCGAGCAGTATCCGCACGTCATTCGACACTCTCGAAAGGCGAAAGGGAACGCCGTGCAACTCCACATGTCGGAGAACTTGTCGTCCATGTAGCCTTCTCTGAAACCGACGAACTAATCGGCAAACTTTTGGCTCTCGCCGCACTTTCGAGACAGCCGCAAACACCATTGCGAGCCGCGGCGGTCGGTGCAAAATGAAGTTATCGGGTCTTCTAGGTGTCGCCGTACCATTAAAGAATACCGCAGCTCACTTTTTGGTTGAGATTTGTCGAAGCTGAAGTTAATTTAAGTTTTTCGAGGAAGAAGAAGAGTTAGAACTTTTTTATTTCCTTTTGAGGTTCATAACAATCATTCCAAACTATTATTTAAATAAGCCAACTCACCACGTTGAACAACACTGAACAAGTGCAAAATCTGGATCACTAGAGCATCTATTCAAAAACTTCTGAGAATCGTGCAATTTCATCCTGCCGCATGTTAGTGAAGTGAGTCTGTCTATGCAGCACGGTGTCTTTCCAAATAGTTCTTTCGGCTGATTGAAATTGAATGCTGAAACAGAGATCTACATTGAACTCAAAACAAAAAAGATCACTTTTTAAACATCTTTTCACGCGACTTTTGCTCTACTGAAAGGCTTGAAATCGATTCCGAAACAACTGGCTTCTCAAATACCAGGTTTCTTTTTTCTTTGGATGAAAAATCGCCTAATTTCCTTCCAGTTGTTTTATGGGGAACATTATTGTTTTTTGGAAGAGAAAGTGGTTTCGCGCAGAATATATTTCTTTGAACGTTTTTTCTTCATTTTTCTCTTCAGAACCTGTAGTTTAGATCTTCTTTCAATTATCTTTTTACCGTGATCTTGCTTTTTTTGCAATCTAAATATGGAAATGAAGCCCTAGGAAAATATTTATTTATTTGAAAAAGCAAACTAACGCTTTGTGAAAGCAGCAAGATTAGCTGGAACAAGTACGAGTAGATAAAAAGAAAAGAAATTTCGCATGAAGGAACACCAGCAGAGGAAATACCCAGAACAGTGTTTGTGTGAAGCTGCAACACGCGCAAACACGTCGAGGCGTGAATCTCGACAACATGAAAACGCACTTGAGCTCCTGCGGTCAGCTTCAAACAAACCCAAGTTTTTTGTCTCGTTTTTTTTTGGGTTTGCTTTCGATCCTTAGTTGATTCATCTTTACGAAACTCTGAGAAAAGTTCAGTGAAAATTTAAATCAGCAAATAATATCAAAAAACTTGTTTGTGATCTTCTGATAAACCAAGTTTTTTGCTTCGACACCAGAAGGGTTTTTGGATATGATATGGGAAACACAGGATCCTATGATGAGGGGGATTGTACAATTATGTCAGATACGAATTTTCCTTCGAAGTTTCTCGATTTTTTAGACATTTCCGTAAGCTTAAGACTTCAATATCAACCAACTAGCTGCGCTTTTTTCCGATTTTTTCTCCGAAGTTTTGATTTTTCCTAGTGAGAATGAGTAACACAATCATTCTCTGAAATCTTTTTTAAAGCAGAAATGAAGATTTCAGATACGCGAAACATTGAATTCTGAAAAAATCCTCTTTTTTATACAGTTTTCCTAAGATTCCCGACCCCAACGAAACAATCAAAACTTTGGCTTTCGGTATATTAATAGAAAAAAAGATCCGTTCTTACGAAGAAGAAAAAGGTTTTGTAACATTTTTTATTTTTTTGCGTAGAATGATCTGCGAATATTTGAATGATAACTTTATGATTCTTATCAAATTTACAATGACATTGAGCGATTGAGCAACAATAAAATTCATAAATAAATAAATAGGTGCTTCTAACAAGTTAGAATAGACGCTCGCAGGTTTTTGGGTCCTTGGCGACGGTGGAGTCGTATCGAACTGTGGCTGGTTTCGATCTGAAAATGTTTGATCACATAGGCAAGATATTCCGAAACGTACGAGTTGCAATAACCGCAAGTCTTCCTGCAAACGCGGAAAGCGAAGGCCGATTGTTGGCAGGTGAGAGCTCTTCTGCCCCAGGGGCCTGCGCGGGTCACGAAAGCCTCGCAAAAGTTGCTTCCGTGACGGTCAAAGCAGGTGTTGGCGTTGGTTCGCAACAAAAGTTCTTCTACATCTTTCATGTAGATGTCGTTCGGGACAGGCACAGCTTAATCACGAATATCAAAGAAAGTTCAATTTGATCGAATAAAATTGTACTGAGAATCTTATCAGTTCAAAGAAAAGACTTTGGAAGTACTTATCTTTTTTCCTAATAAATCGATACAAGAGTTTAATCTTAACTCACTGGAGCCAGTGAAGAGATCAATATTGAAATGGCAGGAGTGGCAGCACTGGATGAAGCTGAAGTCGGCGTTTGTCCGACAAGACCTGGTGAACCGTTCATGGTCACGATTGTACAGGGACTTGCAGACGGAGGGCATCAAAGTGTCCATGCAACACGGCGTTCTTGTCGCTTTCCAAGCCGTTGGCTGCAGGTCCATGCTTGCCAATGCTAGAAATTTAATAATGTCATTAGTAATCTCGGCAAGAATATCATATAAATTTCTTCTTGTTTTTGGATATTCCTATATCTTCCTACAATTTTTTGTATCGATTGATATTCCTACTGGACGGACGCAAGATCAATAAGGCTCTGAATCTTGTCCAAGTCAACTTTTTTTTTCTTATTCAGCGTTTAATTTTTATACTTCAAATTGACGAGACGTTTTGAAGGATTTTTAACTTTGGATATATGTCCTAAGCTGTTGATATTCGCCTTAAAAACTCAGTTTTTTCATCTCAGATTGGTTAGTAAATTATGCTAAAGGTGAAAATCTAATTTTTAGGAAAAAAAAGTTTAGCTTTATCATGAGAATCAGTATACATTTTGGTTATTTGTGCAACCCTTTTTTCATCAAGCTCGAAGTTTCAGAAACCACCAAAAAATTTACGTAAATGTCAACAAGAACAAAAAGATGAGAAAAAAAAATATAAATCCACCTGAAGAGCAAATGAGAACAAAGTAAGATGCTGACCGCACTGACATCTCGTTTCAAAGAGAATGAAGGACCTGCTGAAATGATTGGCAGAAGGAGAACATGGCGCCTATATACCCAAGTTGGAACAAGACGATTCCGGTTGGACGGCCGTGTGGGCTGGCGTTTCCGGCTGTCGGGAGCCGCCTTCACGGAAGCGCCAAACGGTTCAACGGTCAGCGGCCGACGCGTTTTGTTTGGGCAAGCGGCGGGTTGCCGCCTGATGACTGTCGTTATGAATTATGAACAAACGGCCGATTCCGGCTCTTGCGCCAAAACGATCCTTCTTTCTCTCGCTTCTTCCTGTGTGCTCAAATGCCGCCGACGCGCAACATGCCCTAAACCGTTGTCTGAAAGGCTTAACCCGTGTCATTTCGACATTGTTTTTGGTTTGAAGTTTTAAAAAGAAGTTGTTGACGTTCAGACAGACTAAAAAGAAAAAAAAAGGGCTAATATATTTATTTTGCCTTATGAATGACTTCAAAAGGGCAGTTTGAAAAAAATTCAAAGGTTTGGGAGGAAAAAAATTTTTTTGAAAATTAGACAGACTTAACATAAAGTTGAAAAAAATTAACTTTTTATCTTTTTTTAATCAGTCTCATATTTTTCATCCAAATGTCTCAATTTCACTCAATTTTCGAGAAAATTGAGAAAAAAACCAGGCAAAAAAATAGGAATTTCAAATGACCAAAGGAAGAATTACAAGCTTCAATTTTTTTATATTTATTCACTAGTGGTTTCCTGGAACTCAGAGATTATAATTGAACAATTATTTCAAAACATTACTTTTCCACAAAATGATTAGCTAGCGCTGAGAAGTTTTAATAACACAATTCTGAACTTTTAAACCTTCTCTTAATACGAAAACACCCCTTTTCCAATTAGCAGGCGAGCAAAGGCATTAATAACATAAAAACATTCGTTATCACATGCGTGATAAGTCCAACGCGAGTTCGACCATTTTTCATTTTTGCCCTTTTTGTTTCCTATTCCTCACTGTGAACAGTAAAAATGTTATGAATATGATCTAAAAATTTTTAGACTAATTGTTCAAAAATGGCCAGTGACGTGGAGAAAACGACTCATGAACAGAAGTGCCATCAATATCTCATTGCATTAAGGTAATATAACGAGTCTTTCAAAGTTTATTTTCAAGTTTTCAGTAAGCTCATGCGAAGTTTCTCTCCAGATATCCCGTTTGATGAAACAACGGCTTTCAATAATTGCTACAGCATTTGCGGCATGAAAGAAGGTGGATGACACCCATAAAAAAAATCAAAACTTTTCATCTTTAGTGACCGTTTCTTTGAAGTTAGAGACTGAGAATCTCCAAAAAATGTATGAAACTGTGAGAAAACTCCTCAATTCGACTTCCGGAGGTGACCTGGGATCTCATGATGCTTTTGCCTGCAAGGACGCGTATGATTCAAGTTCAAACTTTCCAATAAACTTCATTTTCTCTCAGATGTGAAGAACTTGTGGAAGATTACGAGCACAGGCGTAGAAGAAAAGCAAACTTTGAAACAAGTCTTTCCTCAGACGTTAGTTCTATTGAAGTATGCATTTTGGAAATATTTTAGGAAGATGATGACATTGATGCTTCAATGGAAAATCAGAAGAAAGCGGCTTTCCAAGCTGCAAAAGATGAGTTCCTAGAAATAGGTGAAGTTGTATTTGTATCATAGTCCATTGCAACCGGTTCAGAAGAAGACAACAGAATAGAAGAAGAAGAAGACGAGGCTGAAGAGCCAAGTTCAGTAAGGGATTTTAATCCGTTGGAATTATGTTCACTGGTTGTTGGAGCTTTTTTCCGCGCTTTCCGATCTCAAAGTTTGCAGGATGAGGTTTTAGCTAAAAATGTAAGTTCGAATGTGTTTCGAAAATGTTTATTTTTGGCAGTTCTCGCTTATCAACGAGTTGGTTGAACTTCTGTTAAATGAATTCAAGGAGTTGGATCCAGTTTTTACAAGATTTTTGCTCGAGCACGTTGCTATTGGATTGAAAGTTGGTCTTTCCTGAATAAACATCTAATTGGCAATTATTAGGTAGTAATCGAAACGTATCGTACACTTCGTATGTATCGAGATTCTGAGAACGAAGGCGGTTTCATTGAAAAACTCAGTGCAGATGTTAGCCAGTTGCACTTTCTAATCGCTCAATACACATACGAGTGCTCCTTCAAACTGTCCACAGAAGACTTCATCGGTCTCTACTGCTCTGAAAAGGATCTCCAAATTTTGATGACGTTATCACAAAACGCGATGTTGCATGCCATTTACGACATCGCCGCGCAAATGAACCAAAATTGGAAGGTATTTTTTCGGTGGTATGAAAAAAAGGCCAGCGTAAATTCAAACGGCGACTTTTCCGATGTTTTCATATCGTTAGGAAACTTTCCGACGGCTACCTTTTCGACGAATCTTTTTTTCTCGATAAAATCTTCTTATATAAAGTAGGTAGTTGGTTCATGATTAAAACACAAAGAAATACAAAAAAAGAAGTTTATAAATGTTTTATAAATCGAAAAACATCAGGGAAAAAAAAGTCGGAAAGAAGGCCGTCCGAAAGTACCCTAGCGATAAGAAAAAAATCGGAAAAAGTCGCCGTTTGAATTTTTCGCTGGTGTTTTTTTATACCACCTATTTTTCCCTTTTTTTTGATGTATTAATTTTTTTCAGGAAGCTGTGATAGTCATGTTTTCTTTTCTGAGTTTGGCCCCTGATGAATCGACTCTAAAGTGGCTGACAGAAAAACTCAGAGTTTTCATCTCTTGGACTGCGCCAGTTGATTCTGAATCATTCAATCGCCTCATAGTTGAGCTTCTCCTACTGAAATCCAGCGAAGGTTACTCGACAGTTATTCTGCGGGATATCGCACAATGTCTTCTGCTGGTCGACGATAGGACTATACTTTTCAAAGTTCTGAGTGGGCTGGATCTGTACATCATTGGCAACGTTCTCGAGGAAGATAACGAAACTGTGGTGAGATTAATTATATCAATTTTTCTCTGGTTTCAAGATTTCGAACTTCCGGTTCAATGTATCAAAATGACTTGTTGAAATCAGAAAAAAAAAATCCTTTTCAGGAGTTTCTTTTCACTTCTTTTACAGCCGCGATGGAAAATAGCGCGGCGACAGACCAGTCGCCTACAGCTGAGGTTTCACCTTTTTTCTTTTACTTCAAGGTTAGCAAAGAATTTCAAGAACTCACTGAAAACCATCTCCGAGCACAAATGGACTCATGTCACTGTGGATGAAGTTGAATACGAAACAGTGTCCGCAGTACGTAGCCCACTTTCTCTGAGCCACTCTATAGACCTATCTTCGTCTTCAGATCTGCATTTCAATATTGTCCTGTCATTAGTTAAGTGTTAGTTATTTCGTAAAACTTCATTAAAAAAATTCTTGAAACACAGTTTGTCAATTGGATCTCATCGAAAATCAGCTGCTGCTTCGCTTTGAGAAAATGTCCCTTGAACTCTACGAATTTGTACTTTATGAAAGTAGCGGAGACGATGAACAAAGTATGATAAAGGTTTTCTTCTTTTCTAGAGACATTTTTAAGGATTTGCGGAAGAAGCTGAGCGAAGAGATTTTTTGAAAAAGCAAGAGGCGTTCACAAATCTCTTGATGGCATACTTGCATCGTCAAACTGGAGAGAAAGCTTTCATGAAGATTTTGGAGTTAGTTATAAAGTTTTTTTCTAGAATAATCTTTTAGTGTTTTCAGAATTATTCCAGCGGCTACTAATGAAAAACCTCTTATTCCCGTATTTCTTTACACTGTTGAGCAAAACCTTTTTGTAATAATCAAGTCTCCAGTTGTAATAGTGAGAAAGATCAATTTAATTTTTTCCAGTCAATATCATTTCAGGGAGCTTTGAGTCACCGCGTTTCTGGGAGTCTTGAACTTGTTCAACGCTTTATTGGCTATTATCGAACTGGCAGAAAGTTTGAGGATTTCGCTGAATATGTTGGACTTGCTATTGATCTTTTCAAACTCACGCTTCATCTGAGTCTTTCAAGTAAAAAGTTTTTTTGAATTTTTTTCAAGTTTATTTATTTTTCAGCATTTCTCAGTGAAAGATTCACAAATCAGGGTCAACGAGGTAGTTAAACATTATTTGGATGAAATATCTTCAATTTCATCTTCCAAGAGCACAAAAACGGATAAAAATGGTGCGGCATTTATATATCTTTCAAAAAATAAAGGTAATCTTCAGAAAGGAAAGTTTTGGAAGTCTACCTCCAAGCAGTTCCAATGATCATTCTTGCGAAAATAAGTATATCTCAAAAAAAGGTTGTTCAAACGTTGCTCATCAAGTTATATTAGGTTCAGTTGAATGAAGCCATGATCGAAGAAATTTTTCGAAAAATCATACCGACGGATGGATGGTTCATAGAAATGTTCATAGAATTCTGCAAAAACTTTTTGAACGCGTGAGTATCAAAAAGTGTATTTGCTCTTAAAGTTCTGAGCAATTTCAGGTGTGTATTTTATCAAAAATTGCTTTTGAAAGTGGATCAATCAAGCCGAAAAATCTCCGAACTCTTGGTTTGTTTTTTGAACTTCCATCTCAACTACTGCCGAAGTCATCCTGAATTCCCCTTCAAATTTTCAAAAATTATCCAAAAATTGGATTCTTTCGACGATAACGAGGTTGGCTCCGCTATTTCGGATTGGTCAAAGAATAAAAATTTAGATACACCAAGTGAGACTGGCTTACTTGGAATACAGCATGGAGTTGGACACAGATTACAGCGAAGTTCTCAGTTTTGTGCTTCAAAAAACAGCCCGTGAAAATCATCTCAAGGCAATTCTTGAGATTTATACAGCCTCACCCAACCACTGCAAAGTATGGAAAATTTCAAAGTTAATCCACGTTTTTTTGAAACTTTCAGGCGACTATTTTGAAGCACTGGATCTCACTTCAAAATCAGACATTCAAAAAGCCGGTCTGCGAATCTTTCCGGTCTAATTGCTCTGTGTAAGTTCTTGTTTCTTACCTGAGAAGCTTTTCCATGATTACGTAATCAAGAAATGACGTCTTTTCAGGGTTATCCGGCATCCCGCCGCTAATTCGAATCCGTGTGAGAGAAAACGTGGCTCAACGGTTAATTATCAAGGTTGTTAACTAATTCATTAAACTTCGAAAATTCAGTTTCAAGGAAATTCACCCTTTGTCTATGACTCTGGGACGGGAATAACTTTCACGTTCAGTTTGCGTTTGTATCACGACGGAGTGAGAAAACAAAAGTTGAAGGAAAGTTTGAAAAATTTCCAGATGAAGTCAGCGGCTACGATAAAACTTGGTCGGTTTTCAATAAAGATCGTCTTCACGGATGTTTCTGTCTGTCGCTTGATGATCCACTACAAATCGAAATGTATCAGCGAGTGCGTTTTCATTTTATTTCATCGATTTGGCATTTAATTGAAAGTCGAAGCGGCTTGTTTTAGTTCACTTTTCCCCTGGTAGTCTATGAGACAAAAAAAAATCACTTTTAAGACAGAATAGAAATCGCGCGAGATCGATTACAGTTAGAAGCGGTATCAAAATTCGATTTCATTTTTTACCCCTGAAAATGCGACCACGACGCTTTGAGCCAATCCATCCGAAATAGAAAAAAAAGTTAAATGAGAATACTTTCAGCAAAACCGTGCCTCTGTTTCTGGAATCAAGTTCTTGGCATGTCCTGTGCATTTCGAAACGTTACAGTAGCTTACAAAAAGCCTATCATCTACAGGTAAGCTTAGTTTAATAATTTTCAATATTCCCTAATTCTATGTTGAGATTTATGACGGGGAAAAAAAGTATGAGTTTTGTGAGTCTTCGCCTTTTCTTTGTCGGCAGTACAACCTATCGTTTGAAACAAAAAACATCAGCATCCGTCATTACCATATGATAAAAGGTTCATTGAACTTCAAAAAAAGGTAATTTCGAGGGAAACAACTTTCAGGATATTTTACTCTGAAAGACTCTTTGTTCATGACCATGGTCGGACATCAAGCGGTGGACCACACAAATTTGTCTCCCGGTGCATCTCAGAACTTATCGAAAGATTTTCGAGAAGTGGCTGAGAATTTTTTGGAATATGCGGACACGATAAATGTGAGTTAGGACTTACATGAATTAAAAAAAGAAAAAAAAATTTCAGTTGAGAAAACTGGATTACAACGCGTGCGATGTTTATGAGCAAACTTTCGATGAAGGAAGTTATCATTTGGTAAGGTGTAATTATAGAATGTTTTTTCAAAGGTATAGCTGATTGACGGCTGGTTTGAGCCATCAAAAAAATGGGTTCTGACCCGAAAAAAGAAGAGACAGGCCACGCCTCTTTAACGTTCAAAGTTTGCCATGAATCGGTTTTACAGGCATAGCTGGAAAAAAAAGCATTTCTGACTTTGCGACTTTCGAAAATGAAGTAGAATAAGATTTATTGAACTTCACAGAACCACGCAGTCCGTTCTTTTGAGTCTCAATACTTTTTGATTTTTTTTTGAAATGCTCGAAAAATATCTGGATTTATCAAAAACTAGTCCAAAAAGCTTAAATTCTCACAGCCCAATAATCTCAAACAGCAGTGCCATTGAAACCGAAAAAAAAAAGCTCGGAATCAAAACAAAGTTCAACAGCTTTAAAAAACCTAAGTCTGTTAGGACTCTCTTTCAAGATCTTATTTTAATTCCCGTCTTTTTTTAGATTCCAGAAACTTCTAATAAATGAGTCTTAGAACTTTTTTTGTAAATTCGTCAAAACTTAAAGAAAATCAATTTCTTTAATCCAGAAATATTATTCAGGAAATACAAAACGTTTCTGCAACGAGGTCAATGGAATACACAATTAACGAAAACAACGAAATTGTCAAACAAATCGTCGAGCCAAATAATCCAAAGAACTATTTAACCGATCAATTTATCGCTGCCGGTGGCATTCGTCTAGTCATCTATTTGATCGCAAAGGTTTCATTCCCGAATAACTTTAGCTGATTCTTTGATATTCAGGAACTTGGTGATTCTGCAAATCCAGAAGTTCTAAATGAACTTTTGCGCCTCTACCTATCTCACTTGACTGTTTCTGACGAGCGTTATCCAGTGGACCTCTCTATTCGCGTTCTTATGCGCTTATTGGAACTGCCGCAGTTTGCTATGAACAATGACTTACTTGAAGTTTTTTTAAATCTTTTTCCCTCTGTAGTTTGAAATTCCAGAATATTCTTTCTCACGTTTTTCCGATATCAGCTGAAGACGAAAATTGGGAGACGAGAAACGAGCGAAGAAGAATTTGCTTCAGATGACGATCTGGAAATAGAAAATTATTTGCTTGGTCAGAGCTTGAAAGTGAGAATCTCTTCCGGTTTATTTTTTTATTTTTTTGATTCTCGCTTGAGCTTTTTTTGAAAAAAATCGAGAAACAAGTTAATTAATTTTTTTATTAATTCTCAGATGATGAAAAACTTTTATTTGTTATCCAGAAAAAAAGTAAAACCGTGAACCAAATTGTGCGCTTTTCAGAACCACGGCTTGATAACCGATGGCCGATTTTTGTACTACTTCATTCAAAGCTACGAAATCTGGTCGCACCGTCCACAGCACTTTGCCCGGGTCATTCATATCCTGCGGAGCGTAACTCAGAAAGAGAGAAATCGAGATTTGTGGAATCGAGGAAAACTGAAAATTCTCTTCCCTGACCTTCTTCAAGTAACTCAGAGTTTTTCGGAGTTCACATGAATTTTCTTCAGACCATTCTCAAGCTCTCGCAAAATCCTGCGTTCAATGAGAACACTCTGGAAGAGGACTCATTCGGCGAAGACTACGCATACCTCATCAAATCGCTTCTGCAATCAATTTTTTTGGAAAAAATGAGCGAAGAGCCTCTGACTCTCATTTGGAACACTCTCTTTCTTCTACAGCCTACTTCGGATACATTATTCCCAATGAAATCTTTGAATTTCTTAGACCTCTTAGGAGCCAGTGGTTTGAACTTTGGAGAACCTGATGATTTTTTTGATTTTTATAGCTTTTGATGACATACGCGCTTCCATGGTCAACCATCTCGTTGGAACTGTTGGCGATTCGAAAGAGGGCTCTAACGTAGGTGATGACGGACAATCATCTTTGCAGAATGAAGAGGTACGAAGGAAACGGAATGATTTGATCCCGAAAAACGTTCAGGATTCCCGATCTCGTAGCTCCGTCGAAAGTTGGCAGAAAAAGTGGGTAGTCGTTTTGAAAACAGGTTTATTTAATTATTTTTTTACTTTGTATTATTTGATTTTTTCCGGTTTGACAAGAATCCTCTCGGATTTTGTTCTGAACGGACCAGACGAAGCTGTATCCAGCCTTCTCAAAGAGGATCTCAGAACGGATGTTAGAACTTTTTTTAGAATTATTTTTACTTGATGATTCATTTTAGTGCGTTCTCGTAATGTTGACCCACCAAGAAGATATCAACCTCCGTGAAGCCGTTGTAGAGCTTTTGTGCAACGTTCTGGTTTTTAAAAACCACTTTTTTTTCTACAATGAAAAATTCAGCTACGAGCAAACAAAGTACAGAAAATGGTCTTTTTGAACTCGAGGCAGTATATTTTGCTGGCTTGTGAGATGCGACAACAAGGAGTTACTCTGAAAATGGCGAGCTGCTTATTTTCGATCGTTTTCGGGGAAAGTGTCGATATCAGAAACGGGTGAGTCATGTAAAGAAAGGATTTATTCTCAGAGGAGTTTTGATTTTTTCTTGATTTACACTCTTTTTACGGTCTCGAAGAATGTTTTCACTACAGATTGGACTCAACACACGTAAACGGATTCACTCCCGACCGCCTATCCTGCGAAATCCTGAACGTTATTTACGCTCTACTGGAAAGATCCTGTATGGAATGTCCTACCACTTTTGCTCACATTTGCGCGGCTTTGGGAAAAGTTTTTCAGCTTCAAATTTGGAACAAACTTTCGGTTTTCAGATTTGCGAGCACAATTCCCAGTTGCAACAGGCTATGATGGATCGGAGACTTCCTGAAATTCTCACTAATGTCGCAATCAAAATCAGTCATTTATGGCAGAAGCAAAACGAAGTTTCAAGCGAGACAAAGTTCGAGCAGTTGCGTGAGCCTTTCATGAGGCTTACATCTGGAATCATCCTACAAGCCATTCCTACTGGGTCATCCATCCAGCTTAGTGTAAAATATGTAGAGTGCAATTTTCAGAGAGAAGAAAATCTTTGAAAACGCTAAAAAGTTCTTGCATTTGCTTATAGCGGCTGAACGGCAAGTAGATGAAGCAGAGTAGGAAAACTGAAATTTCGTAATTTTGAAATATCCTTCAGAGGAAAAGCGGCTAACGTGTTTTTGCGGAAACTGTTGTGTACCCTTTTGGTTGAATCCATTGGTTTATGTCAAATTTTTGTCGACGAACGAGGACAGTATCACAGGAGCGCAAGTGTGGCTAGCAGCGTCGTTGGAAGTTAGTTTCCTTCTGAATTTTCCTTTCTTTCATTTTGACTATCAGGTGATTCTGACTCGAGTTTGGAAGACAGTGATTGCTACGTGATGGTGGAAGTTCCACACGTAAATGAAGAGTATTTCAAGCCTTCGCCGCTCACACGAAACCTTTCGATGTTCTACAACACACTGATGCAAAAAGCCTCAAGTAAAGAAATAATCGAAACCTCAAAGCTTATTGATTTTAGAGAAAGCACGATCTTTGGACTGTCCCTACAAGGTCAAGGCTGTGAGAACAACGAACGCTTTGGAAATAGCCAAACATTTCGCGGAAATCATTACTTTGTGTCATCGAGCTTTTTCTGTCATGAGAGCCAAGGACGAGGTCGAGGAGTGGGAAAACGTGTTTTTCAGCTCTTATGTCGAAATCTTGGTGACGGCTCAGGCGTATACAGTTAACTATCAAAATCTAGATCCCTCTTGAATTTAAATTCAGATTGCTCGAGCTCCATGGTACATCAATGCTTTAGAAGAAGCTAGATCTTGTTTTTGTAAAGTTTTCGCAGACACTTTTTTCGATTCGAACAGGAAAGAAACGATGGGCAATGGTAACTACAGTAAGTTTTCAACTTGAGAAACAAAATTCAAATGTGAAAATGTCGAATTCTAGATATTTTGAACGAGTTCTACATCGAACGAAAGCGTAAACTGATGAATGTGAGGACTAGGTTCCCTCAAAACTATCTCATTCCTCTTCTGAGCCAACATTTGGTTTTTTTCATCATTTTTCTCGAATAAAGCGAGAATTTTAAAGGAGCTCAATGACTTGATAAGGCAAGGAATTCTGGAAGTTTTGCGCCATCATCCTCCTGAAAGCAACTTTGTACAAGAAGTTCGAGATTTTGCCGCTTGGTTTGGTTGGACATCTCTAGCGAACGGCTTCCTAGACGGTGGTGAGAAACAGGAAACTCATTTAACGCTAGATAGGAGAAAAATTGATAGCTCTCTCGAAAAAAAAAAACGATTAAAAAGTCTCCTTCACTTTTTTGCTGCCTTTTTTCAATCAATAGTGGATGAACTGAAAAAAATCGAGCCTCTTGAAGACTCGGAGCAAGCATTCCGATCCACGTTGGAAATGGGTCTCGTCGGAGTTGTCGACGAAAAAAGGAGAATTTTGTCGCGTTTGCAAGAGCTTGTTCTAAATTGCCACCAATCTTCACTACCAACTTCTGACGATGAAGACGTAAGTGAAAAGATCAGAAAATTTAATCATTCTTCCAGCTGAACGACCTTCTCACGAAACATGTCTTGATTCGACAAAATGCAGCTCGGAAAGAAGCTTTCGATCTTTCCGCGAAATTGTCGACCAAACTTGGAAACATAGCGGAAGAACTTCAACATTGTTCGGTAGGAATCGAGAATAGGATAATTCATCTAAATTTTTATTTTTCAGTCTATAGTGTTCCATCCGAGATCGCCAGTCTTTCAAAGCAAACATTGGCCGAAAACTTTCGTCCTTTCTTCAGTAGAAGGTCCTCAACATGAAAGATTGAGGTTCTTTTTTCATTCCAAATTTGTCCCCTTTTTTCATTTCTTATATCTCAGATTGATTCCCGGAGAAGTGAACATTCCCAAGGAACATTTACAAGATTGCTCACTGTATGACGGAGAATACTCAGGAGGGCCTCTCGACAAAATTGTATTTTTTTTTACAATTAATTTGATTACATTTTCAATTTGCAGATTGAGCACTTCAATGGAAACGAGGAAGAGATTGACATTCATAAAACGAGTCACAGTGAAATTTTCTACAACATTATCTTTTTGAAAAACGGAGATGAAGTTTCGGGGACGCTGATCATCAACGATCAAGAAATCGTCTTTCTTTCTTATGAGGTTAGAATGCGTTGCTCAACCGGCTTGCCACGGCTTGAAACAGCCTGAGTTTGCTCCTTTTCTGTTTTTTTTTTGTACGATCTTCATAATTTCTTGTAAAGATTTGAGGATTGACTATAACAAGCCGTGGGAAGTACACAAAAAATGTAACTATACCACAAAATTTCAGACCAAAAAAAGAACAATGTTCAAAGTTGTTCTCTCAAAAATAACTCGCATCTACAAACGGCGTTTCGTTTTGGAAGACGTGGCTGTCGAACTTCTTCTCAAAAAGAAATCCTACTTCTTCGCTTTTCCGAACTCAGAGGTTTTTTTCAAGTATTCATACTTTTATCAGATAATCCTGAGTCACAGAATCGTGACACAGTCGTCGATTTCATTGACGAGGAAAAAGCGAGAAATGTGAATGTTGAAATGGAAGCGAAGTTATTGGCCGAATCTTGGCGTGGCGGAAACATCAGCAACTTCAGGTTATCAATACTAAATGAAAGTTTCTTCATCGAGTTCTAGATTTTTGGGAGAGCTGAACAAGCTGGCTGGGAGGACCTACGACGATCTCATGCAGTATCCAGTCATGCCTTTTGTAATTGCTGACTATTCTTCAAACCATTTGGATCTCACGAAATCATCTTCCTATAGGTAAAATCAGAACTTGAAATTATTTACGGATCTTTTTCAGAAACCTGAAAATTCCAATTTCTTTGCAACTTCCCGAAATGGTCAACGTTTACAAGGAGTTGTTCTCGCACTATGAATCGATTTACAAGGTTCACATAGAGAACAGTTTTTCAGTAGTTTTAATGAGTTTCAGGAAGCGCTATCCCACAAGGACCCGAAGAAAAAAGAACAATACGTTCCTCATCACTACGCCAGTCTTTTTTCGAATCCTGGCATTGTCACTCATCTTCTTGTCAGGCTTTATCCGTTCTCCAAACACGCCCTCGTGCTCCAGGTTTTTTTTTAAATAGATTCAGCTTGAGAGTTTATTTTTGCCTATGCTTCCAGTTATGCCTTCTTAGCTGTTTTTTGAGTAAAATTGATCTCGATGTCGAAAATTGGCTAAATCATACAAAATTGATTTAGCTGGAACTTGAGCCCTCTAGAAAATCTCAGCAAGTTCTCGATAAATTGTCTTAGTTGCTTTTCCCTGTCAAATTATTCAAAAATCATATATTTTTCTCTAATTTTCAATTTTTTTCCCGCAGGACGGAAGCTTCGACCTCCCTGACCGTTTGTTTTCGTCTGTTGAATCCACGTATCGGCTGGTTACCCAGTCAAAGACGGATTACAAGGTTAATTTCCCTTGTTTTCTTTCACCAAAGTGAGATATATTTTCAGGAGCTGCTGCCAGAATGGCTCACAACGCCGGAAGCGTTTAAAAACGTATTGAAACTTAACCTTGGAAAAAAACAAGACGGATTTGTTGTTGACGATGTCGTCGTTCCACCTTGGGCCAATGGCTGTGCAAGGAAGTTCATCCACGCCCAAAGATTTGCCCTTGGTTTCACATGTCAGATTCGCAAAAATCAACTTTTTCAATTCAGAGCAGCCTCAAGTGACTGAAAAGCTGAACGGATGGATAGATCTGGTTTTCGGATGCAAGCAGAAAAGGCAAAGGCGGCCATAGAAGCTATGAAACGTCTTCAATCCTGTGGTTAATCTTTGTTCTTCTTTAGAAAGTTTTCATTCAAAAGTCTATATTTGATATTTTTTTGAAGTTATGTGAAAATTTGAAAAATTGACTTTGAACGAAGCATTTAGGCTGACCAGAGAGGTCATTTTATTTCGAGGTTGGGATTTTCCTGAAAATTGGCTAGAACACTCTTTGATGTACCAGAAGAAAACTCTAGAAGTTTCAACCTGCACATCTTCCTCGTTTTTGGGAGAGAAAGGTCAAAAAGTCAAAGAAAACCTTCAAAACCCATAAAAATAGGCTGTTATGTAGCTTAAGGCCCTTATTTCTCAAAAACTAGAGAGTTCTGCAAGGTGAAACTTTCAGGATCTTTCTCTGGTACATCAAGTAGTGTCCTGGCGAATTTTTAAAAAATTTACAACCTTAAAGTAAAGTTGCCACCTCTGGACCACAGAAAAAGTCTTTGAAATTTCATATACTGATGCAAAAATTCCAATCTTTAACTCTACTCGAACTGATCATTATTGGTGCAGAATGAGAAGAAAAATCGTATTTCAGTCCTACCCAACCAATTCGGAATCTTTACCTGATGATCCAGTAGAAGGAAGGGCTCGTGAAACAATGAAGAGACAATATGGTCAAATGCCAGATCAAGTTGACCAATAAAAATATTTTTTGAAAAATTTCTTTTCCAGTTATTCTTTTCGCCCCTCCATATGCCTTTTTCTAAGTTCAAGCATCCAGTTCACATCCTAGGCTACCTGCCTGAGTTCAGGTGTGTTTTAAGATTTTCCTGCATGTGCAAAGTTTTCAGAGCTTCTGGAGAGGATATCATGACTACTGTTGATCCTTGTAATGCCATTCTTCCCTTCCCAGTGTCAGCTTTTATGAATACAATCCAAGGAAAGCTGTTTGGCGGTCTTCTGAGAAGCATGACCAACAAAGGTGAGATTTTGAAGTATCATTTGTTTGATGCTCTTCAAGAAGTTTTGATTTTCCGCCTAGAGAATTTTTTTTGCCTTCTTCATTCTTGTCATTTTATTATACCGGAAACCAGATTTTTCTTCGTGTAGGTCTAGCAATGACTCGACTATAAGCAGGAAGCGGAAAAAAATTCGAAAAGGTTTCTCGAAAAACTTTTTAACTTTCAAAATTTGCCCATCTTTTTCTTCGGACGTTAATTTCAGACGTTTCTCTTCATTTGTACCCAACCTTTGACATGGAAGGTTCTTTGGACCTGTCTTTGGTACTGATGGAAACTATCGACAAGGTTTTTTTTCAAAAGATTTTGAGTTTAATCTGAGATGGACTTGTAGGTTCAATGTTTCCGGATCTCAGAGAAACGGAAGAAAATAGCGATTTGTTATGAGAACGGTGTTGTGGACGTCTTGAAAATTTCAAGGAAGGCGCAGGTTTGAATTTTCTTTTTTTATTGAATCTGCGATTACTGCAGTTCCCTAGGACGTGAAACTCCGATTTTCAATTTTCAGGATGGGAAAAAACTTTCAATGGCCTCAACAGAGAAAAGGTGTACGTTTTACACGCAAACGCCGGTCGTTGACTTGTGCTTTTGTCTGCCTTTTTCTTTTGTCGTTACAGCACAAGAGAAAGGGACGGTCTGCGTTTGGGATCTGAACACGTAATTTGAAAAGAGAAATGAACGTTCTGAAAAAATTTACAGAAGGAAATTCGTGGTCGAGAAAAGTTTACTGCCTGAAGGAACGTCGAAAGCAATGGTTCGGGTGAACCAAGCCAACGGAGACATTGGAATCATTTCTCCCAACTTCTCGACCAATGAGACAACGATATCCGTCTGCACTGTGAGTGAAAGGTTACAAAAGTTAGCCTATATCATTTTCAGGTCAATTTACTGTTTCTGGAAACAATCCAAGTTGCGGGAATCGTTGTGGACGCGGAAGTATCCAACTTGGACCCAGGAAGAGGCGTTGCGTGTCTCGTTTGTCTTCTCCAAGATCAGAGCATTCAGTTTGTAATTATTCATAGGAAATCCCTTAATGGTTCACTTCAGAATCTACGAAATGCTCAACTTGACTAGGATTTTCTCCTACGAGCTTCCACAAGACAGAAAACACATCAAGTGAGCTTGAAAACGGCAGAATTTCATCGAAAAACTGAATTTCAGGATCGGTTTCCTGGACAATGGGAACATCGGCTTGTACTCAGATTGTGGAGTTTCTATCGATTTTGAACCCGTTGCTTTTCCGGTCTCCTTTGATTATTTTGTGAAAATGCTTTTTTATCAATTGCCTTTTGTCATATTGTGAGTTGGAATTGCGTGAAGCTACTTTTATATGTTTTTTTCTTACACAAATACGTGGTTTTTTGTGATTGCTATTTATTTTGACAATGAAGTTTTTGTACAATCTAATAAAACGATTCATCTATTCATTTTTCTTGAAAACCCTTTTTCTTGAAGTTTTTCACTCTCCTCGTCTGTTTTTCTTGGAGCAAGATCTATGGAAAAAGCTTCTTTTCGATCTTCAATTCAAAGAAAAAGAAAGAGCAGCCCATGTTTGGCCATATGACTTTCCCATGGTGAAATTGAAGGCCAGTGGTGCTCATATCAAATTGGATGAAGTGGCTTCAGAATAGCGCTTTCACTGCACCTATATTCCTCCATTGCTGCTTGAAGGCACGTGAGTGTAGAGAAGAATAACAAAAAAATTGGTTTCCGTGGAGATGTGAGGCGTCGAGAGCATTTTTCATGCATTGAAGGCCGCTACTCTCTTGCCTTTCTTTTTATTTTTCAACGTCATCCAAAAATGGTTGGTTTTTTTATAAGTAGAGCTTTTCAATATTCGTTGAGGAAAATGGCAAAATTGAAGTTTTAGCTGTGGTTTGTTTTGTCATAGAGAAAGTGGAGTTTTTGAAGAGTTTGTTCAAAAATTATTTCTTCGAAGTTTTTTTGAATTCGAAAAGTTTTTTTAGGAGAAAGTTATACAAATTGCAAAGCCTCCGCAAAAAAATTAACGCCAGGTTTTTCGGAAAAAAATTCAATTTGCTCCGTGGGACTTTTTCTGAATTTTTGGCCGTACTTTATCAAAATCTCCGAAAACCCTTTTTGGGAGCTAAACGCACTGAATTTAAAAAAATCTTTTTTCCTAAAGTCAATTCCAAAAAAAGAAAGAAGAAGAAGAAGAAGAATTCCAAAAATCAAATTTTTGATCCCTTAAAGTCGAAACTTACCTCTGAAAAACTCATAACTTTTATATTTTTGCCAACTTTTATCATTGTTAGGTAGGGTTTTTTTCGACCGCCTAGAAAAGTTTTTAGTGGCCACTAGAGGGCTTTGACGGTTTAGTGGCCATTAGAGTAGTAAATTTAGGGGCTGCTTAAAGGGTTAAAAACTAGTGGCCTCTTTAGGGGTCAATGGATCTACATAACTGGTCCAATCTGTTTGTTTCAAAATTATCAGAGTTACTGGAAGGAATACTGGATAAAAAACTACTGAAGTGGCCACTAAACAGAGAACCGCTATAATGGCCACTAAAACAGAAAATATTGGCCCCTTTAGTGTCTTCTCCATGTTGCCCATGGCGAGCCTCTATAGTGGCCACTAAATATGTCCCCATGCTTTTCTAAAATGAACTACAGTCAACTTCAACTTCAGTCTTTTTTCTTTTGAAATGAAACAACTTTTACAGAACAACTTTACCCCAGGACCGCCTAGAGCCACGAAACCTGCTCCAACTGTTTTTTGCTACATTTGTGGTCGACAATTCGGCTCAAAAAGCATAGGTAAATTTTATTTTTCCTCGCTGAAATCTTATCTTTTCTATTTCCATAGACATTCATATACCTCAATGCTTGAAAAAAATGGCAAGCCGAGAACGAAAAATTGCCGAAATCGAAACGACGTCCTGCTCCTGTCAAACCTGAAGAAGTTGTAGGGGCTGGTTAGTTCAAAATGTTTCCATGAGAATGAGGGAAAGGGATTTTTTTCAGACGGGGTTATTGATAGGGAAGCAACAAACGAAGTGCTTTGGAAGAGTTCACAAGGACTCATGATAGAGTGCGAGCATTGTGGCAGGAAGTTCAATGTGAGTTTAATGTTTCAAATTCTTCAAAAAGATTTATTTGAAAAATGCGTTATAGTGATGTAATCTCAAAAGAAAAAAATGCTGAAAAAGTTGGCTAGGAAATCTGAGGTTCTGCATGACTTTTTTTACATGTAAAAATTTTTAAATTCTTTCTCTGTTACTTTGTGAATTTTGTGAGTTTTGATTTGAGCGATTCTAAAAAAGACAAAAATGACATGAGAATCCAATCTGACACTGGAATACAAAATGCCTATACAGAAATTCAGACTTTAATATACACAAAAATGAGAGATTTCTAGGAAGATCGTCTCTCAGTTCATCAGAGAAGTTGCACGGCTGAGAATCCAGCGAAAAAAGTTGGCGGAAGATCTCGAAGTCGACCTCGGAATCAAGTTACCTAGTAGAGCTGCTCTGCTGTGACCTCAGTTTTTCTTGTTTCAGCTGTAAAAATTAGGATTGCATTGCTTTTCGAGCATTTAGGAAAAGTCGAGAATATTCTTGGTTGATTCTATCGAATTTTATGATTTTTCTGATAAAATTCAACTCCATCCGCTACGATCAAATCGAAACTAGGATGAAAATTAATCTTCTGAAAATTTTTAACTGCCTTTCAAGAAACTTTTCTCGACTTTTCCCCAGCTCACCTATTTCCTTGTCCCTTGATTCGAACTCTTCTTTGATATCTGGTTCCAAAAATTGATTCGTTTTCTTTGATTTTTTCTCACCTTTTGCACTAATTGTGATATCTTTGAATGATGAAAAAAAGCATGCTGCCGCTATCAGGGAAGTCAACACCAAAATGACAAGGTGCCACTGTAGTTGAAGATTCGGAGAGTAAAAAAACGCTGCGCATGCCAAACCCGACTGTAAAAAGTTTTTTTAGAAGTTGAAGCTTTCTTTTTCTGTGGAAATTTAATAAATTTTTTTCTTTCCCACCGGATGAAAAATAAATCTCACAACAGGAACGCTCTCTCGTCCCTCTTTTTTTCTGGTCTTTATTTCCCTTTCTGGAAACTTGAAAAAAAGTTTTCAAATTGGAAGGGAGCATCAAAAAATTTTCAGCCGTCCGTGTTATTTCTTTCACTCACAGTACCGTCTGAAAAAATTCGAAAAACGAAGTTACCGTCACAATTTTCTTGTAAGAGATCCAATCTTTCTGAAACTTTCTGTGGTTGTGATTGCTGTTATTTTTAACACTCTCATGAAGTTTCAGTTCACAGAAACAAAAACACAGCTTCAGAAAGATTCAGGAATATTGAATTCCTTACAATGAAAACTGTGACCAAAACTGCGTTTTTTCGTAACTCTTTGGCGTTACTGTGAGTGACCGAAATGTATCATTTATGTACGGGAAATTTGCTTGAAATGTATAACTAACCTGGTAAAATTTGAACAAGGCGAACGCTTGGCTACTCAGATTTGGATAACAATCGCAAAGAAGGGAGTAGATTTGAGTGTTCCAACAAGCATCTCCAAAACCAAGGAGACCTCCGCAAAGCAACGCGATAACCACACTGAGTTGTTTCTTCAGGTTTCTGTGCCCATTTTTCCAAACTTCGGTGTTATCAATCCTCCAATATCATCCGTTTTCCTGAGAGGAGCGTTTGAAGGAAAGTTGATGTAGACCAGTGCAAAAGTAATGAGATGGACTATGGTTCCCAGGAAAACAATGGAGTCCTTGCCAATCTTCTTTGTTTTATCTCCGAGCAATCCGAACAGGAGACCGGCTGAAACTTTCTTTTTCTGATTGGTTGCACGTAAAATGGCTCAGAACGACGCATTCTCTTGATTCGTTGAAAATAGAACCATTCAACTTACGACCATGGTTTTATTGGTGTTTTTGAAAACATCCTCGCAAAATGTTCAAAATGGAACGCACCAACAATTTGTCCAACACCAGTGGTTATAGAGTTCAGTGCAAGAAGAGAATTCGTGTTATTTCCCAGTTTCTTCGTGAAGGAAATACAGGTTGGATAAATACCTGAAACTCTTTTGGATCAAAGGTTTAAAATTTATCTCGCCTGTCCAGAAAGATTGTTCGATTCCAGTGTAACCGAAAGACAAACGCCAAAAGGAACATTCTCTTCGTAAACATCAACTTAAAAGTGGAGGCTATAAAATCATTATTTGAGCTTTTAATAACCATGGAAACTACCTAACAAGAGCTTGTAGTCGGTCTTTTCTGTCTTGACTTCCTTATAAACTGGAGTTCTCAGGAGAGCCAGAACAACAACTGAGACGAGTGACATTACTGAGAAGATGGAGTAAAGAGTGTTAACCTGAAGTCAAGAAAGAATGAAATTGAAAAAAACGAGCATGAGCTTACAGTTGAAGTGGAAATGTTGTCGGTTGTATTGGACTGATGGAAAACCAAAAATAAGAAAATTCCACCGCCAAGAAGACTAAAAATGAAATTTTTTTTGAAATTCTATAGTCTGTGTCAAGACTTGGAATTTCACTGAACGACATTCCGCTCTTTCGCTGAGCCGCAAAGCTTTTTTGCGTTTTTCTTCGTTCTCGCTTAGAATTGGTTCTCATTTCTGATACAGCTGATTCACGGCTGGCTTGAGACATCGAAAAAAGGGTCCTGCCACGAAAAGAGACGAGACAGTGCCCTGGATGGTGGAGAGTGCAGACAGGCCACGCCTTTTTGCGTCCCAAGCTAGCCGTGAATCGTCTATAGATGGAATTTTCCACTAGGAAAATGAGTTGGTCGAGTTCTTGAATGAAATAAAAATTTAAGGCGCGGCCGAGCACGGAGCGGAACAGCGGAATGTCGTTCGGTGAAATTCCAAGTCGTAGTACACAGACTATAACGAAAATCTGATACCTTGTTTGAGCTAGAGCCCACAGAAGAGCGCTGTTTTTGCTGGTTGTTTTTTCAGTACAGTTTTGAGACAAATAAGATCCTTGTCCAGTCCAAATTACTGAAATTTTTTTTAAGGAATGCTTATGAAAAGTCCTCACTTGCGGCGCCGACTCCCAGAAACGGCGCTTGAAATATACAGGTAAATTTGATTGAGAAATAAGAATCCGACCTGAATCCAAACATTTTATGATAAATTTCTGTGAATTTACCTGGAAGGCCGTATAACAGAGCGCTCCAACAACCATTCCCCATTTTGGGCTCAAAATATCGACGATTGGAGCAGCGATGAAGTTTCCCAATGTGAACGTGGCATAGATGATGGAAAGGCTAAAGTCATAACTTCATATTGCTGGATTATTGATTTACCTGTAATAACCCGCGTGCTTGTTGATATTTCCGCGATCAGAAGCACTATCGATAACCGGTTCCTCGATAAAACCTGAACAAAAAATCCTGGAAAAGTACTTTTTGAGTTGAAACCTTGAGAATTGAAGGCGAAGAAATTGAAGAAAAATCCGAGACCCAGCTGAAGAATATTGAGCGTCGCATTGTCGAGTCTCCACTTCATTCTTGAATTATTGACGTTTTTTCAGTGGAGGAAAAATTAAACAAAAGCAACTACTGTGACAGAAATAACAGTTTATCGGAAGTAGAGGTTCAAGCCAACGATAATTCGAGTAAGAATATCACAAAAGTTTTTGAAAAAAAGAATGCCATTCGAAGTCAGACAGTGGAAAATCGAGTAAAGGCCATTTTTTCATTTGAAATTATCTAAATTGCATGATTTTCTTTGTAACCGTGATTCATTGACTTTTTTAAAAAAACGAAGAAATGCAGCGAAAACATTTTTTTGAGTGAAAGTGGGAAGAAAATAACAAAAAAGGTTTTTTCCATCTCTTCCTTTTGAATAAAAACTTTTCAGGCAACTTTTTTCATCGATTCTGCTTTTCAAAAAACTTTTAGGGCAAATTTGAGATTTGTGTTTATTATTTTAATTCAAAAAATCGAGCAAATATGTCAACAAAGCGGAAAAAGATCTGGAATAAATCAATTTTTTTCAAAATCTTCAGAAAAAGTCCTGCTAGAAAAACTTTCTAAAGAGTTTTAAAATCAAAAAAAGCAAGCGGAGATCGGAAAACATGTTTATTAGATCTTTGCAACAGGTAAAACAAACTAGAAAAAAAAACGGAACGGGGAAGGTTTGAATCTCTCGGACTATAGTCAACGATTAGAATGAAAAGTCTTATCACCCTATGCCACGTGGGCGCGCGCTGCTTTTGGATGAACGATTGCTTTTGTACGAAGCTTTCACAAACTGAATTTCCTCTTTGAAAAAGACCCGGAGTCGTGTCGGTGAACATTTCTAATCGCTTCATAAACAAACAACGCCTTAATTTCGCGCACGGTAGCTGTTGACTTTTTCGAAGACTATTTTTTGGAAAAAAAGCTTAGCTTCTAAAATTTCAGAGAAATTACAATGACATGGTTAAAACGCATTTATCGAATTTGCGAACATCGTGACTAGATACCTGTCTGGTTTTCCAAGTTGTGAGGCGCACAAGCGTTTGGTCTATGTATCTGCCGAAACGGGAACTTCAACCAGTTTCATTGGAAATATTTACTGACCAATGATCCTTGTGTAATTTTCAGTCGTCCAATTATGAGACATTTTGATTGAAAATTCTTGGTTTGGAAAAGAATCTTCTGAATTTTGAAGGAAACCCCTTTTATCCTTTGAGTAGGGAGAGGAGTTCGATCTGAAGTTTGAAATATCCTCAAAAATTTCTCAAAAATTTTTGAAGGGTTGATCAAGATGTCGAGTAGTGACCGCCTTCGCAATTGGTTAATTTTTGTGATATACGAATTTTTAAGTCACTAAAACATATGTTTAAACTTGCTCATGTGGCGCAAGCAAGCTTTAGGAAACTCATAATTGAAAAAAATTAAGTTTTTGCACTGCTAGCGAACATTTAAAGTTCATCCAGACTTTCAGGCAGTGTTCAGGAAAAAAATTATAAATTCTCAAATTCCACGATACTTCTAATTTTACACCATTTATTATTGGTGAGATCGTTATGATGCTTGCAAATAAAGTTTTTAATCGATAAAACACTAAAATGTCTTTCAAGTAGTCTAGCATTGCGTTAAAAAATTCTTTTAAAGTTTCCGAATTTGGAAAAGTTTGCATCGTCAAGCCTTAAGAAATTTTTTCAAAATTTCAGCGTCCTAAAACAGAAAATACTATCATAAAAGCACTTTATTTCAGATTGGAGCAAGGTTAAAATTTGATTCCGGGAGGGTGAATGACTAGAAGGACCATGTGTTCAGGGGAGATTGATTGTTACGACTCAGTGTCGACGCGAAACTTTTTGGCAACAAGCCGATCAGTCACTTGCAATTCCTGGAAACAATAAAATTATTCGGAATCATTTTCAGAGTAAGATGAAAAACGTGCCATTGTCAATTGCGGGAAGCAGTGGGTGATCATTTCTTCCATTTTGCGCATATCGGCGGCAGAAAGTGGGTCCTAAAATGAAAGATGTGTTTTTCCTGGGTTTTTTGACATATCTGATGCAGGTCTTGATACTAGAGTCGAGCACTTACTATCAAGGATATTTGCTAATTATCATAGAAGGGGCTTAAAAAATTTTTGGACCAGATTTCCCTTCTTCTTTGACAGTGGAAAGAAAAGTGGTGAGAAAACTTTTAACACCGCCGGTAAGAACGAAATTTGAACTCTTTTAAAGACGACTTTCAGGTTTTCTCAATATTGATCAAACAGTAGTAGATGATGAAAGATTTTCTAACAGTCTCTGAAACTGCAAAGTTACGGTTTCTTGAAAAATGGACAATTTTCAAGCCTTTAGAGACAATGAGATCAAAAAAAAATTGGAACATAGCTCAAGAATCTTTTATCATCTTTTGAAATTTCGGCGCTGTTAAACTTCTCAAAACTTTTCTTTTTTGTTACTTCTGATTCATTAATGTGTTTTATGAAACCGGAGTGAACTTTTTTGATTTCCGTGACGTTAAGTAACACAGGTGTAAATTGAATTAAAATGTTAAGTCTATGGAAAAAAAAGAGTTTCAACTTGCAAGACTATAAAGTTCATTCTATGTCCTACCAAAAAGTTTTTTTTCCTTTCCGAGTAATTTCTTAACTGATTGAGGTAATCCGAATGGACTAACCTGCCAAAGAAGAATCAAACTTGTTGGACTTGGCTTTGTGAACGGTTGTGACGTGGGATTGTATCTGAAACCGTGTCAAGTTTCCTTCTCAAATCGTCATAATTTTTTTCTTAGGAAAGATTGCCTTCGACCATCATCTTTGGCTAAAGCGGCTTATTTTATTTTCATCGCAAGTGGAAAGCGGTTCTTCCAATGCTTCTAACAGCTCATGTCGACGACGGCAACGTAAACAGGTTTGCGAATGCAAATACTTGCTTGTTCAGGGGATGCAACCGGTTGCCGTCGGCGGCACTCAGTCACTACTTTGATGAAAAGGAAAAAAAAACCATACTTCTTTCTGGACTTTCCAAACGTCAAAACGCTTTTCTTTTCAACAGTTTTACTTCTGCTTTATGCTTTTATGGGATTGAGGAATAGATAAGGGTGAAGATGGGAAACGACATATGAACTCAACCAGCCATGATAAAACTTGAAAAAGGCAGGAGAACTGTCACGTTTTTAAAGAAAGATAGTTCACAAAAAATGTTGCAGTTTATGAAGATGTGATCTAATAGAAATGAATCAACAGAATCCCAAAATCCCAGAGATTTTCGAAAAGATTCATTAAATTTTTTTCTTGAAGAAAAATCAGGCCTTTGAGAAAAAAACTCAAGTGATCATCAAAAGTACTCTATTCCAAAATAAACTCGATTTTGAAACCTATCAGTCACTTTCAAATGATACTACCCTAGTAAAAGTTTTTCTCAAAGAAGGAATCATTCCAAAATTACCCTCTCTTGTGTCGTCCGATAGTGTTTACATATTCGACATTGAAACGCAGCCATTTTCAGATGTGTCTTCTGTACGTGTATTAATGCCACGCTCGCTCTAAAAAATCGATTGAAAACAGAGAAAAAAAAGGTTGCTCACGATGTCCCTTTAGGTATCACTTCTGAGCACTTGCGACATTTCAACGTGATGGGCAACAAGCCACAGTTGTCCGACGTCTGCAGAAATGTTTTCGAATAGTTGAAAAGATCATTCTACTCACGGGGGCTCTATGGATGATCTTTCTCACGAAAGTTTTCTTCGTCTTTGTTGTGGTAACCATTTTCAAAAGCGAACTTTCAATATCAACTGGTTCTGGATTCTTAGAGGTCGATGGTTCGGAATGGCAAGGCGGCAGAAGCTGAGACACTGAACTTTCAGGTTTCGTTAAGATCAACCACTGTAAAACTGACCCAATGGCATTAATGGCAATGGCGGCGGTTGGAGCGACGGCGTGGGAAGAACTGTCAAATCGACGAAGTCGTGTGCGGTCTGAGAAAAACATGAAACTCAAAAATTTTTAGAGTTTCTGGAGTACCAATAAGGCCATCAGTCTTTGTACATTGTTTCTGGAATTCAGTCCGATACGCATACAAATGAAGTGGTCGAAGACTAATGGCTGTTTATGCTGACGGGAAGAATCCGAATTTCTGAAAATCGAGTTTCATTAAATAAAAGACTCTTTATTATGCGTCTGACTGTAAAACGACTTGTGTCGTTGGCATGAAAAACAAAAGTTCGTTGAAACCTGAAGCTTAAAAGATCATTTTAAAACTAACTAGCATTGCCGTTTTATTTTTAGTTGGATCGAATCTGAAATCTTGATTCAAATGATAATTCAACTGATAACCACATCATTTCCAGGATTCATACAAGTCGTTTAAGGTCGGTTGCACTTTAGGGCAGTTATTACTTGTTTAGCTTTTTAAAAAGCAATTCTCCCCTTTAAAATCTGCATAAGTAGACTACAATACTATATTTTTTGTCCTTCAAAGATTTTTGCTCTGCGAGAAAAGAAGGCACGTTTCGCGAGCCGAGAGCAAACCTGTTCGGTAAGACCGGCAAACAAATAGAGAAAAAGGTGCGTTCAGGATTCCTGACTCTATTCTGAGATTACGAGGAAAAATAATTATTTTTGGCTGTGTATGAGGAAATCAAAGTCAAGAATTTTAAATAGAAACCAACTGATTGTTAATTCGAGGTTGTAGTGGAGGACTTGAAGAAGTTTCTCGGAACTCTTGTTTGATTTTCTGAGCGATTAACAAAGCTTCATCGTCGTCTTTTTTGGCATTTCTCCAGTTGTCCTCATAGTCCAAGTCAATTACCTCGTGTTTCACTTGTTTCATTTGTAAGGTATTCTGGAAAGAAAATTTATTTTTTCTGATGATGAGATACTGAATGAAAGAGAAAAACGATGATGAGAGATACTACAATTACAGTTTTACAGATTATTTCATTACATCAACGTTTCAGAAAAAAATTGAGAGTTTGAAATTTTATCGATAGAATCCAGGTGAGCTCGATTTTTTTGAAAAATGAAAGATCTAGTTGATTTTTATAAAATTGAATCTTTGAAAAAAATTGACAGAAAAAAACCGACTAATATGATGAAAAAATTTGAAACCGTTGGATTCAAAGAAAAAAATAAAACTTCAATGAAAAAAATTTGTCACATTTTTGAACTGAAATTTCATACCCTCAAAAGAGAATCAGAAAACTATTTTGACGCAGAATATATGAATAGACATTAAATGAAGGCTCCAAATAATTCATAAATATTCAAATAGTCCCCTTCAGCCCCGCTTTGCTCCTACTAACCATGAAAAACCGGCAATATTGAACAATTCCAGACAGTTGCAAGAGAAGTAACTCGAGAAAAGTTAACAAAAGATTGGCAAGTGAGTCGGGGCTGAAGAATCAATGGTTGCGGCCACAGTTAGGACAGACAGAAGTGAGGAAGGGACGTCAGGGAGAGGAAAAAGACCGGTTGTGTTTGAGAGCAGCGCGGCGAGAACCGGCTGGCCGCAGTGCCCACACCGGTCGGCCTGTATTCTCATCACGATTTTCGTAACTGCGAATCGCAAAACAAGCATTTCTTCTTCACTGTTATTGTTACTAGTACAGGGTCACTAACTTGTTTTTCTTTCTTCGAATCGGGCTTCTCTACCAATTTATTGCAGTGTTTCCGCAGTAGAGAAAGTGGGGGAGCCGTTGAACTGGTCAAGTTTCTTTTTATTGACCTTGCAAATTCCCATGGAACTTATTTTCGTAGCAAGGAAGGTAACATCCCTCTGACAAGGGAAGCGCAGACAGAATCGGATAAAACTTCGCTGTGCAGGACTAAAATCATTTAGAGAACCCGTTTTATGCTTTTTCCAGAACGTCTCAAATACCTCAGAAACTATACCTTTCTACTGCAATTTTAAAATTGAAACTTCGAAGCTCAATATTTCTATTAAAAAAACAACAGCCGCGGTTTACTTTGACGGATATGGATGATAGAATATTTAAGGTATCCTCCAGTTTATGAAAACATACCTCGCAGAATGAATAATGAACGTCTTCTTTCTATAGACTGAATTCTATAGGCCTTTTGAATTTCTGTAACTTTTAGGCTGGCACTGAACCAAAAAGCTCCAGTCTATCACTTTTAAAAATTCAGGTTACTGCAACTATAAACCGATGATTTATGAAAGTTTTGAATTTTTACTGAAAATTTCAGTTCGGTCTTTCGCTTGTTCGGTCACAACTTCGGAAAACATAACTGAAAAATTTTTTTGTGACGCTTTAGGACCCAAGGATCGAAAAGTGGACCAGTCGGAATCAAAAGATACCTTTTTTGCAGGCTTCGAACCTTTGAAAACAGCTTTAGTTAAGTGAAAATTTGAGTTTGAGTTTTGAGATTGAAAACTGAAACCTACCTTTTTCCGGAAAAAAACAGTGAAATGAAAAATGAAAATGAGAAAACGAAGAAATTGGTGGTTTGGATTTTTCTAATCAAGCAGTTTTACCGCCACAAAATTTTCATAAAAGGATCCAGCACCACATTTTCGAAAGGAGATTCATGCGTAACGTTGCATTTTTTATATTCCCTGGGTTCGACTTATTTTCAGCTTGAGCTGATACTCTTCCAAAAAACGTAGCTAAATATTTCTAGAAAATATAGGTCCAGATGGTTTTAAGAATACTTCATTCCAACTTCATAAACCCGGTGGTTTTTAAAAAAATTAAAAGGGGTTTTTTCCCAACAAAAAACTTTTGAAACTCCGTGGTTTCTTCCGCTGAGTTCCAATGAGCCTTTCCGAGCTCTGCTGAGCTTTGCCCTTTCTTTGCACTTTTTCGGAGAAAGAATCGAATTCAGCAGACGGCTGAAGATGTTGCTCTTCGTCTGCCGTTTCGGAGGCTTTCGGAGAGTAATCTCGGCGGCTCGATCTTTGCAAATTCTGTAAATGAAAGCAATTGGGCGTTATTGAAACACGCTGCAGCTCCTCTCTCGCGCATCTCTTTTTTTTTCTCAGAGAAGAGTAGTAAGATATATTCCAGTAGGCCATATGATGAGAAAAAAAGCGATTATTGGAGTCAGCATGATTTGTATTGGGCATATTTTTTACATTCGACTTGCTCTCAACTTTTGAAATCTTCCCTTTCGCAGAGAAATGAGATAAAATTTAGTATTTGTAAAAATAAAGAATCGGAAACTTCCTGGAGATTTTTGATTTTTTAAAAATTTCAAACTACTTTGAAGTAAATTTTTTTTTTCATGGAAGCTGGGATTTGTAGTTCGGCTCAAATTGCGGCTACATCACGGAAAAATATACCAAGCTCTGAAATTTGAAAAAAGTTTATTCTTTCGTTATTAATATTCTAAAAAATTGTTTTTTTGATGCTTTGTAATAAATTGAGAAATCGACTTGCTGTTCTGATCAAACTTTTTCTACCCTTTTTTATCCCTTTGATTTTTCCAGTTTTTTTCTGTTTCAATCATCACTTTCCAAAAACTTTGATATGGAAATGAAGAAATGGAAAAAACACGAACAGAAAAACTCACTAGTCATATAGATTTTTTTCGAGAAGATTTCTGCAGTAAAAAAACCTACAAAACAGTCGAAAATTACGTCGAAGTTTTTCCAATTTTTTTATGTTACTTTTGAATTTCTTGTTTCTTCCTTGATTTCTTTCAAGATCCGCAGCTCATAAAAATTTTGTTTTTTCTGAGATTTTCTGTCTCAACAAGATTTTGAACAACTACAGTGCCAATTATTTTTTTTTTGTAACAGCCGTTTTTCAAGATGAACTACGTAGAAACGAGAAGGAAAAATAGATTTTATTGAAGGAAGGGACAGTAGCCGTCGCCCTGAAAGCCGTAATTTCAATGATGTAGGAGGCCGCGAACAAGGAACAAAGAGAGTTGCGAGCTGTCAAAGACCGCCGGCCTCGTTGGCAAGGCCGTTCCATCCCACTACTTTTGAAATATCGCTACCATTTGGTAGATTCAGTCTATTGACATTGCAAGATTAGGTTCTTCTTCAATTGAAATGTCACTTCTTATGCCACAAGTGAAATTTGCCTTTACTAAAATCACAAAAACTTTCTTTGAATTCGGAAATTTGTATTCGCATAAAAATGGGATCATGGATGAATCACTTGAATAACTTTTAATATTTTTTTGAAATTTCGATGACGTCCTTAAATTTTTGCCGAAAAATGTCTAGAAATCTGTTTCGAAGCGTCTTTTTTTCCAAAAAAAATGGGTGAAATATAGGTTCATGAGTATTTTTTTATCACTAATCATCCAAAAAAACTGAAATAAAATGAAAAGACTACCTTCATAAACTCGAAAACATTTGATCGGGAAATCTCAGACCACTTCAAAAAAATTTCAAAAAAATTTCAAAAGATTCTGAAGATCATCCAGAATTTCTCTTGTAGCAGAAGAAGTTCAGAGAAATTTCCAACTTTCATCCCGGTACTTCTCCCCCTTGATGTCTGAAACCTGTACTACTAGCATAGAACTTTTCAAAAACTCTCGAAATTAACAAAACTTTTTTTAACAAGGTTTATTTCCAATTGGTGCATGATCCGGCTAACAACCCGAAAAAGCAATCAAAAATAAATAACACTCGATGAATGTGAAATGCAAGGAAATCAATGAAGTAAAATGGAACGAGTTTTGTTGAGGTAATTCTACGGATTGCATTCTGTGATAGGTAATCGGTGATAAACGCGGCGAGTGAGTTCTTACAAACAGGTGTTTCAAAACCTTCGGAAAGTGGCATTCAATCCAGAAACCGGTTCAGGTAACCTTATGAATCAAAGAAGGGATAAAGCCAATCCGATTATAAATACATGAGAAGGTTATTACATGAGTGTGGTATTTGGCTTTATTCAAAAATCCTGAAAAACGAATCGATGCCTTATTTTTTGCATTTGAAGAATTTTTATGTCTTGTACAAACAATTGCTCATTTGGTTAAGTAGCTCTGAAGTTTTTGACTAGTGTATAGACGTGAGTAATATTAAAGCTAGAGCATAATTATGCTACGCAAGCAAAGTTTGTGGCAATCTGAGGTTGCGCAATTGGAATAGGCAATTATTCTCCAAAGCCGTAGCAATCGGAATGAAAACAGGAATTGAAAAGTGGTACATAAAAAAGGGCTGATGTTAGCGGATCAGAGTCTACTTGAATCTGAAGAGCGGAGCGGCGTGCTCCAAGAACAGAAATCTTCAGACTCTTGCGATTCCTATTGGCGGCACGACGACGACGTTCCTCACGAGCCATTTCTTCGTAGCGCAGGTCGAGACGTTCGACGACGTCTTCTTCAGTTACTTCGCGAGCAAAAATCAACGGCTCTTTCAGGTCGAGTGGCGTGGCGAGACCGTCGTCTTCGTCGGTGTCGAGCACCGTGTGCTCCAGAAGCACGTTTTCTGGAGTTCGACGGCTGCGACGTGGGTTGGCCGCGGCGGCCTTCTGGGCCTCCTTTCTTCGCTTCTCCTCCATGCTGAAAGATTAACCGTTGAATTTTGGAACGTATTGAAGCACAATAAATCAAGAATAACACTTTGAGATCTTCATGAATCTATTAGTTTGAGTTTCATATTTATCCTTTTTCTGTAGTCTGTGCTGTCCCAAAGCTGAAAATTTCAGTTCATCTCATTTTTCTTCGCTTTTTCAATGCGCCATATTGTCATCAATCTTTTCATTTTATTTTATCATACTCCCCAAGCTATTCTCCCATTTTTTCTTGAACCAACAATCATTTGAAGCTACAGTATTCTTAGCTTGACGCAATCGTCAGAATGACTCGGATGTCTGCGCATCGATTTCTCTTCCATCTCTTTGTGTAAACAGAGGGCAATGGAGGCACAGACAGGTGAGTTTTTCAAACCGAGTACACAAGTTCATTTTTTTCGGACGTTGAAAATTTCGAATTTTTCCCGTTGGAAAATGTGGAAATCAGGAAAATGTCTCGGCATTTTAAATGAATATTAAGATTTTTCCATTTTCGGATTTTTGAATATATCATAACCATCAAAGTTTGAGAGGTCTTCACAAAAAAATTTTTCTAACACTATAATTTTTTTCAACTGAGTGAACTATACCCTCTTCTTTCAAAATTTCGTCAAGAAACAATTTTTTTTCTCAAAATGCTCTTCAACTTGGATAGTAACAATCTGAAAATTTATTAAAAGCTGTTGATTACATTCAAAATCTGTAATGAAAACTGAATTTCTCTCCTTCAATCCGTTTCAAAAGTGTAAAAGTGTCACACAGCATGGAGACCTGATCTTTTGATCGACATTTAGCTGTTGTTTCTTAACGAAATTTGTGTAAAAGTCGCGAATTTGATAGCGGGTATCAAAAGTGCAGCGGCTCGTACTTGCAAAGTTGCTCTGGGGACATGTGTTTCTTGTTGGGAGATCTCGACTTTTTTTATCCCTTCTCGTTGGAGTGCAAACTCTCTTCTTCTCTCCCTAAGACTCTCTTCCAAAATATTTTCGCTTTTTTTTCCCAGAAGCAGCATTTCCTTTTTTGTTTTTTTCCAGAAACAGATTCATTTTCTTTGTTGCCTTGGCCGACGTTTCGCATTATCGGCCATCAATCTAATGCAGAAGAAGAGCGGCTGAACCGAGATAATCGTAAAGCTACGGAAAAAATTTTCCATGGCATTGCTTCATATATTTCAAGTTTCGGCTTCAGACTGAGATTTCCCATAGTACAACATTTTTTTCATAGAGAGTAACAGTTGCTTCCGCGTCTCGGGGACAACTAATCACGGATATCAGCTTTAAACACACGTAGGCATTTTCGAGGGTACTGGAATGAGGTTTTTTGTTTTATTTCAGGAAAATACTATTCATTTTAGACAAATAAGACAAAAACTTTCAGGTCCATCAAAAATTAATTCGTAATTACTTTTTCGAAATTTTATCAAGTTAGAGTTTATCCACCTTTGAATCGAGGTAATATCAAATTGAAGAAAAATCGTCCTGTGAGTATGGAACTTTTTTCCGAACTACCGCTAAATGGTGTATATTAACAAGAAAATTCTATTTCACTCTGAAATCTTTCAATTTTAAAACCCGAAATTTTGAGTAATTCCAAAAAAATTACCTCGCTTGAACAAGACGAGTATGGCGAATGATGTTGACGACCTGAATACTCTTTCGGACGTCGACAATGCGAGTCTTCTGTGCACGAACAAGCTTGGCGCAAGACGATCGGAGGATGTCGTTGCATTGGTTGTACGTGGTAGGAGCGTCCATGGCGGCTCGCGAGATTGGTACCCTACAAGCCAGCGATTAAGTCCTCAAGTGTCTAAAGATCTAATGACAGTTGGAAAAGACACGGAACGAGCGGAACAACGTCGTCTAGAATACACTTAACATCCGAGGATTGAGTGTGCACTGAACGCAGACCTTTCTAGGAGGCGGAGCGTTGGCAAGAGCGGCAGGCAAGCTGAATTGCGGGCGGAGTGCGAGGGACGGAGAGAGGGCCAAATGCAACGCCAAAAAGAAAATTGGAGAGAAAGAAAAAAAAACGAGTTATACACAATTAAAATTGGCCGTTTTCTGTGGAATATTATGACACGGTAAAAGTGAGACGCCGCCAGTTTTATGGCGCGTTTTGAGTTGGCATTGATGATCGTAGCTGTTAATCAAATGCATTTACGCTATCAAGTTGCGGTGGTGTTGAGCCGACCGATAAGAGTCTCAGTTGTCTGGAAACTGAGCAGAGTAGAGAAAACGTCGACAGTAATCAAATTAATTGTGGTTTTCCAATCGACTCGGATTATAACTTAGAGAAATTCGTTTTCACAAAAATTTAGGAAAAAGGAAAAAACGGTAGTTTTAAAACTTTAGCGGGAGATTTTTCGTGATTCCATGTTTACTGAATTCCAGAAAAATAGAGTATTTAAGCAATGGGAAGTTTCGGCAATATTTTCTGTTGTTTCAAGACTTCAATCAGTGGAGAAAATTTTTGCTTAGTACTCAGAAAGATCCTGGCCAAAAAATTGATCTCAATTTGCTCTCAAATTTTGAGATAGGAATGTTTAGGAGGCATCATCAATTTTGAAAAATCGTTTTTCCACTAATTTGACCTTGAAAAACAATTCCTATAAGTAAGCCAAGTAAGTTGGAATATAATAATTCATCGAAAAAAATGGAAAAAGGCAGAAAGAGCTAGTTTTTTCGTTATTTTTTGAAAATAACTATCTATTTAAGGTTCTTTCATTTTGTTTCCGCTACGCATTTAAGAGCCATTTAAATTGCCTTGAGGCCTAGATTTAAACTTTTTTTTTCAGTTCCAAAGTTTTCCAAATATTTTCTCAGAATAAGAATGTCTCTCGACTTCATTTTGTTAATTGAAGTGAAAGCTGTTGTTCTCTTAGAAATATTACTAAAATTGAAAATATTTTTGGTTTACCAACACGATGAGAATTGACGGACGTACGTGTCTACAGTACCCCCTGAAGCGATAAAAACATCTGCGAAATGCGATTGATTGCTGGCGTGATAACGAGCGTTTGTGTCGAATGTTGGAAACGTGCATCATTCCAGGAGATTAACTGATGCAATTCTGCTCTATCTCTTGTCCTTATTTCCACTTTGACGGCGTGCCGTAATAAAAACGTCAAAAGAGAGAGAGATGGCAAGTGGGCGACGGTTGAACCAGCGGGTGGTGGACTCACCTTGAGACCCGATTAAATGATAAACTGAGTGAGAAATGGCAAAAAAAGAGAGGTGCACCTCGAAATTCGAGAACAAAAGCTGATTTGCCTTACGCCCCAGCGCATTTTCAATTTTCCCAATGTCATTCAGGCCGAAGTTCGTTCATTGACGAATCGTTGTCGACACTAACGCTAAGTGACAGGTTCGTGTACAATGTCGGAAGGTGGCCCGGCGCCAAACAAGCGATACAAAAATTCTTTCTTTGAATCCGGTTAGCAGGTAATTGACGTCATTATCTCCGTGTGCTCTCGCCACACTTTTACGTTGGCAGAAAGGAAAACTCTTCTCTCCTTGGCAGAATCAGGACATAAACGGTGTTGTGGCAAAGTGCGAAGAGCGCGCCGGCGATAAGGATTAACGACTCAGAAGACATCTTAAAGTCCTTGTGTTCCGAACATTGCTCTCCGCAGCCAAGAACAGCTACAATACATTCACATTTCATCATCAAACTATCTTTATTCGACCGCGTTGAACCTCGACGGTTTTGTTATGAAATTTTCAGCTTGAATGAAACCAACACTCCTCTATAAACAATGTGTTCAGCATTGTTTGGAAAAAAAAGCCAGTTGCTATTGGAGAAGACTATACGAACTCCAAATGTATTTCTCAACACAAAGAATTCAAAATGACGGCTTTTTACGACACTTTTGGAAATTTCCCCTCAAAAAACTAGAGAAGGCTTTTTTCAAATCTCACCGAGAGGATTCGAAAAGAAAATTCAGAAATCCTGATAATCATGAGCCATAAATACAAATGAGAAAGACTTCAAAGCCTCCGTTATGCTATTAATTAGCAATTCTTACTCCTGACTCTGACAGTAAAACTTGCTAAGAAAGGAAAACTTTCAACCTTCACTTTTGTTTTCTTTGTTCAGTCATGCCTTCTATTAAATTCCAAATTTATTTCCTCGTCGTGCTGGCGTCTCGTGAGGTAAAAAATGAATCAAGATAATAAGAAATATTTTGAGATAGCAGACCTTTTCATTTGCGAATGACAGGTTGATGTTCCTACTGATAAGAACTCAAAAAAAAAAACAGAAACAAACATTCTTGAGCCAAAATGTTTTCGTGTCACGATACGAAATTCTCAACTTTTCAAAAGATAAGAAAGAATTTCTTTTGATACTTCGAAGCGATCACATGGAGGAATTTGAATATTTCCGCTCGCACTAACTTCGGAGCCGTTTTCTGAAGAGTGGAAACTTTTCGGTTCTTTTTTGCATAATACGAAAAGGGGCAAAAAAGGAAAGTAACTTTTTTGGTCGGCCTGCAAATGGTCGGTGTAATCTTCTTTTGCAAGGCTTTGCTGCGGCTTCCCGTCGTGCCGGAAAAAAAAGAACGGAAACCACGTGAATATTTCAATTTTCTGTACTCATCAGAGGAAACGAGTTGCCCTTTCAATCAACATTTTCTATGAAGACTGGAAAATGAATTTCCAGGATTCTATGACAAATTTTGTCATTATCAATCGCGCAAAATATGAAATTTTGTTTCGTTGCGTTTCAAGTGAAATTCTGCATTAGCACGATGTTTCGAAAACTTTACGGGATCAACCTAAAATGCTTTTTCAACACTTTTTTTAAAACCTCTTAAAGGCTTCAAAAAAACCCAAAGGACAAGCAAAGGGTTTAAAAGGGAATAGTAGAAGGGAATTGAGCTGATCCGACCGGTCTGCCATTCACTATGGCAGATGTTGCCGGTTGCTGATAAATAGCTATAAAACGGTTGGCCGCAGAGTGCATCGCTGCTCGGCTTTTAAAAGTGCATCTCCTCTAGCCTCACGTTCTCTCCAGAGACTTTTTCTTGTCTTCAGAAGCTTCTGGGAGTCATAGGAGCTGCGTGATATTGGATTCGCTAACTTGTAAAAAATCTACAGTTATTTTGAAAATCGGAGTTTTTGACCGAAGGAGAAGGAAGTTTTAGATTGCAGAAATGTTCAAAAAGTTTTGAATATCATTGTATACAGTGTCAACTGAAAGAAAAAGGTTGTTTCAAAATTTTTATAAGAGAAAAAATGAAAAAAAAATCTTGTTTAGGGGCAGCTTGAATGTATTATAGGGCTATAGGTTTACGGTCGTGTACGACGAATACAGCCCTTTTTGCCTATCCAATGAACCTACAGTGAATGGGAAAAACTACGTCTTTCCGTTGACTACAAAATTTTGCCAGAAAAAAAGTTTCGGTGAATATTTCAAAGCGAGGCGAAGGAAGTGAAGAGTGGGCTTTTTTCTGCACGAAAGAGAAAAAGAAGAAAGAAAACTTTTTTTTTTCGAGGTTGTTTCCCTTTTTGCGACGTGTTTACGTTTCACAAGCTGTCATATTTGCACGTCGGTTTCAAAAGACAATATGTTTATTTGCGGGGCGATGAGTTCCGCGACGGCGCAGCCAAACTTCGCGGAAGATTGGCTTCGCGGCGAACTACAGTCGAGGAACATACTCACGGGACTCCATGGAGTATTTCTTTCAGACGCTGACAATGACAGTTTTCTTCGTACAAAAGATCGAAAAGACCGCACCAAAGAGACTCCTTCGGAAACTAGAAAATAGTGTGTAAACGGCGAAGGATGATACCGGTCCAGGCGAGAGAAATTTTAAACACCTTACGGCCGTCTTTAATGAACTCTAGGTGGTCTTCAAGTCAATTGATTTGAAAATGTGACGTTTCGGAGGTCGATTCAAATATTCTATGAAGCTTTAAGACGTTTTTTTGAAAAATGTACACTTTTAAAACCATATCCTGGTTCATGATTTCATAACTAAGACTCTTCAAACATTGTCCATTACTTTACCGTTTCCATAAGCTTGGTCATGTGGGTCTAATTATCTCAGTTCATTACTGTAGAAATCTGATGACAGAAAAGTAGCGTGGATTCTTATCAGCTACCAGTGATAAAACTGTCAAAAGAAGGACAAGACGCGATGATTTGAATTAAACAAAAAGCGCGCCACACAGTATCATAAGGGAAGCTCGGTAATAAACCCCTGAAATTCGGGACATTCAAAAATTCAAGTCCAAAGTCAAGAGCTTCTGACGGAAAAATGAGTACAATATAGTTTCAATAAATGTCTTCACTGTTTCGTGAGCCTTTTTTATTGGAATTTGAGTATCTCGACTGGATTTTTGAGCAAAAGTCACAGTCGTGAAGCTGAAAACAAGGAATGTTTAAATAAAGTTGAAAGAATTGTGCTCAAAAAAATTACTGCCTACTTTTTCAACTCAATCGAACTGAAACTTGGAAATGTTTTGAGATTTTTTTTCAGAAGTACCATCTAAGGAAGTTTAATCAAAATGGATTTCACATTCGGGAAAAAAAGAAGTCTAGATTTCTAATCAATCTCTATTCTTTGTAAGTTTGAGAAGAAATTGTGATGCTGAAAAAAAACTCATTTTTCATCATCTCAAATTCCTCGAAATATTCGAAATTACATTTAAATATCATTGCTGTTTCGAAAGTTTTCGATTCGATTTTCCATTTCTTCTTAAACTGATGACAGAAAAGGAGCTTTTCTTTTTATCAGCTGTCAATCATAAAACTGTCAAACGTCGGGTCAAAGTCTGCAGTTTTTTCTCTGCAGAGACTGCATCAAATGTCGACTTTTCCTTTTCTTGTTCACGTGGCTCATTTGACGTCTGTTAGGATCGCGTGCCCATCAATATGGAATGTAGGGAAGCGAGAGGTACCTTTTTTCCATCTGCTTTTTCCTTGGTTGGTTAACCGGTTATGTCGTCTGCCAGGTGCCGATGTAATCTCGGAAATTCTGGGAAGATTCCGCATGATGGAATAGCATACGCTGTGTTGGCCTATTGGTCGGGCGGACAACCACCTTCGATCTCGTATAAACGCAGAAAAAAAGGGTCGAGAGATCCAGAAAACCAAACCGAATTCGACTGCATTTTTCATCTTTTCGTACACTTGTACTCCTCAAAAAAGAGATACAAATTCTGATTTTTTGGTTTTTCCACAAAAAAACCACGTCTGAAAAGGTATAAATCCAAAAGTTTGACCAAAGTTTGGCTGAAACATTACACTCAGATTCCGTTAACAAGTTCAAAAAACTGGGAATATAATGATAACCCGGAGAACAACATCAATCTTGCTTGAATGAAAAAAAAAATGAAGGCGACAGGGTTCAGTATACTTACTCACCTGCATTCCAATCCAGAGAAAGGGAATCGAAGAGAATTTGACCAAGTTATTCTCAATTTTTGAAGTAGAGAATAGTTTGAAAATCCGAAAAAAATAAAATTGATGATTCAAATTCTCAAGGCGAGGAACTCGGAGGCGATTACGCGTTTTTTTTTTTGGGACGTCAAAAATATTAATGTAATGAAAATATGGTCACATGAATTCATTCGTCCCGACGAAATTATTTTCAGAGAAAAAAAACATATTCAAACTGACGGAAGGCTAATCCATGTTGGAATGAGAAAGGCTAGAAAAAAAAACGAGAGGCAATTTAGTCGGTTGACTGCATTTTGGACGGGTAGACAACAAGATTTGCAGCTCGTTGCATACCTATTACTTCATCTTCCCCTGTACTTCCGCAACGCCACCGCATCTTTTATTGGCCATGACTGATTATTTTAATTGAGTTAAGTTTTGGTATAGGCGCTTCATTGGAAAAAGATTCACCAACTAACAGAGATCGGGGATTTTTTTCTGATTTTTTTAGAATTTTTTTCATTTTGAACGCTTCAAAAAAATGGTCACCTAGACCCGGCGTTTCTAAAAACCAGTAAACATTTTTGAATAGACTTAATGTTGAAGGGACATTTTTCACGTTAAAGTTATCAAACTGATTTGATTTCGTTCACTGAAACCAAAAAGTTCAAAAAAGTGAATTACCAAACTCTTTTCCGATATAAATAAATTGTCTTTTTGTTTCCAAACGGCAGAAAACCAACTAAATTTGAGATGATTGAAAAAAAAATTATCGAAAATTCAGAAAATTCGATCTCCAAATTAACCCTGTCTATATTGTTAATTGGCTAAATGAGGGAGTTTGAAGACGATTTTTACTTTGGAAAAAAAGCAATTGAGAAAATCACGGGTTTTGTAAAGTTCTGAAATTTTTTTCCCGGTGTCTCAAATTATTTTCCGCTACCTTGAGAAGTTTTTTTTAAAAATCTCGCAAGAAATTCGTGTAGAAAGGCCCTTTTGTTCATATTTCTCAAAGTCTGGCGATGAATTGTACTTTTTATGTGAATCTTTTCTTCTCGAGAATTTCAAAAAGTAGTTTGGAATAGTTTAAAAAGTCTCAAAGAAAAAAAAATTGGAAAGCAAAACAAAAAAGTGCAGATGAACAGAAAGATGTGTAGCGTGCCACACTAGAGAAGATTAATTGCTCGAGTTGAGCAAAGTTGCGGACAATTGGTGTTGGTCGGAGGCCAAAGTGCACGTGACGCTGGGGCCGTCAATTGAGACGTGGGACCAGTGCGTTCTGTTCTGCTGGAGCCTCATCTATAATATATGGTGGGCCACCGACACCGAATTTTCCGTGTATGAATGGCAGCGGCCCATCGGTGTTATTTTTCTGGGCATCATTTCTCAAGCTCAAAAAATTCCAAAATGAAGAATTGTTGAAGCGGAGGGTTGAAAGAACTATGCACATTGACCCATTGCAAGAAATACGGCGAAAGGCGTTAAAATAGACATTTTTTTAACTCTTCGGTAATAAAAAACTTTTAGCAAGGCGCGCCGTAGCGAAACAGGTTGTGTACCTTTTTACGGTCCAGAGGGTCGCAAGTTCGATCCCCGCTGAGACCCATCCAAGGGATTTAAGAAATATTGGTACCACGACTTCAAAAACCTCCAGCAGTCACACAAAATGACGGATACGTCACTAGAGCCGGTCCACTGATTATCACTGATATCAGGATAGGACCTTGGCTAATCGACTTGGGGCGCCAACGCCGCTTAAGCGGTACAAAAAAGTATATAAAATTTAACAAAGTCGGAACTTCATAAGTTACTCTGGTAGGCCTTTACAATTTCCAAACTTCCAATAAGAAAAATAATTCGGTGCACCTTTCATTATATTTTTTTTCTTCTCTATAAATTAGAAGTTAGAGGGGGTAACTAGACTATTTGTAAAGTTTTCAAGTTCCTTCTGAAAAAAATACAAGACGAATCCGTGGACAACTACTCTGATACATCTCATAATGTTCATACGGTAATACGTTACGGTAACTTAAAAATTTTGATTACTCGATTATCAACCCCAAATCTTAAACCTTCACCAATAACTGTTATTTATTCTTTCACCATGTGCTCGAGTGAATAACATCAATCTCGAATTAAAAATTGACCCTGTCCGATCTTGTTTGAAGAATCCGACTAACAGTTTCGTCCTCCTTTTGGCAAGTTGGACAATTTTTAATATTTCTTTTGTCTCTCTTCTCACACAATTCGCACCTTTTGTGCAAGTGAGAGTTTCTATGACTACAACTTTGAATTATTCATCTTCCCATAGAAAAAAGAAGTGAGAAAAAAATCATGAAATCTGTCCTCCGTGGTTAGAAGCAAAAAAAGCTCAAATAAACTAAACCGACGGCTGGAAAATTTTCGTCTGACACGCATCTGGTAATAAAATGTGAGACTTCTTTAACCATCTGCGAAACTTTTTTATGTCGCCGTTTAAACCTTCGGATAGACAAGATCACTGTTTCTTGATCATCTATTTAATATTTGCTCAACGGCTACTACGTGCACAATAGAGAGCGCTGAGAGAAAATCGACCCCAAGGAGAGCTCACCAACTCTGAATTGCATCAGATTCAAAGCAAAGTGTAGGGAATTTTGCGTTTCAATTTTTTTATTGGTTTTTGAAGCAAGCTTTTATTCATGTTTGAGGATATAATAAAGTTTTTAAATTTTTCATAGCTTTGTAAAAACACTGCGATTTTCGTAAAATCGACACGTGTGCGAAAGAAACAGTGACTTCATCTAATGGCAAAAAATTTGAGAGAAAAATGGATACCGTTACTGTATGAAAAGTGAGATTTTTTTAAAAAAAGCTTTGAAATTGTAAATTTAATCAAAATGTTGCATAATAAACTGTTTTTAAAAAAATACTCATAGGTTCTAAAAAAATCAAAAAGATAAAATCTGAATTTTTCGTTTCGAAAAACAACCTACTGATAATCTTACAGTTTCAAAAAAAAAAATCAGAGAGGCTTTTTAAAAATTTGGATGAGTTTGTTTCGCAGTTGAAATTTTGAGAAAAAAAAAGCGATTTTGTAGGAAAAAAAAGCCAAGTGAAACCTTGGAATAGAAAACGATCAAACAAGGCTGACTGGATAAATAAAATGCTCTCCGTTTGCCACGCCGACTGTTTGCTTTGACACGGAGAGAGAGGAGATTCAAAGCCGAGATTTCTGTTCGGACCCGGCCATTTCGAGGATCCACGCGTTCTGAGGCCAAAGATTGAACCGGGGGGCTTTCACTCGAAAAACGTATTATTGTTAGCTCTTTTGAGTCATAAAAATTTTGGGCGCTCTCAATTGAGATATATTTCCAAAAAATGTAAGCCGAAACAGAAAAAATTTTCTTATCGTGCTATCTCTTTCGATAAACAACGAGCCTACGGTAAATGAACAATAAGGCAGCTCAACTCAAAAAGAAAGGGTTTCAGAAATGGCGTGTTCTGTTCCCTGTTACGAGGCTTTTTGTATCACCAACCAAAAAAGAGTGAAGCAAAACCAACGTCTTCCGACTGAAATCAAAGTGGCGGTGACTTGAAACGCCACAGCTGGGGAACATTTGTGATTCAGAGCGTGTCACCTGCGTTTTCTTTCCGCTCTGCTGGCTTTTACTGTACATCGAGGAGCTGGTAACTTTGGGTCGCTTGGTGAACAAACTGTGGACGTTTTTTCCAAGGGGAGAAGCTTGTAAAATTGTCAGTTTTGAGAACGCAACGTCGTTTTTAGTTTACTGACGGAAGAAAAAAGTTTCGGAAAAAGTCTTCAAAAAAAATTGTTTCACTGAGAAATTTATGAGGGGTCCTTATAGGGGTTAGTTGTTATAGGGACCCCGTAAAGGTCGAAATTTTGAGGGCTTAGAATCTGTCTCCCTAAGCCCCTAAAGCTTTAGGGGTCTTTATAGGGTTCCCAGAACTTTTCTTTTTAAAAAAATTCTACAATATTATAATCAATCTACTTCATCAAACAGGAAGAAAAGGTCTTTTTTGAAATTTCATACTCTATAAGACCCCTTAGAGCTTGACCCCTATAGGGACTTCTGCGGAAACGTTTTAGGCCCCTATGAAACCCCTGAAAGGCCCCCTTAAAACTTTCTCAGTTATGAGACTAAAGCTAGAAACGGTTTAGATCAAAAGGCGCTACTGAATGATCACCTTTTCCCAGTTTTTTAAAGTTGATTTTTACCAAAATAAAAAAGCAAAAAATGAACAGCGAAACTGCAAAAAAAGAAGAAAAAAGCTTAACCTTTCACAGAAAATGAATGTCGAAAAAAAGGTTGATCAAGCAAATTTTAATACACTTCCTTTTCGGAGTGTATTTTTGACGATTATAGTTTGAACTGAGACTGCAACTGCAGAAAAACTTGGTTTGTGTGAAGGAAGAAAAACTTACCACGTCACCAGCCAGAAAAAAATGTCTGTAACTCGATCTAGATGTGGCTGAACGTTATTTGCAGTAATCCGATAACTGAAGAGTATATGAGCTTCAAAGAAAAAAAAAATTAGAACATGTGGTTCAAATTTCTTCTCATATTTGCCCAACCAGAGGCGTTCGTATGTTCGAAAAGTTTGTGGGAAAACTAAGCTAGAGGAAAGGAAAACAAGGTGAGAGTTTATTCGCCAACAAGTTCACTCGGGATTAGCGCGTACTCGACAAGAAAACATTCTTCGATGGACATTTTCAGAATCTTCTCAGAAGGTGATGGAATCGCAGAAAAACAATAATTAAAGGGAAATTCAATATGAAATCAAAAAACGGGGGTTTCAACTCATTTTATGTTCACCGGTGCTATGTTGATGATGCAAAGGAATGGGAAAAGGTTGAAGTTTGCCTGGAGAGCTGGAGGGGTCTGTACATGTACTCTTTTTCTTGCCGACAACAAGGCCAACATAAAGAAGGTGCGGAGGGCTCAGATCATTTAAGTAAACCAACCAGGTGATAAAGCAAAAAACAATGGAACTCGTGTGGTGCGAAATCTACAGGGAACGTCGTATTAATTATTTTGTTTTCTCGGTTTTTTTGTTGCAGGAGTTTGTTCAAGGATGGGCCGCAAAGTTGGGGTTGCACACTTCGATGTCGCCGGTCGGAGCGAGGCCAGGGCATTCGTAGACGCTGAAGTTGTTCTCCTCGTCATTTCCGTCGTCTTCGTTCTCCGACTCGATGACTCCTGAAAGTAAACTGTTTTTTCAATTTTTCTCATCGAGTTTCGTTTAGGTCAGAAGCCAAAGTAGGGCTCTTCAAGGCTCTATTAGATGGACTGGGCAAGAAGAAAGGAAAATCACGCAATTAGATCTAGGTTTTTTGAGATAAGGCTAATTATAGCCTATTCTGGAAAACAGGAAATTGACCAAAATTCGAAAAGCTCTCAAATTGTCTTTCAAAGTGTGGTTTTTTCCAAACTTGAAGTTTTGAATGGCTTTGTGTAGAATTTACCTGGAGCATCTTCTCCGCAGATGATCTTCTGCTTGGCTTGTTGGTACTGGTGAAGTTGGGCTTTGTAGGCGAGTGTCTCATCTCCCTTGTTTCCCTGAAAAATATCTTCTTACGTTTTCACCGTTGTTTTTTTAATTCGAGACATAATTTTTGAAAAGTCAGTTCATCTAGAGATTGGATCAAGATAAAGAATGATCCAACGGACGACTGCAACCCATTCGTCACACTTTTAGTGAACAAGAAACACTCCGATTTCAGAACTTCAAACCTTGTTCTTTTTGAATCCAGGGCCTGTACCGGCATATGGAGCATATTCGCCGTCGTCGGGGGTTTCCGTACGGCGCCTGGAATAATATGAAATTTTCAACTTCATTCAAATCAAACTTACTTGAGGTAGTAGCCTCCACCGACCACAGTGCCCACGAGACCGACCGCCATCACGGTTCCGACCGCTGAAAAAATTTATTCGAATGGCTTGATATATTGGTTAGGTGGTTATATTTTTACAGACTTTCGAAGATGCTTTTTGCTTCTCCTTATTTTGATAATTTTGGAATACTATTTTGAGCACTGAATAAAAACTTTGAAGCGTTAACTTGTGCGATTTTCTGACATGAAACTAAGAAATTAAGGCGTCTTTTCTTTGAAAAAAAGTGGGTAGAAAGTTAGAAGCCCCTCCTATCTGTTTTTCATTCACCAGAAAACTCCATTTCAATTATTTTTTTCCCCAAACTAACCGATGAGCAAGAGACTGTTGGAAGTGTAGCCTGGCATGTTGGTTCCGTGCTCAGCCGAAGTAGAAAGACGACGTTTGTCAAGGCTTCCAATTGACCTAGAAATCTCGAATCACCAGGCTAACCATCTAAAGAAACCAACTTTGTTTGTTTCAGGGCTTCCACCGGCTCGACAAACGAGACGAACTCGCTTTGGCCTTTTTTTTGGGGCACCTGAGGCGGCGGAGCCGGCTTTTCGGCTTCTTCCTGAGCCTTCTTCAGCTCTTTCTTGGCCTCTTTGGCAAGCTCCATGTCGAGCTCTTCCTCGGCTGAAAATTTCAACTTCATTATATTATCCCCGCGTTCCGTTTCTCTTCTTGTCATAACAATCCTATGAATTTTGAACAGTTTCAACGTTTTTCTGCTTTTTTTTTGACAATATTGCGCAAGACCATAAACGAGTTTAGCCCAGTCCAAGTCCGTAGAAAAATAGCTGAAGATTTTTTTAAAACATTCAAAAAACTACTAGTATACTAATTTCCTTCTCAAATTACAGGAAACTTTATACCAATCCTAATTTTCTTCTTTATTTGCTCACAGAGACTTCAATGAACCAAGAAATCAAACTCGGAAACTACTTCCGCATATCCATCAGAGTAATTGAGTTTTTTGTTAGTATGCTTCGCCTCTCTTTTGAATATCTTGCTCATAAATTAATGAATTCGGCTGCGGAGCGGATGGGAGCTGTGATGCCTTTTCCGTTTTTGGCGAGGGTCTCGGAAAAATGAGATTATATTGACACTTCTGCAAGACGTGCCGTCGTGAAATGAACTCAATTATGAGGAAGAGACGGAGAAAATGTAGGCGGAGTGCCTCTGAGGAGCTCAGCGCTCAGACATTCGAATCCTTGTAGCAAATTGAGCAACAACAGCTCGAATTGTGCCTTGTAAATTTTAAAAGATTGATTCTTTACGACCGTCAGACCGAATCTGCACCCCAGGATATATCTTCTTCTGGATTTCTTGACAGATTAGAAACCCATTTTCAACATCTATAGTTTGTTTGAAATTCATGGGAATTCCCCTCAAGGCAGACGATCTTGTGGGAAATTGTGCGGATGAGTCAAACTAAAGTGCAAAAGGCAAAAAATGACGAATTTCCGTTACAGAAGATGCTCGTGGGAGCTTCTCAATTATTCATTACTGCACATTTTTTGTGGCATGTATCATGTTGATGGATATCCAACATGAAACATGAATATAAGAATTATGCGAAGATAAATCGGACACTTTTTAAGCCTTCTCGCGAGAGTGTAAAAAAAAAGTGAAGTTGTACATTTGTGAATAAATGGAAAGATTTTCAACAAGAACAAGTCTTCAAGTTTTTTTCTCTTTGAAACAATAAAAACTAGTTCTGAAAGTTGTGAACTCATCAGTTCTCCAGAAAAAAATATCAAAGCTTAATGGAATATTCCAGTCCGAAAAACATTATTTTTCACAAACAAGGAACTCAGAAATTCCAACTATCTTCTCGAATGGTGTGTTGGCCGATTCTCAAAAAATATCAATTTCTAACAGATTATTCAAGTCAGGAAAAGAAGTTCTTGATGGTAATATTTTGAAGTTTTCGGAGTTTTGTATACGCAACCTCCATTGTTTTTGTTAGGCTACTGCTGTGATTTTAAATAAGTTATTAGAAATTGCAAGTAGCTCTCCTCATTCAAATGTTTCCTGTTGAAACTCAAAAACTTTAGTTTTTCAAACATCGGACTCTCTAAACTCAATTTAAGACGTCATTCACCTTTTCGGAGTTCTTCCTCGAGTTCCTTGGCGGCGCGTTCATCAGGGACTTTTCCCTGTGCGGGCGCCTTCTCGACAACTTTCGCCTTCTCTTCCGGCTTCTCGTCGTCTTGGAACATTCCGAGCTCCTTGTAGAACTCGGGATACTGTGGCTCTTCTTCTTGCTGCTTCTGCGGCTGAGGCTGTTCCTGTTGGGGCTGAGGGTTCTTCTTGGTGAGCTCCTCCAGGATGTTGCTCATGTAGTCCTCGCTGTTTTCTTGTTGCCGCTGCAGCTCTTCCGCCTCGTGCAGTTTGCGCAACATTACCTGAATTGATTGACCTTTTTTCCAAGAAATGCTGCCTTCAATTTCTCTCGATTTCCATCTAGGAAAAGAGGAAACTGACACACTATTGTTTTTCAAGCCCAATTGATTTAGTCTCTCTTTTCTCATCATCTGACTCATTGCAGAAGTTATGGTGCGTGTTAGCCGCGGAAAGATAATCCAGAAAACTTGTTATTTGGTTTACAATTTCAGGAAATGCACACAAACACGTTCATTTTCTAAGAACTAATATTCAATGAAAGCTGGGAATAAATCTCTGCATAGCGTTATAAGCTTGAGAACGCACTGAACGTTTTGAACTACCATATTCACTTCACATACAGCAATTTTTCATGGTTACACAACAGGTGCAAAACGGAGTTTTTCATATCCTTTTTGGTTTTTCTTTTTAAAGTCGAACTTCAAAAGATTCTATTTTATTCACCTTCAGTTCTTCATCATAAGCCTTCTGGAATTTTTCCTGAGAGAGTTCGTACTGTGTGTCTCGTAGTCCATGATGAACCGACCCACTTTCTGAAAAAACAAAAATCTCATTTTTTCCACTTTCCGTATCTTTTCACTACTAACATCAACAACTATTTATTTGAAACGGATGGTGCCAGGAATAACAAACAAATGTATCCTCAAAGCAAAATCCGGCAGAGCAAAAAAGCAATTTGAAAAAAGGATGGAAAGAGAGAGGGAGAATGGGCTCTTGAAAGACACAAAATGAACATTCTTGGTGTTCATGTATGAATGAGGTTTGTAAGATCATTGTATTGTTAATGCTCCAAGTCACTTTGCTAATCTCCTGGAAGTTTGTGAAAAGAAAAATCGAAGATCCAAACACTTCATGTGACGTTTTATAGCATTATTTAATGACCACCTATGACGCAGTTATGAAATAAAATCACCCTTATCAACTCAAAATTCAGAGTTATTAGCCGTAAAAGGCTTCAAAATTCAACCAACGTGAATAACCACACATGTAAATGTAACAATTTGTAAGCCGTTAATACCCGACTAGATAATCGTTCCAAGCTCGACTTTCCCTAAAGTTGAAGGAAAGATTATAGGGAAAATGCCAAAATCTTTGATTTAGCCGATCATCTTGTCAGGGAAAAAAGTGAGAAGTGTCCTGTATGTAGTATGATCAGAAGTCTCTGGGGAGACATTTCAAAAGACGCGTACTGGCAAGTATTTTTTGAGGAGAAAAAAATTGTGAAGAACAACATTTGAGAAAAGTTGGAATTTCTTTGTTTGGAGGGGTGAAAATTTTTGTGTTTTTTGAGTTCATATTTTCTTAATTGCTACATCAGAAGTTTGGAATCGGAAAACATTATTCAAAAAAAAGGTCTCAATAACAGAATAGCGGCTTAAAATTGAATATTCAAAGAATTTCAAAGTCTATATACGAATTTGATTCAAGTTCATCAAATCTATCGGAGATCGTTTCAAATTTAAAAGCTCAATTATGGAACAGCTTGCAGGATGAAAAACAGAACAAAAGGAAGAGGAAAAACCGGATATAATGAAAAATTATTTTTTTCTTATCTTTGTCACATTTTTAAACCTCACTTAAAAATCACACTTCTCAAAAAACAAACTTGTCAAAAATATGAAACGACTTGGCGAGAAATCATGAAAAAACCATTATTCTTCGATTTTTTTAGATAGAACATCCAAACTTTGTCAAGTAGTCTTGAAGAACAAAAATCTTAATGAAAATCTCGAGTACCGTAAGTCTTTCTTCTCAGTTTTTCTGTAACTCTCTTTCTTAGAACTTTTCAAAGACATATTTCATCATCTTTTCGAAAAGGTAAACTGTAAATACCTGTGAAGACGGTAGCTTGTGTGACGCCTAAAAAGGCAAGCAAGGCGACGGCGCGCCACATCCCGTATGAGGAGGGCAGAGTGATCGAGGAGTGACGACGTCGTCGAGTAGGAGGCGCCGTCACGAGCTCGCATCGATTCGGCTCGTTTCTTCGCATTCTGCAGTCTTTTGAGTGAGCTGCGGCGGTCCTGCGCTCACGCCGGCTGATGACGTCGGCGTGAGCTCACGACAAGCGGACAGAAAACGAAGAGAAAAAAATAAGGGAAAAAATGCCTCAGGCTTCAAGCCTCTCGAGCATATCCACAAGCACATAAACACACAGAACTCGCTCTCTCTTTGGGTTTCCGACTAACTCTTCCGTTCTTCTGAAGCGATGAACGATGCTCTGCCAACTCGTGAAGCTGTTTGAAAGTCCTTTGTCGACATCAGAAGTTATGGTCTACTCGAATCGCGCTTGAAAGTGAGCGAAAAAAGATCCATTCTCCCAATTAAAGAATCAAAAAACAATGCAGTCACATCACCCCTTGCTTGGGCGATTATTCAAGAGAAAAAAAAACACTAGAGGTACTTTTGAGGTAATGAAAAGGAAAAGATTTTTTCGAATCATTCAAAATTATCTCGGAAAATATTTAATAGGGTCTTAACTTGATTGGTGATTTTTTTGGGAGTGAAAAAAACAGCTTTTCTTTCTACTTTTTGCAAACTGATTTCAAATCGACCTTACAGCGATCTTCGCTTTCCAAATGATTTTCAACTTTGGTTTGAAAAAAAGTAAAAAATCAATTTGTTTTCTGATTCTCTCCATTTCAAATGACCTTTCAAAAAAATAAACACGAAGAAAAATGATAACCATGGAAACGGTGTAAATAAGAAGAGAAACATCGGAAATCTCATTAGGAGTCATCTCATTCGATTATAAGAATCCCAACATCAGATTAAGCAGAAAAACTGAGTGAAGCAAGTGGAAAGAGATTTTAAATTACATAGATGAACTTTCAAAACAACAAGTCGCGTCATTTATAGAGGAAAATTTCAACAGCAAAAAAAAAAATAGAAACGAAAGGCGGATGGTCAGCGCAAATCCAGCTCAACTCTGCGATCATTTCGCAGCAGAACTGACGCGATTTTCGAAATAATCGGAAACATGAGCTGGTCGCCTTGAAACGGTCGCTATCAAACGCGCCACGCCTGATAAAATCTCATTCCTTAAATGTCTTGTCCCTTCACTTTGACTCCAATCGAACCTCCATCTAAAGGTACTAAATATAGAAAGTTTGCCTCCTCGTTTTTGCATCGTTTTTCGAGAAGATCGTCGTTCCCAACCTTGCGCTATTTTAAAGATGGCGGCAGATAGTTCCCACCTTTCCATCAACACGCCTGACCTCTTGCTTTTTCGGGGTGCCACCCGAAACTTATCGTGTAAATTCACGCCATCGTTGCTGCTTTGAAATGACCAACTTTGTCCGCCCCAGTCAAAAACATCTAAACAAAGAGGGCGAGAGCTTTTCAAACAAATTGAAAACTATTTTTCTGGCTGTTTTCAAATAAATGGGAGTTGACGTGTATAAAATCAGAGTTGAAACAGAAAAGCTCGCTAAAATTTTTGAAGGTGCAAGGAATGATGCAAATATGTATAAAAAATTGGTCAAATTTGTACAAGGCAAGCCTGAACAAAATCAGAAACGTCTGAGCTGAATCTCCCTGCCTTTTTGGGCGTTTCGTGTGAATATTAAATTTTCAAAACGGGAAATTAGTCACACTGTATTTGTTATAGCTCAAAACGTTTAAGGATAACTTTTTTCAACACGAGGAAACGCGAAACTGCCGCAACTTGGTAAAGTTCAACCTTTTTCATGAGGTTCAAAAAGGAGCTGAAAATATAAAGAAAAGAAGACAAAAGAATTTTTCTTAAGCTTTTCAAATCCATAGTGATTTGAATGCACGCTTCGCTGAAAATCGAGCTAAAAATTAAAGCAGTTTTTAAAATATCTTGGTACTCATCTTACCGCGAATAGTTGTGAGTAGGAATTGTTAGAAATGATAAAAAAAAAAGTTCAATATCCGATTTAATGAGCACGAGACTGATTAATTGAGATTCAATTAGAGTAACAGCAGGTCTAGACCTCGAAATGAATCAAACATTTCCAAGTAATGTTTCATAGTGTTTTTTTCCTAAAAATACTCTCGGGATAGCAGAGGACGACCTTTCTTCTTGCGCAATGGGACAATGACAAACGGGGCACAGTGAAAAACAAAATAAAAGTCACTGAAAAACGGCCTAATCTGCGGGAGAATATTTCAGAAGCCACTTGAATGCCAATACATAGATGGATTGAAACAGCAGACAAAGGGATCTGCAATGCGTCGAGTGGGCAACTGCCGAAAATACAGGTGCGTCAATATTCGCTTCGAAATCTCAGTTAGCATAGTTTTGAGCTGATGAAATCAGTTTGAAATGCTTTATTCGCTTGCTTTGCCTTTTTTTAATAGAGAAAATTGACTCATAAAGAATATTATAATCGAGAAGAACACATTTTAAAAACCAAAAAAATGATGGAAAATTTAAAAAAAAGAGAATAAAAATCTATCTCGTCCGATTATTAAGCCTTAACCGAGCTATCGATTGCCCATGATACTCGTTTTTTTTTTCACTATCGGCCATGAATAATAAGATTTGCGAGGTTTTTTTTGTCGAATTCAATATTTACAACATTCTCAATGCCTTTGTAATTACATTCACTACAATTCTTGAAGAATCCGTTTTTGATTCTTGGTTAGCCACCATATTTTGTAGCTTCTCATTAGTGGGTGAATTCGGGCGTGTTTCCTTTGTTCAAATGTTGTTTTCATTATCTCGAATTTGAGAAAAATAACGGAAAGATATGAAATCGGAAAGAAAATTTTCGAAGGAGATTTTGAAGCTTCTTTGGAAGGATCTGTTTCTGGAGCGCATTTCTTGAATTTTCGGAGCAAATATTCAAAATCCTTCTAAATCCGAGACATCAAAAAGTTTTTTTATTGGTTTCTCACCTGAACCCATTTTTTTCAAGCTCAAACAAAGAAAATAAATAGAAGCAAGAATAAGACGGCAACATGTAAAGGTCGAAGTTATTGAATGTCAAGTAAGTTGTGATGCCGATTCCGCCTCGAGCCATTCAACATGCGACCACGATGTTTGAATTTAAGCTGAATAATTTGTGTTTGTAGTCTAAAACCCTGCTCTCTGCATAAAGGAGTTCTATTCAATATTCCTGATTAGTTGAAGTCAGGGATTTTTCTGAAAAAGTTAGGTCACGCTCATTCGAATGGAAGAGGTTTTTTATCCGTTATGAAATCATTCAGTCATACTGTAATTTTCTTTTTTTATCACCCATAAGGGATTTCACAAACGGCGTTTACTCATGAAATGAATTTGACTGAACACCATCGTTTAGCTTTACAACAAAATTTTTTTTTTAGTGGAATACCAAAATAGTCCATTTTCACGAAACTAGGTTTTTATGAGAAAACAGAAATTAATAACGACTTACAGGTATACGTGTGAGAAAACTGCTCAACCTCCTACCGTGATGACTGCTTCCCACGCGATACAAACCTATCTTGCCACTTTCCTGTTTCAAATAAAGTTTTTTTTCTTTCTTCCAATGATCAGTATCTCTTCGAATCAGTGTTCACGATCACTGTTCAGTACTGGGCTGAAAACCGGTATGTTTTGGTGTTCCCAAGGCGTTCGCTGAGTGATGGGTTTTTTTGGACCCTGACCTTGATGAAAAGATAAAAAAAAACTTGGTTAGTGCTTCAGAATTTTTTTCATTGTTAAATGCTTAAAAATAGAACTTTGAATCGAGAAAATCATATTTTTGTAGACAGAGATCCTTCAAAAACAATTTTTGAATAAAAATTTAAGTAACAGTGCCTTTAGGAATCGTTCAACGGAGAGCTTTTTTATTTTTATGCAAAAATTCGCAGGCAATTTTCAAGTTCAATTTCTATGGTCCCTTTAAATTTCGTACTCAACACTCATAGATTGGATTATTGAAATTTTCTTCTTACAAGGAAAGTCATTTATTTCTATACTTCTCAGTATACCAAATCAAAAGCCTCAAAGTTTTGATTATTAAAAATCAGTGATCATAAAAAAATTTCTCTCGCAAAGAGTTTTTTCTATGGCAATCTAGGAAGCCCTTCGGAAATTTTTCGAGGTGTCCTGGGCTTCTCAAAAACAAAACTTCCAACCTTCTTTTTCAGGAATAAACTTTGAAGTATCTTTTTAGCGCTTAATTTTCAAGATTTTTCACTTTTTAAGAAATTATTTTTTTCTAATATAAGAGGTCGTTGTGGAAGCCTTTTACACTTGATAATTTCGGACTTCTGGCCATTTTTTGTATTTCAAAGCTTTTTTCGATACAATCTTAATGAGGTTAGAAATTTCACCTTGATATCACTAAACTTCTTTCTGAAAATCTGAAGAAAGAGTTTCAACAAAAAAATAATAAAAAAAATTCATCAAAACATTTGAAGGATTAGCATAAGTAAATCTTGTCCTTTCTGGGCAAGACAATCGAAACAAATAGTGATCAGCCCAATTCAAACTTTTTTTGATTCAGAAGACAGGTTAAAACAATTAGACAAGAGCGGAATGTCAGCCCCCACCCTCTCGACGCCAAACAGACGTTAATGTGGTTAACCATTTGCCACCTGAGGAGATGCCTGTATTCCTCTTCAATTTGCATTTTCCGATCGATATTCGTACTCCTTTTTGTTTTTTTTCTTTTTTTTTTTCTTTTTTTGATTAACCTCCTTGATTAAACTTCACTCAATACTGATTATTCCACTAGTTGAATTTCTCGAAATTTCTGAATAAATCAAATTTGAATAGGTCAGGAAGATTGCTCTTTTTTATACATCTTTTTTTTTCATAATGTCAGTTTTTTCACACACAGAAACCTGTTGCATTTACGCATGTTGTCGGTCATTGTTTGGGAAAAAAGAAAAGAGTGATATAGTGCGCGTGTCACTTTCAGGTGTGATTCTTAACGTCTCTGAAATTCAATTTCTGTATTTCTAAAAAAATCTTCAAATATTACTTTCCGATGTTAAAAATCCCCAATTACTTGATTAACCGGATAGTTGAGACGACTATGCTTTAAAAAACAGAAACATTGCCCCAATTGTCCCAAGCTAACTCCGAAAAAATTTTGAGCACTTTTTTGTTTTCAAATGTTTTTTATTTCAAAGCACCTCAAATCCGATTTTCACATGAATTAAGCAAGTCTTTCAAATCTTGCTCCAAAAAAATCGCAATCTTAAATTGACGTTATTTCCAAAAATAGACTGCCTCCAATGGTAAAGTGGGTAGAATAAGAATACATTTTCAATAATTTCTTTTTTTTTTAGGTCTAGTAATCGAAATCTGGAATCGAAGTTTGATTTTTATCTTTAAAATATGAAAACTGAGCTTTTTCGTATCGATGGTCCTAAATTGAACGACAAAAAAAGCAAAGCCAAATATTTTCAAGTTTCATCTCTTCTTAAAGGAGGTGTTTCGGATAAATCACAACCTTGACTTGAGAAATTTCATTTAAAAAAATCGAATTATTCACCTCAAATTGAAGTTTTTTCTCATCGAGGTAACCTAGTTTTTAAATTGATTTATGATTGAGGTAAGTTCCGAAGACCTTGGTGGTATTTTCCTTTTCATTTGTGACCCGCAGGTCATTCAACTCGCCAAACTTGATGACGTAGGCGTTTTCAGCTCATCACTGTTCGTGGTTGTAATTTAATTAGCACTTATCTTGTCACGCAGGAAAAATATCGGAATTAAAGTTGAATTTCGTAGAACATGTTTTTATTTTTCTGATATGGTCTGTTGAATCTAATTTTCTTCTGGAATGGTAGTAAATCAAGGCTCAACTCTTCAAATGAAACAGTAAAGTCATGTCTTTTTAAAAATCCAAAAAAAGTTATACAACTTCTGGAATAAAAATTTTGAATACAATTCCCTAAATGTTGAGTAAAACCTCTTTGACTTAAAAAATAATATCCTACTTCTATCCGTCCTATGTTTTACGTACTATGTTCGTTTTTCAATTTTAAACCCCCACCAATTTTCTGAAAAGCATGAAATCCAGGTGCCGTGGAGCTCGTTTCAAAACCCACTTTTTGATTTTCCAAAGAGTTCCACGGTTCTTGGTGGCTCATTAAAGAAGTTTTGGGTAAATTTTACAGATTTTATGCGGGTTTTTCTGATATCACTATGTATTCTGATGTCTTTGCTTCCTATGCTGACTGCTGACACGGAAACTGCTGTTCACCATGCACATCGGCACAAAACTCACCGAAGGCGGACACCGGTGTAAGTAGAGGAAAATAAAGGAAATGAGAAAAATGACTCATTTGAATAAAGTCCATGAAATTCGGTTTTTTTTTTGGTTTTTTCTCTTTTTGTGCGAAAAAAAAACTGGTTCAAAATGTGATAACTTTCTTAGAAAAATTTAAGACACTCTCAATGGATAGATAATATTAAAAACTATAGACACTGATTTTTTAAACATAGGAAACAAGGCAGATTTACCCTAATAACTTTAAAAAATTGAAAAAAATGAGGGAAAAAGGAACAAAAAAAAAATGAACAAAGTCGATTTTACAGATGTGTCAACGGAAAACCCGTAGACAATGTCTGTGAGTGTGAGCTGGACTACGTCGGGAAGCACTGCGAGAAGAAGAAGCACTGCGAATCTTTCCGACGCTTTCGAAACGGATCGTCCGTTTTTTTTTCAGCCTTTTTTTTTCAAAAATGGCTTCCATGGAAGTATGAGAACTTCAAAAAAAAAGTTCATTTTCGATCAAAAAGTGGTGTTTTTACGGAAGTCTCACAACAGATAGTGGATTTTTTTTGGTGATCTTTCTTATCTTTCCCGGATTTTTAGCCAAGTTTAAATTTTCCAGTTTTGCTATCATTGCAACAAGAGCGTTTTCTTGCGTTCTGGAAACCTTCAAAATTTCGATTTTTGACTGAAAAATTCAGTTCAAAAATGTTCGAACTGCAACCAGTTCCCCCAATAAAAATTTTACTAAAATGCATCCAATAAAGAAGTTTCTCAAAATGGAAAAACTATAATTAGACGTTTCCAGCTGCCCTGAATGCCTACCCAATTATACAGGCGAGTTTTGCGAGGAAATTGTATGTGTCCACGGGAAAAAGAACAAGGTAGTTTTGACTCACGACTTCTTGGATCATAAGTTCACGAAACCAATTGAAGTACGGAACGGAATGCGTTTGCGAGGATCCCTACACGGGGCCATTCTGCGACAAATTGGAGACCAATCGGATCTACAGCTACTATAATCGCAAGGTAACTTTATTTTCACGGGGATTAATACTTGAAATGTTACAGGTGTTCATCCTGGGTCCTCTGGGCGCTGTTTCACTGATTCCCATGTGTCTGCTTTACATGACCTGCGAGCATATGGCTAGAAAACGCCAAGTTTGTGTTTTTCTCGATTATAGTCGGCGTGCCACAATTTGAAATTTCACGGAACGACATTCCGCCGTGCCGCCTTTCGAACCTTGGTCGCGCTTTTAATTTTTTTCCTGATATTAGGGTACTCTACTTTCTTGTGCTCCCACAGCAATAAAAACCAATTGAAAGCGTGACTTAGATTTGAAAGACGCTTCGCGAACGCACGCAGCGGAACAGCGGAATGTCGTTCCGTGAAATTTCAAGTCGTGGCACACAGACTATATAAAAGCTTTTTTTGTCTTTTTCTTAATAGTCAACTCTGATTCCAGGTAAAAAGAGTTGGCGTGATGATGGAAGGACAAAACATCAATATCCGAAAACAAATTCTGGAGAAACTACTGGAAGAAATCTGATTAGTCTTTCAAAAAAAGACCGAAATCCTCTCATTTCCCATTGATCTTTGTTCCTTCGAGCTTACAAATCTCTCTTTTGAACTTTGCATCTCTAGTCGAATCGCTAGAAAGCTTCAATAATAATCTTTTTATTTTCAATCTGATTATTTACATTGACGTCCCTTGAAAAAGAAATGCACAAAATTCGCACATAGTAAATAGGATGTTTCGGGAGAAAAAGTTAGGAGATGATACGCATTCGTTCCATTGTGTTGGGTTTCTTCAAAGCTGCGCCAATCGCGGCGATTCCAACAAGAAAGGCGATCGCCAGCATCACCAGAGCCCACCAAGGAGCTGGCGTCAAGATCATCTGCTCTCCGAGAGCCATTTTTTTAGTTCTAAAATTTGAGCTTTTTTTATTCATGAAAATGATGTGTTTTTTTCAAAAAAATGGCAATAACTATCTTTTTAGAAGGAAATTTTTTTAAGTCAAGAGATGATTTTTTTATTGATTTTCAAGTTTATTCGTGATAACTTCGTATTTTTTTGAAAAAAACTACCACGATCATGCCCGAAAATCTTCGAATTTTGCAGCTCATAATTATTTTTACCCTTTTTACGATTATTTTTTTGAGAAATTCCGTTAAAACGGGGTATAACAGGATATATTTTGAAACCGAATTTTTTGATTTATCGTTATTCTCTCAATCATGTTTTTTTTTGGAAGACGGAAAGTATAGAGTTCACGAATATAAAGAAATCCTCCGAAGTATTGAGGTTTCTGGGGATTCGATAGCCGATTTCCATCTTTTTAAGGTTGGCTACGACTCGAAAATTCCTTATTTTAGAAGGGAGAGATACAACCTACAATCAAAATTTTGAAAACTCTGGAGAGGAGCAAAATATGAATAAAATTCAGCTCAAAAAATAAAACCAAAAAGTATTAAAACAAAAACTCACACAAAAAAATAGTCACCGACGGTAAAGTTTGACGTGTGTCAAAACCGAAACTGAAGCGTTATCGGCGTCCCGAGTTGGAAGCGCCAACAAACACGCATGTGATCGGCGTCGATCAACAGCCTAAGATTGTATTTGCCTTGCCGCGAGTCACCAATCACCAGCCATCAGTGCTCAGAAAAGCCTTTCGAAACAAATTCAATCCTATCAGAGCAAAAATCGTCTAGAAGACCTGGCTACAAACTACCGCGGGAGTCGCGCAGAGCAGCGAGCTGTCATGATAACAATAACAATGATAAGAGTAGTAGGTGCACAAACTTGGTTGTTTTGTTCCTCGTTATGATCATCACTCTGTTTTTGCTTCTCTGCTCCGCTTCTCCGTCTTTCGAGCTTTATGTTGTTAATACGAGTTACGGCCGACTGCGCGGAGTCACGTTCCGATCTTCTGATGGCCAGAAAAATCACATTTTCAAGGTTTGCTCTTTCCAAAAAGTTGATACTTTTCAAGAAGGGTTATGAAAAATAGTTTCTTTTTTAAAAGGAACTGAGGAAATTGCATTCGGAAGTTATCTGTGCGTTTCGGCTGTAGAGAAGCTGGATTGAGACCGCAAAAATTTTCTCTTTTTAAACTTCTTCTTGATGAATCTCAAGGTAGCTCTAAAACTCACCGCTTCGTGCAATTCTGATTTTTTTTTAAGGCACGGGCTTTTCTAAGACTGGCTAAGATTTATACGTACAGTACCGTCAGAAAACATCAAAAACGCGACTTTGGTCACAACAGTGTTGAAAATCATCACAATTCCAGAAATTTTCAGAAAAATTCAGTTCCTTACAAGAAAATTGTTATCGAAACTCCATTTTTTCGTGTCTTTTCTGACGGTACCGTATATCTTTTTACTGTGGTTAGCTCTCCTATTCAGCTGCGTGAAAAAAATCAGGTCTTGTTCAACTTTGAAATGACTAATTTTGACTATTTGTGTGTATTAAAGATTATCTTCTAATGCTCGAGTCATGTGAAAACTTGCAGTAGTTTGATGAATTTTTTTCGCTGATCAGAGACATTTTTTTTCGATTTTACAGTATCAGATTGAGGAGTCATGAGTCAAGAGTAAGAAAAAGAAAATCAAAATTGTAATAAAAAAATCAAAAAAATCGACCTCAAGCTCGAAGTCACTAGGAAAAAGCGGGAAACCCGCGTCAATTTTCAATTTTTTTCACGTATTTTGATCTAAGACATAGTTTTTTTATAATATTAGCTTTCTCAGAGCGTTCCGTTCGTCAAGCCACCATTAGGCAAGCTAAGGTTCAAAAAACCTGAAGAGGTCGAACCTTGGAAAGGAATACTTGATGCCAGTACTTACAGGTTTGCGTTTTTCTTTTATTTTCATCCTTTGACTGTTTTACAGCGCTGCTTGCTTGTCCGATTCTAAATATGGAACATCAAAGCAGAAAAAAATCAGCGAAGACTGTCTTTATCTGAACATTTTCACAAGTGAAAGATGCCTGGTTTACCCTTTTCTTCCAACAAAAAAATTTAAATTTTTTTTCAGAGCTCGCCTTGTCCAGTTTTAATCTACTTGCACGGCGGCGCATTCAACATCGATTCCGCCGTCATGTTTCCAGATCAGTTCATAATAGATCACTACAGCAGTCAAGGTAGACCATAATTATCACTAATCGCATCAGTTTTTTGTCCCAGGCATTGTTTTCGTGATACCCGCAATGCGGTTAGGAGTGTTTGGTCTGTTGACTTTTGGCGACGAAGAACAGACGCATCAAAATTTACCGGTGTACGGTGAGATCACGAGGATCAAGTTTGAAGTTCAACCAAGGAAGAGGTTTCAGATGCGATGGCAGCGATAAAGTTTGTGAGATCTGAAATTTCCAACTTTGGAGGAGATCCAAAGAGAATAAATTTAATGGGCCACTCTTCTGGCGCGAACCTGGCTCTACTTTTTGCCACGTCTAGGTTTATTGGAATGATATGGAAGGATTTATTTTGCCAAATTTAAGAGGGAAAAATTTTTTTTCTCTGTGTAAAAATCATCAGAAAGCTTCGTGAAACTTGGGAAAACGTGGAAAACCGATCGCAAAAAAATAACTTCAGCATTTTTCAGTCTCATCGATCCCGACATGAAACTCTACCACAGAGTCATCGCCCTCAGTGCTCCAATGTTGTTCAATGATCAGAATAAAATCATATCTCGTAGTATGGAAATAGCTGAAAACTTAGGAGTTTCCAAAATTCTATCTCTGAAAGTAATACTCTTTTTCCAGTGTGTGGCTGAGAACAGCACTTTCGACATTTCTCAGGTCGTGAAATGTCTACAAGAAGTGGATGCTACCGAGTTATTAGCAGCCCAAAAAGAAATGGAGTCTATTAATCACCGTTTCACCAACTTCATATTCGGCCCTCCATTTGCTAAATTCAATCAAACTTTTGAAGACTACCGCTCGAAAATCCCGGTAGTTATTTCTTCCCTTCTGTACAACTTTCGAATGATTCAGGGTCGAGACGTAATGATTGGAACCACCGGTCATGAAATGGGTAGAAGTTTATCAAGCCAAGAAAACTTTTATTATGGGAGCTTCATGGATTTTGAGAACAGAGTGGAAGTGGCCGAGAAGTTCGAAGCTGACTACAAATCTGGAAGTGAAAAAAAAATCTTAGGAAAATCAATGATTATTATTTTCAGTTTTTGAACTCGCAGATGAATCCCAAAGTATTTATGTGTCTGCTATTTTGTACTCTGCTGCTCTTACAGCCGCTGGCGGACATGTTTACTTATACGAATCGAGGTTATTGATTTTTGAAAAAAACCTTGGACAAAAAGTTTCAGACAGAAACCTCTGCCGAATCATGTCAGTGACATGCGTTATTTCATTGGAATTCATCGAGAGAGCAATCGAACCAGCGATATGGACATTCTCGAATCTTTTTATTCCAAGATGCTTGTAAACTTTACTAAATACGGGGATCCGTCACCGAGTAAGATCTTATGATTGAAACATTTGAACTTCATTACTCATTTTTGAAACAAACCCATATTTTGCATGGAATATACTCATGAGCGCTTCCGATCATTAGCGATTCGCATAAGGAAAAAAAATCTGCAATCCTTTTATTATCTTGAACTTCTCTTGTCTGGTGAACTTTTTAGAACAAAAAAACTTGTTATCTATTTTTTTCAATCTTCAAAAAAATACACGAAAAGAAAAAAATTTTTATTTTATTTGGATCCTTAACTTATGGTTTTTTTCATAATCTGATGTTTGACTAGAAGAATCAGATTTTGTTGTGTAGTTTTTTCTCGAAGTTTCAATTAAAAAATCACCGTTGTGAGTTCGCGGCTTGTATTTTAAGTAGGATCACTCTCCTTACGGTTATGAAACACCTCATATTTATGATTTCGATTCCAGGTTGGGACATGTACGATTCTGCAAGACGCAATTTCTACGCAGTGGAAGTGGACACAAAAGCAGGAATTTATCCGATGAATATGGAGGATTTTCATAGAAACTATGCAGATTATTGGCTCATCAATATGACCTCCTTCGATGCTGATGTCACCTTAAAAGTTATACTCATAAACTTCTCCTTGTAAATAAATTTTTCAGAAGCTGAATAATACCCCGATTGTGATTTCTTCGCATGATGACAACTCCAGTAGCTTGTTTCCAGCTTGGAATGAGACCGAAATCAAAGATCCAATCAATTCAACCACGATTTTCTCAAAATGGTGGTTTTATCTTGTGATTGCTGCTGTCGTTTTCACTGTCATTTCTATTGTATATTGCATTTGCCGCGAATTGTGCTGGAAAAATGAGGAATCTCACCCCCTTCTGCGATGAAAATTTTTATTTTACATCCTTCAAAACATTCGACAACAAGCAACTGAAATATATTACGTCCGGAAAGTGGACGCCTCATTAATTATCGGAAGACTTTCGTACGTCGGCAAGGTTTCCGCAAGCATGCACTCTGCTCAGTTTACACACTGATTTTTCCACTGGAGCAAAAATCGAGGATATAATGTTAAATTTTATTGAAGTTCAATAGGAAGTCGTTTTTGAAGATTTAGAAGGGGTAAAGCTCGGCCAACGCTGGTTAAAGATCACATAAAAAAATTTTTCAACAATATCGGAAATGAAAAAAATGAACCGAAAATATTGACCTATTTCTAAAAAAATTCAGAAAAAAACTATAATTGAAAGAATTTGAAGTTTACTAATTCGTTAAAAAAATCTATTTATTTCTATTTTTTTACATTTTTTTAGAGGTTTCCATCTACAAAATTATCAAATCAAAAAAATTTTTTTCATGCTGGAGAACACCAAAGAATAAATGTGAAAAGCGAAATGTTTTTCGAAAAATTGAAATGACATTCATTTTTGAAGCGTCCGGCTCGTTTTTTTACATGAATTATCGAGAATAAAAAAATATTCGTTATTGCAAATAGAATTACGTATAATTTTAGGGTTAGTTGGATTTATTCGAGTGGAAAAACAGGTCAATTATCAATTTTATTACACATTTTCATTGATTTCCTTCGACATTTATATGAAATCAATATATGGCTCAAAAAAATCTGTCTGACCTCTCTGCGCCCTCCACCGCACATCCGCGTCTCTGCTCTTTTTTGTGACGTCGCTCCGAGTCGGGACATGCGACTTCTTATACACTGTCGGATTGAACCACCTTTATCAGCCTGCCACGATTTCAAGGTTCAGAGGAGGCCTACTCTGTGCCTTGGAACGTGAAAGGCTGATTTCAAACGGGACATCGAACATTTGAGCGGTGTCCCGCTTGAAATATTTATGGAAGTCCTGTTTTAATGCAGGCAAAAATGTAATGCGAATCGCTGAACTTTAAGCTCGGAGAAGAGGAAGAAGTTATTTTATGTGAGGAATTTAAAACGCATTGAAAATCCCTACATAAGGAATGACCGATTGACACAAAAACGAAGTAGCGACGAAAGATGAGCAAAAAGCTCAACGGCCAAGTTGTGTAATGCATTAAAATCGTGTCCCGTGCTCGGCGGATCCGTGTAGCAGTGAGCCACTACACAACGAAATGGACACAGCGAAGACCAACCATCTGCCCAAAAACTCATTTCGGTTTATGGTCGTGTGTGGTCGCGCACTTTTTGTTGTAGACATCTCTTTTGTTTTATGCTCTTCTTTCATCGGCCTTCTTTTATGGGGAAATTCTCATTTTCCATCTGTTATGTTTTGGAAAGTACAGTCTGTTTTCATAATTTTCTAAGGTATCCAAAAGCGTCAAGTTCGGATATAATTTGTTAACCGTCAGCTTGAGATAACTTCCAGGAATGATAGAAAACCCACTGTGTCTGTGAAAATAGGAATACAGACGTTTTCAAAAACTCCAAAGTGGCCTCTATAGGGGCGCAAATAGCGATCCTTGAAGGTTCCTCTCTTGGGACTTCTTTGTCATGTCCTATAGGGGCCACTTAAGCTCGCAAAAGTGGTCCCTATAGGGTTATCGAATAAGCGTTTTTCAATTGAAAGGCCCCTATAAAGGCCACTAAAGCATTAGGGGCTAAGGGGTCAGACTTTCAACCCCTACAGGGACCACCTTGATTTCACCCCTATAGAAACCGCTTTTTTTGGCCCCTGTAGGGCCTTTTTTCCCCCTAACCCTGTAGGGGCCCCCTCTGGGGTTCTTGAGTTTTGATCCATTTTTCTAGTTTTTCTTTTTTGGTTGTGAACGTTATCGAATTCATTTCTAAGGAGTAAATTGTAATTTATGTTTTGTGACTCTGAAACCTTCTGCAAAGGCTTTTTGAATAAAAAAATCACGCTAATACTTTTTTTAAATAATGTGTTCACAGGAGAGAGGTATTCTTTTTATGAAAATCAATGCTTTTATTTTCAAAACTACTCCAAATAAGCTCGAACTTTTTTCAAGAAATACTTCGAGCCCTAAATTTGAAGCTGACCTCGATTTTTTTTTTCATGTCTTCATTTCATTACTTCAGAATTAAGTTCCTTCAGAGACCGCTTGGGATAATTTTTTTAAAAAAATGAAGATTTGCAATCTGATTCATAGATTTATGATTCATCTATCTCTCGAAAAATAAAACTGTTTTGTTCCAGACACGCGCACAGTTGTACGCTTGGCATTTTCTAAGAGATTAGTCAGAAATTTTGATTCGACGCCTTTTTTGCCTTTTTTTTCCGCCTTGGATCATTGTTTATGATGTTTTGTGTATACACACGCGTATCGCATTTCATCGTTCTTCTTGCTTTTTTTTCCAGCTTAACCTCGGTACGAAGTTCAACTTTTTTTCTTACTTCCTAATTTTTTTCTATTCTCTATAAACTTCTTTACCGGCGGTTGGATCTATTTTTCTTCTTCCGGTATAAGAAGAAATGCGATAAAAAAACGAGTTCTTTTTTTCTCTAAATTTATGTTGTTCCTTTCTGGGCCAATCAGAAATCAATTTATTACAACCGTTGATAATGATTGGAAGTTATTTTATCAAAATTCCTTCCTCAAAGTTACTTTATTCATGACTTTCAGGAAAAATTGAAGGAGCAGTTCAAATTTTTTTTGTGAGTTCTGTAGAAACAGTTTCAAAATTCGTTTTCTTACTTTATTTCCAGTAATTTTTTTCGTTAATTTTTTTTCACTGAAAGTTTCATCATGAGCGTTCAAATTTCGTTTTGTTGATAGATCAAAAATCAGTCAGAGATCCTATGAATCAGATATTTTTATTTTGAAAAAAATTCAAAAATTTTCCAAAAATTTATCAAAACGGTAAAATTGTACTTTCATTGAATTTTTGAGTTTTAATTTATCCTCTCTAATTCCAAAACAACTCAAGAAACGCTAGAAAAAATCTACTTCTTGTATACTCTATCCCCATGCTGCTTATGTAAGCAAATAAAAAAATTCATCTCCTGACAAAGTTTTGCTGAGCATTTGACCACTCTTTTTAAAATTTGCTTCAAGTCAGCGGTGAATGAACTATGACTCATTCTGTCTGTCTTTGTTGTTTTCCGATTCAGACGATGTGCATTAGCTGTCTAAATGTCAACATTTTTCCAATTACAATCGTTTGAAATTTATTAGAAAAGGACTTCAAAAAAATAGAGGACAGTCACCAAAAAAGCTTTCATTGAAAAGCTGAGGGTCTTTTTGTATAGAGTTTGACATTTTTATTGTTGCTGGTTTTGCTGACATTTTGAAATCAATTTCCAGAAGTGATGGGCTTTTTGTAACAAAACATTTTGCGAGGTTTTTATGAACATAAGTGCTTGTGATTCAGCTGCACCTTAGCGGTCATAAGTGTACTGCAGAAAGGTTTTGAGACACAATTTTTTTCCTTTTTGCTCATTTTTTATTTAAATCTTCTACTATGAAAAAGGGGTCTACTTTTTTAGATCTTCCGAACAAAAAAATTCCGGTTATTTATTCCTTCATTATGGACTTCAATTTTAAATCTGCAGATTTTTTGGACGATGTTCCAGCTTTTCATAGCCATTTATCCTCATAATTGTGAAAATTGACCAAAAAAAAGGAGTTTCGCTTTATTTTCTGAAATATTCATTAAATCTGCTGTAACATTTTTTGTATCAAAAAAAAAAATTCTGCGAGATTTGCAACACTACTTATTTCGAAATAATAAGCTCAGTTTCTAGATTTTATCCAGATAGTCATCGATAGACTGTCAAAGAAAAATTTCCTGCTTCTTGTAACAAAAAAAAATCACTACTTCCTTTAGAACTTTCGTGAAATTCCTATTTTCAAAGTAACATCTCCCAAAAAAGTAAGATTTTTCTTTCCAAATAAGATTATCTCGATCTCCTCTCTGAACTCAAAAAAAATCTTGCAACTGGAGAAGATCCGATCGCAAATCCAATCTCAACTGTTTATGATCTCGATCTCGAGATCCTCTTGGTGCAGGTTAGGTGTTTGTTGAGAGGGCGCGTGCGTGAAGGCGGATGATTGCGCGCCGCCGTCGGTCGGCCTGTCTTGGCGAGTTCGGCCGCCATTTCTTCCTTTTTTGGTGCCACACGCCTTACCTGACCTTCCGCTGGCTCCGCAAAAACTACGCGCCAACTTTGAATCAACACTTTGTTTTTTTTTCTTTCTCCTTGGCCTTGTGGTTTTTCTCGTCCCCGCGAGCTGATTGAAGAGAAATGAAGAGGACTCTTCACACTATTGCAATCCTTCAAAAACTAACACTCCTAATTGGTTCTCTGAAAATACTTTTTTTTTTCAAGTTCATTTCAAACTTCCTATTTTTTTATTTTTCTTTTTCATTTGTTTCCTTTCACAAGTTGCAATTTGATGGTTTTCATTCAGAAATGGTTCTCGAAAAAAAAGACTATCTAAGATTACTGAAGCAGGAAGTGTGGACAGCTTCGAATTTTGAGTATTAAAAAGGATCTAGAACACTTTTTTTTAATCCTCCAAAGCGGAGGGTAGATTCTGAAGGTTAAGAAAGTTTCCAAACGCATTTATTTCAAACAAATCTTGATTTTCATCAACTCTTTGAAGCTTTGCGAAGAATATTTACTAAGGGATGTTTTTTTTACCCCGTTGAACTTTTTGATGAAACTTCGCTAAAGTCTACTTTAGGACTTCCTGATTCAAGTAAGAAAAACAAGATTTTTTTGCAATAAATTTTTGTTTTTTTGAGATTTGAAGTTTCAAAATTGCAAATTATGAAAAAAGAGCTGTTTCAAGCTTTTGAAGCATAACTGATCAAAAATCAAAAAAAAATTGCGAGCAGTGTTTTCCTTGTTCTGCAATCAGGAGGTCCTAAAGTACACTTCAGCTAAGTTTCATTAAAAGTTCAAACGGGGGGTTCTAGTTAGTTCCG